AGGATGCAACCCAATAAGGCCAACAACAAGTTTTAAACTTCATTTCCGAGAAAACAAAGACCTTAATGAGACATTAGACTTTAAAGTTACAGGCGAGTGCAGTGTCTCGAGCACTCCTGATGTTTGCGGTCAAATCTGTATTCCAGGCACCCAAACTGAACCCAGATCTTCAAGTTCACCGAGTTGACGGTTATAACTGTCAAGACCTACCTGAGATGCCCAATTATTTTACATCACTTTAACATGTGGGAGGCTTTCGCGACCAATATTATTCATAATAAAGGTTTTTGGGTTAGATCGCGTTATTTATAAATGTGTCGTAACCCTCCACCACCCGACATGGCCAAACAGTAAAAAATGTGTCACGTTTACCAAGGACAAACTACTTTAGCCCACCGGTGTGTTGAAGAGTGAATCAACATCATTTAAAATTTGAGTACGACGTTTCGCTGGTAATTACATCCAGCTTCATCAGGCAATTTGCCAGACCCATTGACAGTCTCAAAAGGAGTTCAAGAAGCTCCTGTTTGGGATGTTAGGCCAATTTCTGTTCAATGAGTGTTTTTTTTTGTCTGGAAGCCTGAAAACCCAGAGCAAACCCATACATATGATGGCAGTGACGTTCAACATTTCACACAGGTGGGTCACTGTACTTGTACTTACATCTCCCAGCCACCTCGCAGCTTAACAGGTCTGTGTATTCACAAGTGTACGTGATCCGGCGACCCTCACCTTCAAAGTGCTAGGTGCGGACCACCATGCCGGCACAGCACATCAGCTTGTAAGCGTCATGTGCCTGTGCTTATCGGATCTCTATTTGACCAAGATAACATTATATTCTTTGGATCTTTCGGTAAAGCCACGTAGATAGAAAACAATAATAAAATCAAGATAATATTACGAGGGAAAAGCAAGGAGACGCATCAGTCGGCAGGACAATGCGAGTAGTTGAATGGGGACTTTCCACAAGGGAAATTAAGATCAGGGAAGGTGTAAAACATCTGTCGTGGACAATCTCTCGGTGTTGAGGACGACTCGTGACCGACTTTGGGCTTCGGTGCCTCGCGTGTCGTGTGCTGCTGCTGCTGCTGCAGGTGACGCAGGAGGAGGGACAGCAGCTCGCTCGCTCCCTCAAGATCCCCTACATGGAGGCGTCGGCCAAGGTGCGACTCAACGTGGACCAGGCCTTCCACGAACTCGTCAGGGTCATACGGTGAGGGGACACCTCATGCGCGCGCACACCGCCATACACACATTCAGGTTCGTACGTAAGCGTGGATGTGTATAGTTGCACTTGGACTTCAGTATGCGCACACACACACACACGTGCACATCGCATGCAGACATGGTTGAATATGGGCACACGTGGTTATACAATCCTGCAGTCTTACGCCCGCATGGTCTTACATGCGCTCACATTGGTATTATAAACACATGCATGGGCGTACGTACACTTAGACGTCTTATATACACACACACACACACGTGGCCTTACGGCTACACGTACAGTCCCATGTACACACGCATGCTCAGTGCTCTGTTCACCCACACTTTTTTTTTACCACACCCACTCCACACCTACATGACAAATTCTGCATCTCATGAGTGGCAGACAAACAAAAGTACTGTAAGTTTATTTTTTAAGTTGCTATTTTAGCACCAAGTGAAATGGCCATGTGATCAGTTGTCTCTGGATGATAACATGTGAATTACCAAGTGTGAGGATTTGGGATCCAGCGGTTGATATGGTGGCCAGATAATGGGAAGTGACAGCATGGGAATAGAAACCATTCTTTATGGGTTTGTGTAAGGATCCTAACAGCATCATTCCACGTGTGACAGCTGGAGATGAATGACTGAGGAATTCCATGAAGGGAAAGAGCGGGGTGAAGGAGGGATCCAGCAGTGCCAGAGTTGAGTTGTCATGAGCAAGGAGATGATGTGGAGGTCGTGACAGGAGGATAAGACCCGACAAGCAATGGACAATAAGAATCCTGGTGGAGAATGGCAGCATTTCAAATCTTCACACAGCATTTAAAGGTGGAATATTTGTACATAAATCAAGTTTAAGGTTTGCTGGGCTGCTGCAGAATGTTGGAGCTTAAGACAGGAAGAAGCCGCTACGAGAGCTGATGAAGAGGGTGAACGTATGTAATCGAGGAATATTTAAAGCAGAATCAATGATGGGCTACTGTTTGTGCATCTGTGACAAAGCATTACATATTCCATCATGGGTGATCTTAAATGGAGAAAAGGTTTAGAATATATATAGATGTTGAACTTTTTTCTCATCGCACGTAGCCAACTGCGTTAATAAGAGGTGTGAATGCATATACAGTCAAAAACTGACACCTGTGGGATATCTTTGCTTAGACGTGTTGTTAGAGGAAATCTCATTCAGCAAGGCAAGGGGAGACCGAGATGGAAGGCATCTATGGCTTTAGAGTGTTGTCCAATTTTTACAAACGAGTCCAAAGAGGAGGAACGTGGGTACCTGGTCATCACTGCTGTGTTTGAAGCAGTAGAGCAGGGTAGCCAATCACATTTATGGGGTTTAGAAAGAGATAAGCGGAACTGTGTACATGCAATGAGAGGGGCAATGGTGAACAGTCGCGCACCATCTATGACCCACAGGAAGTTCCAGGTGGACGAGTGCCCGCCTTCCTCGGAGCCACCCACAAAGGAGTCGACCGAGAACGGCTGCCGCTGCGTCATCCTCTAACGGCCGGGTGGAGCTCTCGTCCACTCCTCGCCCAGCTTTCCTCTCACTCGCCCGCACGCCTTCCCAGATACCGACCCCGCCAGTCGACGACGCTGCCACCACTAAGCCGAGCTGCCCCGGCAGCGCCGTGATGGGAGTAGGGGGGGGAGCGGGAGGCTGGGAGAGTGAGCGGGTGTGGCGTGGGAGCGGGGAAGCGGTCTTTCTGTTTTATGCAATGCCTTAGAGTGAGGGCCAGGGCCCACATCATCCTGCTACCACCACGCTCGTCGTTTTAATGAAAACTACTGGGAGTGCATGCTCCATTAGCCATGCCCACCGTGTCCCTAACACGTACCTTCATCGCGCAGAGTAGACGTGTATTAAGCCTATTGTAATGTAGACCATTTGGGGTGGGGTGGGTAGGGTAGAGGTGGGGGGGGGTGTAAGAGAACCCAACACGGGTAACTGTCATTGAACATCCTCCTATGCCAAAGTTGTAATAACTTCTTAACCCCGCGTACCAGAAGTGCCCGTTTGTGATGAGGTATATGGTGATGTCAACCCACGACAGCATTTGCTTCCCCGCATTAGGGTGAAGCAGTGCTCGTGTGTGGTTCACACACACGCACTGCGCCTTTCTCCCAGCGTCCCAGCTTCAACTCTAGATCGGCTTTGTTGTCCATTTGGCCGAATGGTTATTTGAACGTGTCTTGAGCCTCCCCCCTGGGTCAATCTGGCATAAAATTAACTGTTGCGGTGGTTGAGCTTCTTCACTGGGGAGACAAAGGTGGCCGTGCATGTACGAGTGGTACTGCTCTTACTGGCTCCTCAGCCGTGTTGCCATGGCAGCCTTAATAGCTAACAGCACGTGCCAACAAAGGCAGGGTGGAGGTGGGCTCCTTGTTTTACCCTTAAGCCGTGTACATCCCCCATATGGGCATCGTCGCGTGTACGGCGCGCTCGCCAACGATGCACGTGGTATTGAGATACAGTAGTCATTGAAGCGAGAAGTCGTACAAAGTGAAGGTGACAGGCAACGTGTAGGCGAGACTGCCGGGTGATTTTGTGGAGGTGGCGGGGGGAGGGGGTTGTCAATCTCTCCCCCGCTGTGTAAAATATAACGAACAAAAAAAAATCAAAAATCGGTGGAAAAAAAAATTAACGTCAAACTTTCAACAAATTAAGTATATAGTTGTGACTGCTTGCTAATGTTAATTGCAATATATTACCAAATAGTGTGCCTGATTGCATGGTGGATTTTTTAAAATGTTTTTTATTTTTACTGTTATCGTTTTTTTTCAAGACAAGTTCATTTTATCGGAACCAGTGGCGTTCGTTCTTAGTACAGAAGGCAGGGGTCGGTTGGCGCGCGGTATTTCATTATTTTCTTTTGTGCCTGAAATAATGCGACTAATTTAGCCATTAACGGTGTAAATCGACCGAGAGGTGTGCGTTTAGGTTCAGATTCAAATGACAACGCAAAAAAAGTTCAAGCATAATTCTGTTGCCAATGGTTTTATTTCATTTTCTTAACACTGTTTTAAGTCCAGCAGCTACTGTAATGTCTTTCTGTTTTTAGAGTGTTGCCCGATTTTTACATTACCCTATAAATCTGTCCACCTGCTTCTGCTGTGCTTCCTTAATGTTGGTCATCATTGCCTGTTGTTATTTTAAGGTCTTCCACTGACCTGCCTTTTTAAAGCCGTTTAAAAAAAATCTGAAGAAAAAATTTGTAATCCTATTCCTTATTTTCATATATAGCCAACAACTGGTATTTTTATATGTTTATAAGTCCAATGCTTTCACAAGTATACGTTTGTGTATATGTACATAAAGGACGAGTAGTGTGTGCCTGCCATGCGTCATTCAGTCTCGTGGGACGAGGACTGGGTGGATTCACCATTGGGAGTGAATGAACCCTTACCCTGCCATTTCACCGTAACTCGGTTGTCTGGTATCCCCCACCTCCCCACACTGTCCTGTTTGGGATAAGTCGCATTAGGCGTTCGGTTGATGTCATGTGTGGCATGAAATTCTTGGCAAGGGTGCAACGAATTTTTATTTGGCAAATTCTTTCGTTTGACTGGTGGCACGATTAACATCTTGCCGGACCGTGGATATCCTTGTCGCGGTCTGGGCCATGTGACTATGATGAGGCACGTGTGGTAAGCATCGTGACAGTAATGGCTAAGCTGCCAAACATTGAAATGTGCTCCGAAACTGAGAACTGACTCAGTAACTGATAACAATCCTTCAAATAACTTTGTAGTCACCACGAACCATAAACACACGCTTGGGCAAAAGTTAACAATATTTTAATGCACAATTGGGGCATAATAAATTCCAGGCAGGTGGGACTGGTTAGAGCTCACGTCATTAAAATATCCATTGGGGATGGAGTCTGTCAATGTGCCAGAGTTACACTGGGAGTTCAACAGTTGTCCTCTGGAGAAACTAACTCTTGCCATGGGACTATGGAATTTTCACCACTGGCTCAAGGCCCTCTGGAGATGAGCACCACCCCATGCTTGACCAGACACTTGACTGTGGGTATGGAATCGGTCTGCTCACTGCAACAGTGGAAGTGACTTAAAGCCCAGGTTGTCAAGGGGGGGGTGGGGAGTGGTTTAGTCTGATGATTGAGGTGGTTGCTGTCAGCTAGTCCCATGAGGTCACATCGCTGATCCTCTGCTATTCCCCAATGCACCTCAGTTGCTGAATCCTGTTTTAATTTAATCCATAGCTTCAGGGGATTTTGCCTGCAAGTCTTGGTGCATTGTCCCAAGTTATCCATAAGTACACTTGTTAAATACTAATAATAGTTAATGGGAAGATGGAGTTCGTTATATGAACCTTCCAAATAAACAAAGTATTACTGAAATGCATTGGCGGTGGTTTGCGATCGGAAACAGCACCACATTTGTCATCAACAGCCATAAGAACAAAGATGTATAATAGGCCAACGTTTTAGACAATGGCCCTTACAACAGAGCCCCCCATTTTAGGCAGTGGCCCTTGCTTAACACCAGTGTAAGTTAATGACAAATGCACAATGATATTTGAAAGCCTTCCATTGTTAATCTTGAATTACTCTCAACAAACCCACTTTATACGAATGAAATAAAATGGCTTCGAATTAAATTTAGCAAAATGTAAAAAAAACCGTGCAACAGATGTGGATCATTATTTGAGAATTCGATGAATGATAGTTTTAATGCACAAATTATTTTTTCCCGTTTATAAAGGGCTGTTATAACATTGCCGATTTACCAACAAAACCACAAGAAACAAAATCGTTCAACAGATAAGTGTATTTCATAAAGTTACTCAAAGGATCGTTTGCCCTAATAATGCAAACCTGGAAAACAGTCACTTGTACAAATTCAAAAGCCACCATCTATGGTCAGAACTTCCGAAACGGCGTTTAACATGTCTACACCGCATTGGGCCAAGAGCCACGGTAATCCCGTTTTTAGAAACAGCAGCCAACTCACGTGGTGCTAAGTACTCTATTGGTGGTGGTGTCAGCAGTGATGGGGCAACTCCAGCAGATCAGTGCCATCCACTCCCTTTCTTAGTGCCCGTGCCAACTCTCACACAGCAGCTTTCTTCTGGGACAGGTTAATCTTGTCTCCCAGGCTGAGTGCCATGCCCTGCGAGGTGGAGGGGAGGTGGGAGGAGACAGATCTGCAAATTAACAAATATCGGCAGTGTTCCTTCAGAAACACCCAGGGAAGACTTCGCTGGTAAGGATTATCCACAGCTGGACGGCCACCGACAGAATAAAAAAAGCAAAGCCCAGCAAAGTGAAGACAAAGATTGTTGTGTCGCGGACCGATTGTACATTAAAGCGTTAACAGCATGTGCATACGGGAGGCTGTGTTTGTGTTCGCGTTGAGTGGACCAATGTGAAACCCTGGCTGGCAGGCATGCATGCATGCGAAGAAATTCTTGCGTGACCTAATATAATTATATATATAGAGCACCTTCATTTGCGGTGCTTGACAGTTTAAAAAACAGAATAGAATGAATTACATGTCAGCGGAGTGTACGGATTGCAGAATGATTGACTACGAGAGAGTACGGATGGAATGTCAGCGGAGTGTACGGATTGCAGAATGATTGACTACGAGAGAGATTCCGGATGGATCATAAGGATAGGGGAGGGGCAAGAAAGTGGAGGGGTGAGAGAAGAGGAAGAGAATGAGCAATGGAGAATAGGTAAGCTTTAAGAGAGGAACGGAAGGAGGTTCATCATCGTATCCCAAGAGTAACAAATCGTTCCGTGACTATTCTATAAATTATTCTAAACCCGACACAAAGTACACACAATTTGTTAATCAATTATTTACTAAAATGCATGACTGTTGTGACAATTCATCGAGCACGCTCTTTTCTGATCGTCACCTCTACAAGGCTTCTTCAGCTTTTACCACTCAGAGTGCCGAGAGAAAATATGAATTGTAAATATTAATACTCAATACATGCGACCATTTTACCGTGCCTCTATTATAGCAATTATTTATCCACAAGCCTTCCCGAGTCCGAATATTTTTTCAGGAGGATCTTGCGCATTAGGTAAGGTTCATGGCCATGGACATTCATAAGTGTTTGTGATGCGAGAGGAAACTATAAAATCTGGAGAAAACCCACCCACACTGCCATCTCCTGGCCACACGCCTGCAATACTTGCCAAGACCCGGTGGTCAGCCATCCAAGCACAAACCAGGCTCAACCTCGCATATCTTCTGACAAAAGGTTCTGAGTTTAAGCTGCAATTGTGGTAGAAAGACACTGCGGTGGCCACATGTTAACCACCTCGCATGGTATACAGGAGGTCGTGGGTTCGATCCCAACCATGATGCCTGTATATTGAGTTTGCATGTTCTCCCTGTGGTTGTGGATTTTCCTCCTGGTCCTCCGTTTTTCCTTCCACATTTATAAACATGTGTTTTAGAGTATCTGGCTGCAACAAATTTCCATGTGATAAGCCACTTCGTTGAGGTATCAACTGTGGCAAAGTTGCTTCTGAAAAAGCGCTATATAGCTGAGTGGGCCTTACCTGGTAAAATAAAAGGTTTAGTTTAGTGTGCACATATACAAGTGCGTGTTCTCACAGTGGGGAGTGGTAGTGTCATGGTTAATGCAATTAGCCTAGCGATGGGCCTTGCATAGGAAAATACAAATAGTTTAGTTTTAAATAGTTCAGTGGTCTTGTGGTTGTTGGGACGCCGTACCTGGCTTTTAGCACGGATGCGGATGTGTCCGGTGACGGAGGCGTCAGGGCCCAGGTGCGTGGGCTTCTCAATGCTCACGTTGGCAAGCGCGTCCTCCCCGAAGATGGAGCGTGCGTACAGGTTCGCCGCCATGAAGCCACAGTTCCCAAGCAGTGCCTGCGGCGAAAACTGCTCACTGTAAACACGGCTTTACCACCACCTTAAACTGCACGAACACCATCCCCAAACGCCACTCGGGTACGACAAGATCCGACTACGTTTGTAGCGGTGCTCGTCAAACTGCATTGGCTTCCACTTGCCGAACGAATACATTATAAGGTCACGCTCATTACACACAGAGTGCTTTGCCACAAATGAACCGCAATACCTTGCCGATCTCGCAAAGGAGCATAAACCATCACGCCAACTTTGGTCATCCTCGCAGCGGCTTTTGGCTAACCATCGAACAAAGACGGTCACCGCATGGCACGCTTTAAATTGTGCTTCTTGCATGCTGTTTGCAACGCTCTTCCGATATTAGGAAGCCACTGGAGCTATGGACTTTGCAATCTAAATTGAAAAGGAATTTCTTTAGAAATGCTTTTTTACGTTTAGTTGTCCTTCCTCCGCACCTCAAATTAGCACGTTTGGCTACATACGGTGCGAAAGAAGTTCAACATACATAATACTCAAGCCCTGATTAGAATTAGCTTAAACCCCGCTTTAATACCCACCTCATTCGGCAATGAAGCCCTGCACACAAGCCCAGTATCGGAAGGAAAAGCAGCACTGGGGAGACAGATGATTTGAGTGGGGGTACGGACCACACTGCCTCTCGTGTACGTGACACCGGTCTCAACCCAATACTCGTCAACAGCACTTGCACCTTTCGTCGGGCTACAAAGGGAATGTGTGTGTGTATACCTCAATGCACGCATGTGCATGTACACAGCGGTTACCATTGATGAACACACGGTGCAGATGAGCATCTCTAATCATGACCGTGACCTATCGTTGGCAATATCCAAAGTTTTACAAGGGCATTGCTTTCACACCAGGGACATCTGTTCTCAGCTTCTCTAAAAAGTCAAGAAGCATAATGGAGGCTCAGCAGAGCGCCAAATATTCATGGAAGGCAACAATCTGCTGCCCCTCGATTTAACTCCATCTGTGGTTCAGGAAAATTCTCCCACAAGTTACGACTGTGGTCAGGGGGTTTTTGTTTGTTCCTCGTCCAAATTAAACTTAAATACTCCCAGTGGCAACACACAAGGTCACAGCGGGCACCTTTGTTTCTAAATATGACGGGTGCGACTTGCAAATTATTTATTTACTTTATCCAAATCTTAATCCAATTGCGTTTTGGACAACTTATCACAAGACTATGAAATTCATGCTGGAATTCTCAGAGAGCAGTGTGCCACCGTGTGCCAGAAAGTGCCCCAGAAAATGATGTCACAGAACGACTTCACTACCCTCAATTCGGGTGCCACACCTTTTATGTCAATCAAACCAAAATGTTTAACCATCATCAGGGGTGTAACAAATAGCTACGCAAAAAAAACGAAATGTCATGGTTTTTTGTCTTACTGATACTTCCTGCCCCAGCCCCCCAGCTACGACCAAGGCCTACCCCAACCCGTTACAACCTACCTAAAACCCCTCCCACCTGTCCTCCTTACTGTCTGCATAATTACACCGCAATTTTGAATAACCCCGCTCTTCATGTTAACCACCATCATCTAATGTACAATTGTATGATTATTATAAAGTGCCTTGGACAAAGGTACGATATAAATATATATAAGATAAGAGATAGTTTTGGTGGCAACAGCCCACAGCCACAAATAACAGAGTTAATGTTGAGCTGCAGTGGAGCCTAGCCAGTAGCCAGTCAGGAATCTAAAGGCAAATATTATTTTAAATAGTATTATTTAGCAGTACAACAAAGATTCCAGCTTGTGATAATTGGTCAATGGCTGAATGGGTACAGATATAATGACAGAGTGCCATCTGTTGACCAGGGGCGTCATCACGTAATAACCAACTTTAACCAACTGGGTTAAAGGTAAAAGGCGGGGTCAGTCGGGAAGCTCCGGGAACCTGCTTGAAGGTTCTAGAAGGGGGCGTGGCCGGAGGCGGGGCCTTGCCATGCCGGGAAGTATATAAGGGGGGACGTGACCGAAGGTTCGGGGCTGTCGTGGGGTCCCGGATCTTGGCTGCCGTCGCTGTCTTCGCCATCATCTCTCTTCAACCTCAGGCCGCATGGCCGATCCTCTGCACGGCTCCCATCGTCGTCATCACTATATTAGTCAGCCAACTATATAGTTTAGACGACGACAATGGGGCTGTGTGAATGGGTCAGCCATGCGTAGCCGTGTATGTATATGTCGCCCAGCGATTGTGCCAGAAGTGTGAGAATAAATAAGAAGCCCTCTACACGTCGTGTCTCCCAAGTCGCTCACTGCACATGTACACAACTTCAAGTCAACCCACTGCTGAATGAGGGACCTTTACCATGCCGTGAGAGTTATCAGACGATAATTTACCACACTTGTCGAAAGCCAGGAGTACAGACGTCAGGTCATAGAAACACATACTAACACAATGGATACTGCTGCACTGCTCTCTATTATCAACCTTAGCCACAGAGACCTTAGAAAAGCATGCTTTATGGGTGACCACCCAACCAAGCACTATCCAGGCTCAAACCTACTTAGTGTCTAGGATCTGACAAGATCAGGCACATTGCCAATGATTGGGTCATGGATGAAACTGGAGTGCCCTGAGAAACCTCACACATGAGAGATGTAGAATCCAGCATGGTAAAGCAGCACGCACTGCCCCATGGCTACAGCATGGGCAGCAGAGCAGTGCAACAATAACCATTGTTGTAATCTACTTCTTTGCTCCCACATTTACGCTTCCCCCCTTCAGTAACCCACACAGACCGGTGTGGTGTAGCATGGTCAAATAACCTCGACCAAATGCATGGTGTGGGGAGGCCCCTCATGCAGCAGTGGATAGACAAAGGTGAGCAAGTGTAATAATAGGGTTTTTCCCCTTTTTTCTGGCAACAAAACTGAAACCTTTTTACAAGGATTCATGTCTGCATTAACCACAATACCTGCAGTCAAAATGCAAAAAAAAAACACACTATGATAATATATGCATTGTCCTTGAAACTGATTGGTCCACACCAAGGGACGGCTTTCTTTTGAGCCTCGACCCAATTGGTGCTCGACCAGATGACGCCAAAAGGCGTACAGCTCAAAGACAATGCACTATCAAAGTAATGAGGGCTCGGGGTGAGCATCTACATCATTAGACCTCCTTTGCCAGTACCAAAATGTAATAATAGGGTTTTTCCCCTTTTTTCTGGCAACAAAACTGAAACCTTTGTACAAGGATTCATGTCTGCATTAACCACAATACCTGCAGTCAAAATGCAAACAAAAAACATACTATAATATATGCATTTGTCCTTGAAACTGATTGGTCCACACCAAGGGACGGCTTTCTTTTGAGCCTCGACCCAATTGGTGCTCGACCAGATGACGCCAAAAGGCGTACAGCTCAAAGCCATTATTACATTATTATTACATTTTGGTACTGGCAAAGGAGGTCTAATGATGAGAGCAAGTGTTTTAAGTTTAAGCTGTAGTAGCAGCTTTAGTAACAGGTGGTTGTTTCCGGTGTTGGACATTGCACCTAGCGTTTGGCGTGGCTTCAGCAGCGCATGTACCAAGACCTGTACCACCCGTTTCGCGTGTTACCCCTAAATTTGTGGACTGACCTTTTCTGGAGTGAGGCATTTCATGTTGGTGGACTTGAGGATGTGCTTCAGGTATTCCATGAGGTCGAGGATGTTGGTGCTCACGGTGACCTGCACGTTCGCAAAACGCGGGCGAAGACAAACGTGACCGAGTCGGCCCGAGACGCAGGCTCGTGATCCATCGCCGGTTACCAAATTTAGTGCTCGATCACTTTACTTGACCGTGTCCATTTCATATTCAGTCCCACTTTTAAAAAGGGAGACAGGAGTAACGGTAGTGAGGAATGCAACGATGCATGAATCCATCAATTAAAAATCTATTCTTAATGCTCACCATACGTGTCAAAATGTTAAAGTACAGTAAAACCTTGGATTGCGAGTAACTCGGTCTGCGAGTGTTTTGCAAGACGAGCAAATTTTTTTAATAAACATTTGATAAACGAGCGATGTCTTGCAATACGAGTAGTGCATGTGTACGCTTTGTCTGCCGAGCGTCACGTGATCACAACTGATATACGAGTGCTTTGATATACCAGTGCTTTGGATTACAAACACGTTTCCGGAACAAATTATGCTCGCAATCCAAGGTTTTACTGTATGTATTATTGTGGGTATAAAAATCTTTCAAAATCGATGAATGTATGACTTGCTCGATGCCTATTTATTGCCCGTATAATCAAGTATGGCCAGGATGCTTCGGGTAACCATCAAGCGAATTGCTCATTCACTGGCCGACACGAAGGTCAAAGATGCTCTGCGTTGCTCTGTAACAAAGCGCAGGTTGGGGCTCTATGTATTTTAAACTTCTTTCGCACCGTACACAGCCAACCATGCTAAATCGGAGGTGCGGCACGGTGAGGTTCCGGAGTGGCGGTGACTGTGGTACCTTATTCTCCCACTCGAACTCAGCCCACATCTGCCGGAACTCAGCATCAGAGCAAGTGGCGGGCTGGATGTAGTCCATGATGTCGATGTGAATGTCGTTGAGGACGACGCAGTTCCTGTCACTCGCCGCGCCCGTCACGTCGTACACTGGGCACGTTGTGTGGGGGTGGGGTAAAGAGGGGGTGGGGGGGGATTTGTTTAACCAATGACCCATCACTCATTAAATGCATCAACAAAGACACTTCCGGTCCATCATTATGTCAAGATGACATAACTAAATCACTTCTAAAGTCACTTCAACAGGCTCTAGGTCAGCAGTGGAAATTCCGTATTCCTTTGGCAGAAGCCAAAACCCCAAAAACGAGCAATGCCGACTTCTATAAAAGTGGTATTCATTTTACCAGCCTCTAAGGGGATGATGATGATGATGGGACGAATTGACTCCCGACTCGCATCCCTCGGGCACCGCGCCTTACCAATGTTGCCGAAGATGATGCCGTTCTCGGTGGAGGCCACCTTCACGTTGGCCTTAATGTTGGCAAAGTCGTAGGGAGCCAGCGTGAGTGGCGACGGCTTCTCCACCAGCTTCAGGTCCCCTGTGAGTGTTGCCAAACAACTATATTAACATAGAGGCAACAACAATGACCAGCGGACTGGGAACAGACCTGCTTACAAGTCAAGAGCAGTGGGTTGCATCACTGGACTATCATTCTTACTTAAGATGAGTGTGTACAGCCCTGGGCCAATCCACTGCTAGATAGTCACTCCTGGATGATTGGATGAGGGTCTCCCATGCCACAGTCCACCTTTTGGTAATGACCGATATACAAATGATAAGAATCAGAATCTTTATTTATACTGGAGGAATCTAATGAGCTATGAAGCTCTTTTTCACAGATGTCCAGTAGGGGTGGGTCAGAAAGTTACAATAAGAACACACGATAGGAGTGCATAGTATAGGAAAGGTAAGTAAATAAATAAACAAATAAAACAACACTTTTTCTTTTACCAGGTAAAGCCTATAGAGCTATCAGCTTATTTTTAACAAGCGACCTGGCCATAAATGATAGCTGAACAAAGCGGCACACCGAGTGGAAATGTATGGCAGCCACGTTTCTAAATGTGGAGGGAAAACACAGAGAACCCAGATAAAAAATCCACACAACCACGGGGAGAACATGCAAACTCCAAATATATAGGCGTCAGGGTCAGAATCGAACCTCCGACCTCCTGCATACCAGGCGAACATGCAAGCTCCAAATTATGCCACTGCATACTGCAAGTGTACCTGATGGTTTGGTAATCGCAGAAAGCTGCACCGAATAGGGTCACAAGGACTGGAATTGAGAAACATTGCTGCAGGGCGTACATTATAAACAAGATGTGGGCACCTACATGATTTTAAAAATATTTTATTTTAAGTGAAAAATCTATCCGGCCACAGCAGTCTTCGCTGGCGGCGGGGACGCACCGAGGGTGGCGAGTTCCAGCGTGCAGTTCTGCAGCGTGTCGCTCGTCTGGTTCACCACCAGCACGTCCAGCACGATGTCGTACTGGTTGATGTGGATGTATGCCTCGGCATACACAGGATCCGAGAAGCCCGTCAGCTGCGTCACCTGGTACCGCCACCACCGCCGCAGCAGCAGCAGCAGGCGTCATCGGACGGCGCGACGGGAGAACAGGGGTGAGGGAGGTGGTGCGGGGGGAAGAGGGGGAGAGGGGGGGAGATGCACGAGAGCATGACGATGGGCACAGAGCAATGGGGAAAGCGATGCTGCCGCGGTGGTTCTCTCGGTCGTGCTGTGTAGCTCTGTTGGGTTGTGTCGCGCGTTGTTCAGGCTGGTGTCCGACGCTTCGAAGCTCCCGGAACGTGGAGAGAAACGTCGAACATCAAGCTGATCAACACAGTCGACAACCCCTGGAAACACGCCGGAGAGCTATCGAGGAGAGCAGTTTTGTGGGCGTGGTGCGTGACGCGCGAGTGAATTGGAACCGCGAGGTGGCAATCAGTTGACGTCCTAATTGGGGCTGGAGTTTAAGTGGCATGAAATAAAAATGTGAACCAGGGAGGCGTTTGGTAAAAATAAAAGTCAAAAGTACATTCCTGCTCCAGTGAGCACGAGGCACTGCTCCACTCCCCTGGCCCTGAGTGGAAAGTCAATTTTATATGCTCGGCAAATAATCGCATGCTAAACAAGCCAAATGCTTCAATTTGGCTTTATTTGGAAAAGTATAAGAAGTTACAATAATCCATATTAATCCATATTAATTTTTGTGTGTGCATTCATTAGTGACTGGGCCAAGACCATCAAACTCGCTACACTTGAGAACCTAGTTTAATCACGAGCAGCCTAAATCCAGATGCATTTCCAGGACGTTAACAGTGTCCGTGTCTCCGCGTCTCTATGATAGCATGACCTCCCAGAGCGACTGGACCAACTCCCGCCACCTTCGATCCCCACCGGCACAACCACTTTCCTGCCTGAAGCAAACTTTACCTCTGCCCTCCATGTGTATGGTGCACCCCACCCCCACCCCCCCTACACCCAAGCCGCTGACCTTGCTGAGCTTGGAGGAGAGGGGGTCGGCGGCCTCCTTCTTCTGCGCGTGGCCCGTGGCGGCCAACAGGCTCAGTTGGAACTGGTCTTCCTTAGAGGAGTTCTCGCTCTTGGCCATGAGCTGCATGAATGTGATAGGGTCGTCGGCCTGCACGCTCACCGTGCGCTTCTCACTCTCCTTCTGTATGAAGGAAGGCACCGGGGAAACGCACGCGTGCGCGCACACGCAATCGGGAGGGAGAGACACGCACACAGCGTGAGATACGTGTGCACTCATACCAACAGACAAACCCACAGAGATGTGAATGCACATATAGAAACAGACACGCACAGGAAAGAAAAGATGCACATACAGTGTGTAAGACATGTACACTCACACAAGCAGACAAAATAACACAGATATAAGCACATACACAGGGCGAGACATTCACAAAGGGAGAGACCCACACAGAGCAAAGCATACACACAAGGAAAGACATACGTAAACGCAGAGGCAAATACATCGACAAAGACACATAAGGAGATACATAGACACACCTGCAGAATATGCACCTAGTGTGCAAACAACACTGACACACAGCGGCGTTTGGCTAACCAACGCAAAAAGATGGTCACTGCATCCTGTGCTTTCAAATGAGCTTCTATGGCCATCTGGAACACTCTTCCTTCTGATATTAGGAAGCCAGTGGAGCTATAAACTTTGAACTCTAAATTGAAAAACGCAATTTATTTAGAACTGCTTTTGGTATTTAGTTTTTTGTCCTTCCCCGCACCTCTAATGAGCAGTGTGGCGACAAACGGTGCGAAAGAAGTTCAACTTACCTACGTACACAGGCGCACTCACAAACATCACATGCGACATATACCGCGCGTTCGAGCAGGAAACTGCCACTGCCTGGCTTGGCACCTTGAGCGATCGCTTCTCCTCCTCCAGCTTGGCAGACAGCATGTTGGAGAGCGAGCGACGGCACTCCTTGTTGAAGATGTCGGAGAGCAGCGGCGAGAGCTCGGACAGCACACGCAGGCACAGTGCAATGCGGTCCACGTCGTCCTCGGTGATCGGCTTCTTCGGCAGCGCCGAGCGGCCCAGGTGCAGCACGCTTGACATGAGCAGCATCGCCTCTGCCACAAATGACTGAGGAGCAGCAACAAAAACACAACACACACGCAGCACAGGGTGAGACGTACGCAAAGGACGAGACGCACGCACACTCACACACATCCAGACACACACACACACAGGGTGAGACATATGCACACACACACACAGGGGCAAGACACCTGCACAGGGTGAGACACACACAGAGCGAGACGTGAGACACACACACTCACCCTTCCAGACACACAGTGCGGCATGCACACACAAACAGCGCGAGACACGCTCGCACAAGGAAAAACATAATTACGTATAAATGTGTAGACACACGTAGAAAAACTAGCACACATGCACACAAGGAGTACACACGTGCAGGTTGGCACTGCACACTTGGGAACCCAGATAGGGGTGCAGTGCCAGCTCGGTGCTCGAATAAAGCAACAGACCCTTGATCCAACCCTCTGCAGCAATGAGCAGTGCACCACCCCGTGTCAGGTACAGAATCAGCCCCCTGAACCACCCGGTCACCCTCTGCTGTGTGCCACTTTGAGCCACCACCCCGTGTCAGGTACAGAATCAGCCCCCTGAACCACCCTCTGCTGTGTGCCACTTTGAACAACACAAGAACGCGCAAGTTTGTGGCTTGGAGCACACACGGGAAACGTGACAAAGGACAGGGAGTGTTGAATTCAGGCAAGGGGGGGGGGGGTGTGGAGGTGGAGGCTCTCACATTCTGCCTGCGCTTGTCGTCCACCAGCGCAATGTAGCGCAGGGCCAGCTTGGTGAGGGTGGTGGCCATGGCTGCGCCCACGTAGAAATCTCCTTCCAAGAGGAACCCGCGCAGGGGTGGCCTGAGGCATGGCATAGCAGAACCACAGGGGAAAAATATACAGGCATAAATGTCGAAGATACACAAGACACGTGCACACTGCATATACAATTAAATAAGTGCACACAAGAACACATGCAAAATTATGCAGCAGCTCGCACAAATACACATACTATATACATCACTGAGCACAACACGTGGAACAGTTCATATACACATGCACACTCGTGGCACAGAATATACCACACGGGATGTGTGACAGCACAACACGCCACACGTACAAAAAAACACGCAAAATCTATCACGCTCACCACAGTGCAACACACAACAGACTGCCCTACACCACAACACGTACAACACATTACACAACACAGCAGACACAAGAGATAGCAGCATGCGCAGATCATAACAGCGATAAGGTCTGTGGTTTCAGCCCTCATGAGGTGTCAGGTTTCTATCCTGCATGATTTGTCTCAGCAGTCACCTCTGCTGACCTTTTCTTTCCTCTGTGTTTATCCTCAAAAGGCAAAAATGGTTTCCATTTCTACTCTGGCCTCCACTTCCAAGCCACGGCTCAAATTAACAGCTTCCATTACTCATGGAATTAAAGGAATGCAGCCGTGCTTGGCAACAACCCATTGCAGCAGAGCACCACTCATTCTGCGAGCATGCTCAGTTAAACCCAAATTTAGTCAAGGCCCATTTAATGGGAGCGCCGATTTGGCAGTGGGTCGCCTGGCCCTGGCAAGCATTGCGCTACATTTTTGCAGAGGCGCCGGCTAGCCGGCCCGGTTCATTTGACAAAGAGCTCAGTGACGTACCGAACGATTACGTGGTGAAACACAAGAAACATAAAGCAGCCAGCAAATTCAAAGGCTGCTTCTGCAACAGGGAAGATGGGCAAGCAATTTAGGGTGGAGTATACTACCCTACAAAACAAACTATCCCTAATCCCAGGCCTAACCAACTAGCCACCCAGTCACTAGTTGTAGCACTTTCACTGACCTTGACCAATTAGCGACCTAAACGTTAGTACAACCGCTCCCACTGATCCTAGCACTACCACTAACCAACCAGCCAACAAGTACTGTTGCTATAGCTAACTGTAACTATCACCTCGCTGCATGGGTGGCGAAAACCCGAATTCAAACCCAGGGTCACAGCAGTGTCGGCTCAGTGCTCTGACCACTGAGCCACCCGTGAGTTCTCCTGCACTACGAGCTAACAGCAGAGCGTCGCTAGCGACAGCCTCCATAACCCGAGAGAGCAGTGAAGTTAACGCCACCTCTCCTCCTCCTTCTTGGAAGGACGAGCCGTGCTGAGAGCGCTCTGCGTGGCATAGGTGCCCATCTCGGTGACGAGCTTCTGCGCGGGCACCGTCGACACCTCTTCGTCAATCTTGTTTTCACCCGCGGCCTTCTTGATCTCCGTCTCCACGATGGGGATCTGCCACGAGTAAGAGATGGGGGGGGGCGACACCGAAATGAACGGTTGAAGCGGGGAGGAACTGGAGGGTGCCATTCTACGCTGCGTGAATGTCTCACGGTCAGTGCCGCCGCAAACCCTGGTCCTCTCCACTGTCGCTCTGCCGGTAGTGGGTTTTGGAGAAGGGTGGTTTTAAACGAGAGCTTTAGCCGTCGTCCCAGCGGCATTGTGGGGAAAAAAATAAAGAGTAAGATGGTAATGCACCAGTATCTTCTCTGGATTCTCCATCTCCTCATCGTCCGGTGGGTGACAGGGCATGCATGCGAGTCGATAGAGGTAGTGTTCGGGGTAGAGCTGTGTTCGGGTTGCATTAGATCATGGGCGTGTGCCACCACACCCTGCGATTGCAAGTGGCACGTGCCAAGGCCTTCTTAGGGTTGCCAGTGGGGCGACTCACCTCTCCGATGGAGCGGCGCACCTCCGTCATGACACTCTGGATGTCTTCCTTGGAGCTGCAGTACTCGCCTAGGATCCACAGCGCCCCGCGCTGGATCCTGCACACAACAGCACCCCACACACAACAATTGACCTTCTCAGCCCTACCATTCATTCACAAAGTCTCATGACCGTGTCACATTTTGATTCAAGAGTTGCGTTGTGTTTGGTCTCATTTGTAACATCCGTCTCATTCTCAGTATTGTTTGTTTAATACCCCATAGTTTACAATTGCATATAATTTGCACAAGTACGTGTAGATTAATATTTTAACACATGTAGATTAATAAGCATATGTCCACTTGTTATTACTAGGTTTCCAATTCACTTTCTTAAGTCCTTGATATTTTTGTTGAATAATGGTTTCAGAAAGTGAATAAGCTAAGCTAAATTTATCTCTAAGTAATGGATCCATCTAGGTTTAGTTATGAGGAAGCTACTGGAAAAATGAAGTAATAATAAAAGTACAGAATGTCAGTATTTGCTGTTAAAAACACAATTTCATTTTGGAAAATGAGAAGTTACTCAACTCACTCGACCCAGCACACGTGTGTGCACGGAATTACACGGATATGTGCGGAGTACAAATCTGTCCACACGGGAGTGCGGTGCCTCTCCTGCCGTTCTTCCTGCCCTCGTCCCAGCCACTCACTTGACAGCCTTGATGGAGTGGAAGACCTCGAGCATCTTTTCGATGATGAGCGGCCGCAGGCCCTCGAAGAGCTGCACGGCCTCCCGCACGAACACCAGCACGTCGCCCGCCGCCAGCTCGTTAGTGTCGCTCAGGAACTCCATCAGCTGCCACGGGGAAGGTGGAGACGGGTCGCCATGGGGAAAAAATAAAGTGGAAAGACATTTGAATTAAAACTATCAATTTCTATCTTTAAACAATTGCATTCTCCGAAAACTCGATTTATACAAAAACTTAAAAAACAAATTGAACTCAAATGAACAATTACTACTGATCTTAACCGATAAGGCTCACCCAACACCTGTGTTAGCCGAGTGACTCGAAGGCAAGCACGGTCAAACGAGAGGTCATAGGAGCTACAGCAGAATGGGGTCACAAGAAAGGCAGCCGCACCACGGGGATAATGCTGGCGGCCACGTCCGGGAAGCGCACGCTGCACGAGTGTAGTGTCCGCACGAGGAGCTGGCGGAACTTGTCCGTGTCCTCGTGCTCCGTCACGTTGTTGGTCTTGATCACCTCCTTCTTCAGCACGATCACCAGCTGCGTCGGCATGTGTCCCGGGTGGTGGCAGGGGGGGGAGGGCAAGGAGGACACGAGAGGATCAAACATGGTGGCTGTGAGCAGTGGCTTTGTTTCCATTTCGGTGTCCACACCAATGCCTGTCCATGTTCCCAAAGTTGGGATGCCCTATGCTGCAAAGGATATGCAGCGTGTTCTTGAATCCAGGGAGATACCCCTCAAAAACAATGTTTGAACACTGGCTTGGGGCTTACAGCTGCAATTAATATCCCAGGACCTCCATAGCAGTTTAAATGCCCATTTGACTTCCCAAATCCCGGCTCCCAGATACAGGACTGAGTGTATGCAATTTAATTTCCCCTCCATGTGCCAGTCTTCCTAGGTTAACATAGAAAGGTTCTCAGCATGCACCACGTGCATCGTGATGGAGCTATTAATGGGCCTCCAGCGTGGCTGACTTCACTGGTGGACGCTACTGCGGCACCGCTACCAAGGGAGCGCTCACCTCCTCGACATTGCGTGAGGACACCAAGTCCAACGCGAGCTGCAGAGTCTTCCTGCGCACCTCCAGGTCGGGAGTTCCCAGCACACGCAGGATGTCCATCACGAGGTCCTGCGTCGGATCAAAGGGCACCCACCGATTAACCTTTACCTAGTCAATTAATACGTTGGTTTTTTTTCTGTTCACAGTTTTTCCTCAAATGATATGCCAATCGTGTTGCTAATAGCAGCAGATTGTCATGCGCTGAAGAAATGTACACGTGGAGCTTCCTGCAGCGAGTAGTGCAATATCACATCGTGTTAGAGAACGGCCCGGGAAGGGGACTTCAAAAGTCACTTCAATGTCCCTTGTTTATCCAAGAGTACAGCTTGTGCATGGTCCACAATAAGTATTCTGAGCATGTCAATTAAATTAAAGTTTTTAATTCACAGAACTTTTTATTAAATGCAATGAGCAGAAAACTAAATTAAATATATTGGTTACCGGGCCAAGACCATCAAATCGATACACTTCAGCACTCTGTTTAATCACAGGTGGCTGAAACAAGCACGGTCAGCCAGTCGGTCACCTTCCAAGATAATTAAAGACAATTCTACTACCACTGTTTGAGACGAGGCTCAAAAGAAAGCTGTCTCTGGTGTGGACCAATCAGTTTCAAAGACAATGCATATATTATCGGAGTACTTTTTTTTCATTTTTACCACAAGTATTGTGGTTAATGCAGACACGATTCCTTGTAAAAGGTTTCAGATTGGTGTTTTAACAACTTAACACCTGTTTTGTTGCCAGATAAAAGGAGAAAACCCTATTCTCACTCCCAAACTCTTATATAAACTATTGATTCTCACAGAAAGTATCGAAAGTTTTACTGCCAAGTGACATACAATAGGCTTCAAACCCACTCGCGTTCTGCAAAGCGTATACTAGATGTTGGCTATACCGAGTGCCCTACAATGCATCTCGCTCCCCTACCCTCTACTGCCCTTCCCTCTCCTGCCCTTTCCCTCCCCTTCCCAGCTGTGCACCTGAAGCACTCGCTCGTGGCTCGGGTGGTCCTTCAGCTCGATGAGGCGATCGAGCACAATGAGCTTCACGTTGTTGTCACTCTCCTTGATAATGAGGTCAATGTAGCACTGGGCCGCGGCCTGCGCACACGCACACAAAGACAAAGACCATCCCTCATAGCATTAACAGATTGTTTGGGCAAATTCCATTAGCGAGCACCTATGAAGGCCGGCATGGCAGACAAGAGGGTGGGTGGCCAACACCATGCCCGCCCACCTTTGTCTCCCTAGTGGCAATGTTAAGCACCACACCAGGTGCTGAGTCGACCTAGGTGAGGCCCAAGGCAGCTTCAAATAATCATCGCCGGTGGTGGCTGTGAGCGGGAATCGAACCCGGGTCGCCGGGTTGGTAGTGCAGCGTGCTAACCACTACAGTAGGACAAACGTATAGGCACGGATGCGAGAACTTTGTTTGTGGTCAATTACTCCGAGTCCTTTAAAAAAGGTGGTCTTCTCCCCCCACACGCTCTAAACTATGTTCGTTATCCGGTTAATAAAGTAACTGAAGCCAACACTTTGTAGTGTAATCGATTAGCTAATCGGATAGCCGAGCTCTACAAAGACAATTATTACCGAAAATTTTTAAGAAGGATATTTGGATAATTACATTTTTCTCAATCTATTACACAGACTTTTCTATCATTCATATCTGGAACAATATGGGTAACATTCCAAAAATGTGTTGGTGCCATTTGCCAACCCAGGTGGTACCGACCCAACGGGCTTGGCTCATGGGCTTATTCACTGGGCCACTTGACAACTGGTTTGCCGCGTTCCCGGCTAGAGGGGCCCGGCCCCGTACGTACCTTGACGGCGGTGGGGGCGCTGGAGAGCGTGACGAGCGTCCCCGCCGCCTCGTACCGCACCGCGGGGCTCGACGACTGCAGCAGGTTGTAGATGCAGCGGATGAAGCGGGCGCGCTCTGTGGGGTTGGCGTGGCACACCTACGATGGGCAGCGGGGCGGCGGCCGTCCGGGGGGAAAGGCGAGCAAGGTGAGCGAGCATCATCAAGCAGCCAGAGTGCAAACAAGATTGAGGTTTTTCTGCGGCACTTGTTCCTCAAGGCCATGATGCACAAGGACAATTGTTGCCGGAAATTGTCACAAGCAACACATTTACTTACTATGAACAATGGCATAATGTGGCAGAATTATGTATGGCCAGTGAAAACACATTGTTGAAAAGTGGCTTTGATAATTTAATCAATGATTGGTCTTTGGAATGTACAGTTGAGATTACAATCGAAGTGAACAGATGTCTATTTTGGGAAAAAAATGTATTCAATAGAACATGGTATCACCACCACTGCTGGTGACAATTGCATGCCACAATAGCCCTAAAAGTGCCTGAATGCATCACAACCTTAAGCAGCTCGGCATGGCAGAAACTTACCTTGTAGATGAGCTCAACAATGACGAGTTGCAGGATGTCGCCAAACGTCTGCACTTGGTCGATGCAGGTGCTGAGATAGTCCAGGGCACGATCCTATAGTGGTGCAATAAACAGTCCCTGGTTAACGTGAAGAAATTTAACGTAAAATTTAAAGACACACGGTGAGTGCGAGATATGCGCTGCAGTACTTTATACAGCTGCTTTGAAAAATAGCGCTGCAGACAATCAGAAGCCATTAATTATCCCTCCCGCCCAACTCTACCCATCCCCCTCTTCCCCCATACGTGGGGTTATGCCATACGCAACCCCTCTGGGCTCCAAAACCAACAGCGATCGACGGCAGCGTTTATTTTAGAGCAGTGCTTTGTTTATCTCCGTGGTGCCATGCCTGGTCAGCGTGGATGAGCATCATGAAGGCGTTGCGCTTGCAGCTCGCATCCTTCTCGTTCACCAGGAAGTCATGTATCAGCTCCGGGGCGTCCGGGATCAGGTGCTCGAAGTTTCTGATTTTGCAAAATGCATGAAAATATTTGACGCGTAATTACAATGACTGTTTTTGTTGGTGTTTGTACTCGGAAAAGAGCGACAATTTAAATAAATCCACCCCACCCTCCGTCTCCTATGAAAAGGTAAAATTCCACAAAATAAGGCCACCTGCTCAAATGACCTTGATGCACATAGTCCGTGTTAAGAAAGTCCTGAGATGCAGTCGCATTAGACACTGTAAAGACCAAAACTGTAATGTACTACATCGTAAACAGAGCATCAGGTCATCACTGAACTAAGGGTATAATATAACATCACAATGCCTCTCATCAAGACAAAAAAATGGGGGTGGCCAAAGTATGTGCAGTGGGGCTTTGATTAGAGAATAGTGGTGGAGTTAGTATCAGGGGCAGCGTGGCTATTGTGTTTTATTTAGGGCTAGTGTACGGAATGGCTAGTATGGTTAGGCTTTGGGGTAGGAACACATCTAGAGCAGATTGGCAGGAGTTAAAGCTTGTGTCTGGTTGGGTCGTGTATCAGAATTAAGGGTGCAACTGGTTGAATAATGTGGATAGGGGTATGGGTAGGATAAGGGCCTGGTTGGCCAGTGCGAGTAATGCTAGCGTTAGGGTCTGGTTAGCAAGTGTAACTAAGGACAAGTCTTGGATTCTGGTTTGATGCTGTGCTCCACCTCGAAGGTTTTGCCCCGCACCTTGAACACCAACAAAATCCCTTATTCTGCCGTTTGGCTGTTGTTGCACTCGTGCTGCAGAGGGTGCTGCCTCACCGGTAAATGGTGTAGATGGCGAGCACGGCGTTGCGCCGCACGTAGTTGTGCCGGTGCTCCAGGCATGTGCGGATCGCTGGCATGAGCGGCTCCAGCAGCTCCGCCTCCTTCAGCTTGCACAGGAAACGCAGAGTGGAGCCACGGATGAACTCGTTGGGATGCTGCAGGTCCTGAGGGTGCAGGGAGCGAGGAGGGCGCAGCAGACGTCAGCACGATTTGATTCGACGCAGCGTGGCAATTTGTGGATGGGATTCGATCAAAAAATAATTTGTTTCGTGTTGTTTGCAGTCTTATTTGTATTGTTTCTCATTTTATTCTGTCTCACTTTAACAGTTGTGTTAATTATATCTGCCTCAAAAACATGAAAATATGAATACATCGGAAAAAATGCATTCTTACATGTTGGATTCAATGGATGTAATATCAGTGTTGAAAACTATATTAATAAATGCATCAGTACAACCATTCATGTCGAGTCAGCACTTACACATCTGTCTCTTGCCTCAATGGACAGCAAACAGCTCACCACTGTCAATATTAACAACACTGCTTTAGAAAATAAAAAAGAGAAAGGTAAGAATTCAAGCAATGGCCACGATTCCTTCCCAGAGGTCCAAATATAAAGAGATCTCACCCATGTCTACATCCAAAAGTCAAGATAAGCAGATGAGTATGTGGGTGGGTGAGTAATAGACCATGCGCAGAACTGGATAGCGGAATCCAAGGGGTGAACAGATGGCTAAACAGGTGAGTTGATGGACGAACTAGCAGGTGAGTGTGCAAACAAGTGCTTGGTCAAGCAAGACAGTGAATTGGCAGGCATGAAATTCAGTGACCTAGTGAATAGGTGATTAAGCAGTTAAGTACCTTCCTGTAGGCATCGCACACAAGGATCATCTCTTGCAGCAGCTTGCCATCGGGCGTCGTCTTGGGCACAATCTCCCAGAAGACAAGCAGGAGCTTCTTCAGTGTGTGGTCTTGCAGAGGCAGCACGAAGCGGATGATTGTCATGAGTAGCCCCGGCAACTTATCGCCACTCAGGATCATCACAATCACCTTCTTCAGCGCCTCTGTCTTGGCACGGATATCACCCTTCTCTGTAAGTCAAAGCAGTAACAAGACAAGGAAGGAAAAAAATGATTCCCTTTCAAACAAGAAAACATTACATTGATTTCTAATAACCTTTTTACTTTCTTGCCAACAGGTGATTGAATAATATGAAAGAGATGGCTCAAGACAGTAAAGACCATTTAAAGTTAATAAGCATATTGAGGCTCATGGGAGACATGCCCAGGCTTTAAAATATAATTTAGTTTCCGCTATAATTTCTGCATTATTTTAGAGGGTTATCTATAAATTTATTCCCCTGTATATTAAAAAATATATGATAAACCATAAAGTAATGTGTCCCTTTGTATTTTAAAATCACAAGTTAAGCAAATTAAATATTGGCTTTTTTGTGCAGTCATTAGTGACTGCACAGACTATCAACTCACAACATTTGAGAACCTGGTTTTAACAACGGGGCGGCCGATACCTGGATTTGAACCCAGTACATCAGCCGATGCAAGCTCGGTTGTCTGACACGGCCATTATAAACCCTGCCCTCCTTTCTCCCCCGCCACCTCACCCAAGTCATTCTTGAGGCTGATCTCAGTGGGAGGCTCCGAGTCGCTGGGGATGTTGATGAGCGTGTAGCACACATTCTCGGCGGCCGTCATGTCTCGTGACGAGCCAGCAGCGCACGTCTGCGTGCCACACACAACCTGAAATTGGATGGGACACAAAATTCCGTATTACTGTGACAAAAAACCCATTCACTTGATACACACTGTATAACTTCAATTGCAATTCGATAAATGGGTGGGAATTACAAATACAGTTTAGATTAATAAAGTGTGCAAATGTGACCTCACGTCTCAAGATTCTGTACAGACAGGCCACACATGCCAAAATAGGACATGGTTATTTACTGCGTATTGTTATCATTTATACAGAAAAAGTATTTATGGGTAGAATTCTACATGTCAGAAGGAAATTAGAGACAGATAGTCATCGGTAAAAGTACAAAGTCTTGATCCTAAAATTTAAAAGTGGGAGTCTCAGGTTGTACAGTTAACAATGGGAAAGGAATTCTAGATTTGAAGCTTTCGTGACTGCAAATATTCAAACTCTTTGTTTTTTTCGGTAAAGTCACGTAGGTAAAATACAACTTAAAATAAAAGAAAACAACTCAATTAAATCACGACGTTTCGGAGGCAACACAAGCTTCCGTCTTCAGGTGGAACAGTCACAGCAAGATAGCTGCATCAAGTGGGGAGCTCTGAGACCCTCCAGCTTATATACAGGTTAAGGGAGGGGGAGGAGCCAAGCAGGGGGCGATGGACGACGAGGGCCTGCGGGGCCTGCGGGGCCATCGTCACAGGCGCCGCAGGCCATCGTCGTCCATCGCCCCCTGCTTGGCTCCTCCCCCCCTTAACCTGTATATAAGCTCTAGGGTCTCAGAGCTCACCACTTGATGCAGCTATCTTGCTGTGACTGTTCTACCTGAAGACGGAAGCTTGTGTTGCCTCCGAAACGTCGTGATGTAATTTAGTTGTTTTATTTTATTTAAAATTGTATTTTACCTACGTGACTTTACCGAAAAAACCAAAGAGTATGAATGGGAAAGGAATTCAAAACAGTGGTCGCAGCAACAAAGTATGAGCAACTCCTCATGAAGTAAAGATTGACAGTGCAAATTAAAGTTAGTGAGCTTCTTTGCTGGAGTAAAACAGCCCTTCAGAAGCCTAAGTCTCAGTGCACCTCCTCGTTCAAACATGCATGTGGTGGCGCACATCTCTGGCTGATGGCTGCGAGTCAGTGGTGGAAATTCCATACTCCTCTGGCAAGATCCGTCTGTCCACATTCCTACAACTGTGTTGATGTTCCTCGAAGTGGTACTCATATTATCGACGTGAAAAGTCAGCCCCACACTGAATTGTCAACCCATTACATGGACTCTGGGTAGTGGGTAGCAGGGCATGGCTCATTCATTAAACCTAATATTTATGAAGACCAACCTATCACTCTGGGATATTCTGGACAGTTCTGTAAATGGGCATTGCGAGAACTGATGTAATAATGTGCTTTTACTGGAAGTCTTTAGCAGGGAATTTAATTGTTGACGAGACCTTTGGAATGCGACATTTGCTTATTCTGGACTGTATATGCCAAAGTGTAGTATGGCCCTCAGCGGCTAGTCATAGCGATGTTCCTGGTTAATAATCGTTCAACGAAGAACGAGTTCAATAAGTGCAACACAGCAAGCTACGACTTATAGAAATATGGCCACTGCAAAAAAGACAACCAAACAGAGTAAAGGAGTGCAAAGAAACAATAAGAGACGCATTATATAAGCTTTAATTTGGAGAAAAAGGGGGAGCAGTTGCAAAATGAGCGCAAGAAAACAATAAATGTTAAACTCTTTCCGATGCTGTGGCATTTTAGCGAGCAATGGGCCCGGCACGTCGTCGCCACGAGAACGAAAATGAGCGAGACAGGTGGTGGAATTGAAGCTAAAGGAGGAGAAACGAGTCCGACAATACCAGCCCACACGGCGAAGGGTATCCACGGATTGAGGATTGTGGCATCGCAAGACTCCGAAAGATGGTGAAAAGGCGTGAGAAGGGACGATACATCACGACGATGGTGATGTAAAAAGGTGGTGATGATGATGACGATGCGGACCGATGAAGACGATCACGAACGGCTGCTGACATAAAGATGATTCAGAACGACGATGGCGATACAGCTGTGCGATGGAGGTAACGTCGTCCGTTGTTAAAAGATTGTATGAAGACGGTGAAGAAACTGACGATAATGGCTGTTTGAACTTCATTCGCAGCACCGTACGGAGCCAACAGTGCTAACCGGAGGTGCGGCGGGCGGGGGTAGGCCACAATTTAAAACACTAAAATAAATTTATATAATTGAGCTGGGACGACGTTTTAGTAGATGAAGACGACGACGACGAAGTGAAGGCACAGCGCCTCCGTGTGGAAATCTCGTGAAACCCACAACTCTGCGAAACCGCGTCTTCCACGTTACACGTATCCACCTCCATAGCGCCACACTCGCCACGAACACCACCGCCGTGACAACGCTGCACACGCAAGACTCGTCGGGTGCGTTCGCCGGGTGACAATTCCACCGCAGTGTGTGTGTGTGTGCCTGCTTTAAAGGCGACGACGTAGGCTCACGACGACGACGAAGAAGAAGATGAGAGTTGGGCAACGATGAGAAACCCCTCAAACGTCGCATCCGAGGGCCTAGCGCCGCCGCCGCCAGCTCAGCTAGCCGCCCCCTCCTCTCGCTCGCTCGCTCCCCGCCAACACGGAACGGACCCGCCTCCGATCGCACAAACGTCGGCGGCCACCGCGAAATGACGACGGCGCGGGCCGTCTCCCATGGGGAGAGACGCGCCACCCCCACCTGTTCGCGTCTCTGCGCTTCGTCCGCCCCGTCGAAATATGGTCCCCGCTTGCGCCGCTTTCACCCTCGCCCGTGTGGGATTTCGGTGGTGCCCGAGCGCCGCCAGCCGCCGCCTCCTCCTCCGCCGTCGCTTCCCGTGACGTGGAGGGTGCCCGACGGCTTCGATTAGATTCCGCACTGCGCTTAGGCGCGGCGCGCGCCCGGGGTGTACGTGGGTGGGGGGCGCGCGGAGACGGTGGTGGGGGATGGGGGCGTGGACGCGCCGCGCCTATCCGCGCTACGGAATTTGAAGGCGCGAGCAGCTGACCTCCCCCCCCCTCCGCTCTCCCACCCGATTGATTCAGCGGCCACGCCGCTCGCTTGTCTTTTGTCATTTACATAACCACGCCTTCAGGTATTAACCCCGCCCCTGGTGGTATTTCGTTAACCCCGCCCCTGGTATTTACATAATCCCGCCCCTGGTATTTACATAACCCCCGCCGCCTGTTATTTACCCCGCCTGTTATTTACATAACCCCGCCTCCTTACATGAAGCTGCTCGTTTATTTGCAAAGCCTCCGCGCCTCTTAAACTTCATCTTCCCCGTCGTTCATTTACAAACACAACCAATACCCGACATTCACCACGGCGCCTGTTGCCAGGGCAGGTGCACGTTGATGCCACGTGAAGTTGTTGGAAGGCTCGCTGGGAGGGGAGGTCACGGGACAAAACGCAGGTTGCCCCAAGGGTCGACTGACTTGAGATGACTGGCAGATGTGCAACCAGCCCCATCCCCCCCCCCCCATTTACTCTGCCAACTTGCTGCGATTGAGCCGCCCGGCCCGGCGGGGCCTCCGCTCGTCGCTCCTCTACCCCTCTCCCCCACCGTTGTTGTCGGCTGCCTCCAAGCCTCCGACTTTCCACAGCAGTAGCAGCAGCGTCCTTCACGAGCCTCCGATTCATTGACATAGCCCCCGCCCCTAAACTTAATCTCCGCCTTCGCTTATATAATTTATATAACTCCGCCCTCTTATGTTAATCTACCCCCCCCCCCGCTTTAATTTACATAGTCACCGCCTTCTTTCTTCCATGGCTCCTCCCTCTCACCTCACTGCCCCCCCTCCTCCTCCCCCCCCTATTTCTATTGGGTGATTGTGCTGCGTTGGCAGTGGTTGCCACTGGCACGCAATAAAGTTCATATAGCCCTGTGAGCCATTCGGCTCTTGAATCGGGTGTAACCGCAACAAACAAAAACATGAACAAGAAAACATCTTATGAATAAGGGTCATCGCCCGAAACGTCGCCGGTTGTATATGGGGTTTTTTTCCGTTTAAAGTAGTCTTATTGACCATTTTTTTGCGATACTGAGTTGGCAGTCGTGCAAAAGCGCTGAGCAAAAATTCATGACATCCGTTCCTCTTCCAATGTCAAATTAAAACGTATTCATCAAGAAATGTAATTCTTATGCCCTATGGTGTAAAGTTTCCAAGTTTTTCTCAATGGCCAAAGTACTATGAAGAAGGGTAATTGCCAGAAACGTCGCTTATTACGCACTGCTCCCGTTAAGGCCGTGTTATTGACGAATATGTTCAGTTGTATGTTAAAGTGAGTCGTCAAAAGTCTTAAAAGGCCACCTATCGAACGAAAAAACGACTAATACGGCCGAAAACAAAGGTCAACGCGACGATGACGTCTCCACCGCCACGTCTCACCCAGCCGCGATGACATCATCCCCGATATCCCGTGTCAGCTCCCGTAATGACGTCACCGCACAGCACTTTTTAACGCGTGGCCCGTCCGTCGGCGATGACGTCACGCCGCGTACGCGCTTTTTTTGTCATTCCATCACCCGCGCAAACCGGTGACAATATCTGACCAATGACGTCATCGCGTAGTTCATTTGTACTCTGTTACAGGGCGATGGCCCTTATTCAGATTTATTCCGTTGTGTTACCACGCACAAGCGCAAATAAACACAGATTTATTCAGTTGTGTTACCATGCACAAGCGCAAATAAACACAGATTTATTCCGTTGTGTTACCATGCACAAGCGTAAATAAACACAGATTTATTCAGTTGTGTTACCACGCACAAGCGTAAATAAACACAGATTTATTCCGTTGTGTTACCATGCACAAGCGCAAATAAACACAGATTTATTCCGTTGTGTCACCATGCACAAGCGTAAATAAACACAGATTTATTCCGTTGTGTTACCATGCACAAGCGCAAATAAACACAGATTTATTCCGTTGTGTTACCACGCACAAGCGTAAATAAACACAAACTTATTCCGTTGTGTTACCACGCACAAGCGTAAATAAACACAGATTTATTCCGTTGTGTTACCACGCACAAGCGTAAATAAACACAAACTTATTCCGTTGTGTTACCACGCACAAGCGTAAATAAACACAAACTTATTCCGTTGTGTTACCACGCACAAGCGTAAATAAACACAGATTTATTCCGTTGTGTTACCACGCACAAGCGTAAATAAACACAGATTTATTCCGTTGTGTTACCATGCACAAGCGTAAATAAACACATGGATTTGGTCCATAGGTCGACTGGCTTTCCAGGCCAACATTGAATACTGACACATAATGAATTCAGCGTCATTGTGGAGAATATAAGTAACAAAAAACAGTCAATTCGCCTCCCCACATCAAATGACGTACAACAATAAAATGTTTTTACACTTGCCATCAAGTAGCCACACGGTCTTCATGCCAAAGATTCCCCGTGTAGCCTGCACAGCCTCTTGGGGCAAGTGCTGTTAGCGAGAAGCACCTATGAAGGTTGGCACGGGGGTGGGTGGCCAACAACCACGCCCGGCCGCCTTTGTCTCCCCAGTGGCGATTTTACGCATTACACCAGGAACTCATTTGAGGCCGAGTCGACCTAAGGGAGCCGCAGGATCGGGTTAGATAATCCTCACTGTTGGTCGTGAGCGGGAATCGAACTCGGCTCCCCGGGGTTTAGTAATGAAGCGCGCTCACTGCTTCTGATACCGCTTCCCATTGCATACAGGGGGGGCCCAAAAGTCAGGACAGGCTTTTACATTTAATTTACGACTGGCATTAAAACATTTTTATTTTGATTTAAAGCTTTCGTGACTGCAGTAATTCATATTCTTAGTTTTTTCGGTAAAGTCACGTTGAAGAGAAACAACAAAATAACAAAATATATATAAAACAATAAAAACATTCTCACGACGTTTCGACACACTTGATGATGACCGTTTGAGTTATGGTCGAAACGTCGTGAGAATTTTTTTATTGTTTTATATATATTTTGTTATTTTGTTGTTTCTCTTCAACGTGACTTTACCGAAAAAACTAAGAATATAACATTTTTATTGTGTATTCTTTAAGTTAATAACGTATCAAGCAATATATATTCTTCCTTTTCAGATAACATTTACAAAACTCGACCAAGAACCCTTCATGAATTTAGACGAAACAATTGATGAATGTTCAACGATTACACGTGTAATCTTATTTTTTTCAATTCCTAAATTAATTTCAAAAGATAATTCATGCATACATTTACGTGAATGGAAATCAGTTTGAAACGTTTGTTAAAAACAAATGAAATCGCCCGATGCGATTGTAAAAAAATATTATTAACCCGTGTCCTTCTGGGGAAGTGCATCTTATCACGTCGGCCACGTGTTAAACTGAGCCATATCCTGGAATTCCCAAGAGAAGGCGGTAACTTCTGTACAGCAAAAAAATGTTGACTCGACTTGTGCCATCTACATGGGGTAGAGAGTAGTTGTTCTTCACTAATTTTCCGAGGGGTGGGGTGGGAGGCACTTTCGCCGATAAGGCATCAGTGTGTGAGGGCCGCCACTCATTTGGATCCATTGGGGTCTGACAGCATGGCGGGGTGTTTTCGCATTTGTTTATAGTCGGGGACTGCACTAAAGACCACCAGGGGCTGCCAGTGGCCCATGTATGTATGTACGTGTATCAATCTTGATTTGAAGCTTTCGTGACTGCAGGAATCTTTGGTTCTTTCGGTAAAGTCACGTAGGTAGAAACAATAATATGGATTCTAGATTTAAAGCTTTCGTGACTGCTAGGATTCATACTCTTTGGTTCTATTGAGTAAAGTCACGTAGATGATCACGACGTTTCAAGAGGGGGGAATCTGCTGATGCAGGCTGTTTTTATAAAGGTTTAGAGATAGAGATGTAGCCAGGTAACTTCTGAAAAAAAATAATCTAATAGCTCAGTGGACCTTTACCTGGTAAGATAAGCAATAGTTGGGTTTAATTGTTTTACTTTTCCTGTACTTTGCACTCCTATCGATTTTTTTGTACTGTTGTTGTAACGTTCTGAGCTGCCCCTATTGGACATCTGTGAGAAATACAAGCGAAAGATGACGTCACGAATGTGACCGGGTTGCGATTCGTTATCCGCGCTGATGACGTCATCAATCAACTTGCGGTTGACGTTAGCTCGGCGCGGTGACGTCACGACCGTCCTACGTTCTCATTGGCTGAGCCGACCCAGCTGCTGAATTTAAACTTTTGTTGCCGTGAGTAGTCGCTATTGCCACACGCCCCCGCCTTCGGTCTACCCCACATACAAGTTACGTTTTATATTACGTTTATATTTTGACTACTTTTGTTTTGCGCCACGCCGCGTCCACCGCCATCTCATTCAGAGTTAAAGTAACGACACGATATCGAGCTCTCCTTTGAGTCAGGCCTGAGTTAGGCCTCGCAAGTTTTAATGCATGGTACGGTCGAGTAAATTCGCATTATTAATGTTAATCTATTGCTATACGTTGTAAGTGTGTTTGCCGATGCTTAATCTGCTTCGTTCCAATTGTCCTTTGCATTTGTCGTGGTTAAATCTACATGTTTCTGAAATTTGTTTTAAATATACGACCGACACGCTGGTGATTGTTAAATCGGTGAACGTATTCGTTATGGATTTACCTGTGGAAACGTGGGGGGGAAAAACCGCCGCTCCCACACTCGCCTGAGCAAACTCTTGAGTTCAGCGTCCAGTGGGAAATCACAATCGACTTGTGACCACACAACAAAGTTCAACGCGTGTACTTGCGGTTACGCAGGGGGTCGGCGTTGTGCATCGTCGTCAGGTTTCGAGTTAACGCGTCGCTTTTTTTTTCGGGGCGGCCTTGGCTACAGGTGGAGGAGCGCGATGGACGTCACGACATCCTTCGCCGAGTTGCTCGCCTCTCTCAATGAGATGGTGGAGCAGCGGCTGCAGGAGATGGTGCGCGAGGTGGAAGAGAAGCACTTCGTCTGGCTCGATGAGATTCTGGGAGAGGCCAAGGGGCGCTTCTGCTGGTGCGACCATATATTATCCTGGGTTCTGTGTGTCCACTGAGCTGCGTTATTTGCGAGCCTAACACTAACCTCCCCCTTCTAAAATCAGCACGCAATTGAAATTGTCAACATTCAAAAAATGCTTCTAGAAATTATGCCGATTGTGGTGGAGCATGTAAGTGCATTTTGTTCACTGGAATCTTTCGATTGTGATTCAAGCTTTGCACTTGTAAATATTCACAATGGTTTTTCTTTGCAGAAAAAACACATTTGTCTTCTGAAAATCAAAGGTTCCCGCAATTTATCCAAGATGGTCTTTTTTTGCGTCATCCATCTTTGATGTTGGTGGTGATGTTTGATTTTTTTTGGTGGCTAAGGTGTCGAATTTGATTAATGTATCACCATTTTGAACGAATTATGTTATATGCTCCACTGGGAAGCCATCATTGTTTGGTGCTGAAGGCTTAGAGGATGCTTGGACTTGGAAGCAGCTATGTGTTTTATAGTATGTTTGTGCAATGTTCGAGTGACTGATGTGCGTGTTATTTTAGTTTTTGTCGTGGGCATGTGTTGCGTGTGCTTTTTAGCTTTGTATTAGTAGGATGTGTACTATTTTTTACGTTGTGTGATATGTGTATTAGTTGTGTTTGTGAGGTTCTTGTGTATATAATGTGTATTTGTGATATGTTTGTGTACATTGTGTCTGTGTTATGCATTGGTGTGTGACACTACAGTGGAGAGCCTGAGTTATTACCAAAGACACCGTCAGCCAAGAACCGCCAAAAGAAACGCAAGTCCCTTCTCGTTAAAGACCCCAGGAAGTACGTACCAATATCGTTTGTCTGCATTGCCTAAGCCTGCATAAATGAGTAATTACAGTTGTGTGTTGTTTGCCATCTACAATCAACTCTGCTGTCATTGTGATCAGAATGCCCAGTTCGCTCCGGGAGTCTCAAATGTAAATCCCAGTTGGGGAATGACTCGGCATATCTTTTCTCTGGGGCTGACAAATTGAATGCTGTTTTGCTCCCTGGGAAGCTAGGACTAATTGTCCTGTGTTGAGATTGGCATGCATCAAAGAACGTGTAATTTATAGGCCTGTATCGGATAGATTCACAGATTTATTCTTACCATCAAAATTAAGGAGAATAAATCATCCACGTGAGAACAGATTTTTTTAAATTGATGGTTAAAATCATTGTATGTGGTATGTAGTAGATTCACGTGACACCTGCATTCACTTGACGGCATTACAATTCAGAAAAAAATATTGATATTTTTTAAACCTTCACACTTGAAGAGGTGAACTTTGCCCTACTCGTTGGAGCAGGGAGATATTTGACGTTGACCCGTTGACTGTACGAGCATACGCTGCACGACACAATGCACTGCGTTGAGTGCACGTATGTGCATTTACATGTATGTACGTGTGCATGCTTCCGACTGTCCCTGCTTCCAGATGCTCGTGGGGGTCCGGCCGCAGAAGCAGTGCTCGCCGCTCACTAAAGACACACCCTTACCCGATGCTTGCGTCCCTCGCAGAGAGTGAGACAGCAGCACCCTTGGTCAAAGCTGCCCCACCGGCCACGCCGCCGGGCGAGCCGGTACTAGCCATTGTCACAACGACATGCAGTGGCAAAGTCGAGTTGGCAGTGGCACCTGCGGAGGAGAAGTTTGTCTTACAATGTAATGACGGTAGTGGCAGTAGTGACTTGGAGACGCAGGCGGGACCTGGAAAAGTCAACGAACCAGAGTCGAGTGAAGTTGCAGTGGTGGAGCCTGGCTTTGACAATATCTGCCGCACCCTCATGAAGGAGTTCACCAACCTGACTGATTCACCTACCCCTCAGCCCACAGGTGTGGCTGTTTATACACATATCATTTGCAACTGCTGTTTATTATTTGCTTTTCGTTTACCTTTTTCTCCATATGTTATTCTGATTGTGATATCAGCATTATGCCACGAGATGAAATATCCATTTTGAGTTCTCGCAGCGAATGCCCTGCGGAAGCAGATATCACACCGATTTCCGCGATACCTGCAAGCGACCTTGGTCCATAGAGAAGGGGGTAACACTGTTTTGTTAGGTTGATGGCTCACACTTTTGATCTAGCACTTTGACAGTTACGGTTGGTGGATAACATGAATATTTGTGAAATACCCAAGCCTCCTGGGCTATGAGGTGGTTAGGATATATCGGTTCAAAAAGTGAGTTCATTAACCTGCCTTTAGCTTTGAGTGATATGCTCTCATGCACATGGTTGGGTTGCTCTAGTTTCCTCCCAAAAGCAAAACAAAAGCTCTTAAATACAAATAAGTAATGCAGCATCCTACTAAAGAAGTGCTTTGAAGCTTTCCTAGATATATAAATGGCATTTAATGTTATCTTAGCAATGGCCTATGCATTGCGTCGATGGATGCTGCATTAATCACCAACCTTTCGCCCTATGTTGCTGTGTTGGTACTGTAATTTGTCATTTAGGAAATGCTGATAAGGTCCCAGAGCGACTGCAGGTGAAGAAAAATGAAGTGAAACAGGAGAGACCCCACTGCACCCTGACGAGGTAAGGGAAGTGGAATTTTGCACAGTGTCCATGCCAACTAAACTCTGTAGAATGTCTTAATTAAACCTGGATAACGGTGAATTTGTCTGCACTTCTAAGTAACTATTATTCGTGAAACCGCTTGCATAATCACCTCTGGTGACCAACCACTTCAGGTAGTGGAAAACATTAATTAGATCTACATCATTACCAGTAGACCTTTGCCAGTACCAAAATGTAATAATAGGGTTTTTCCCCTTTTTTTGGCGTCCTCTGGTCTAGCACCAATTGAGACGAGGCTCAAAAGAAAGCCATCTCTGGTGTGGAGCAATCAGTTTCAAGGACAATGCATATATTATCAGTTTTTTTTTTTGCATTTTGACCACAAATATTGTGGTTAATGCACACATGATTCCTAGTAAAAAGGTTTCAGTTTTGTTGCCAGAAAAAAGGGGGAAAACCCTATTATTATGAATTGGATCAGTTTACCATGTGACTCATTCGTAAAACAGGTGAATACTAAAGGTTTTTATATTCATGAAGAGTCGTGTACATTTATTCAAGTCAGGTGTGATAGTGCACACCTGTAAGCCAGCGCTTAGAGGCAGGGATGTGGATTTCCTGAGTTATCGTATGCTGCAATACTCAAACCCATGGGTCTCTGAAAGTACTGTATGTAAGAAATGGAAATATACCAAATTTGTTCGTGACCCGTCTGTCAGCCTTTGAGCTACCTCCTCATGTGCACGGTAGGTATTCTCTCTGCACTGATTGGTTATTGATTTCTTCCTACATGAAGTAAAATATTCTATCATGTCAGACAGTCCTGGACAGCTGGGGGAAGGGATTTCCAGACTGGAGTTTGCAGAGGAGATTGAGTGCCTTCCTACTGAACAAAGATTGATTGGGGGCTGTTTTTTTGTGTTGTGCCTTCCAATAAAATGGAATTGTCCAAACATCCTAATGTACAACCCAACTGCGATAGTCACGCAACTTCCTGGATAGACAAATAGCTATAAGTGCTCTAATAATTTATTGCATTAGTCAGTAGGGTCTGTTCGTCTATTTCAATGTTGTTGATCTGTTGCAGTGCTGTTGATTTACGATTATGTGATCCGAATGTGTTACTGCACAGGTTGCAGAAGAAGAAGGAGAAGAGTACAGAGAAAGAACCACAGAAGGTGCGTGCTTCTCAAATGTGTGGTGTCAAGCCTCAATTGAAATGACATCTTGCTATTAAAACCAAAGAGGCTCGTCAGATAAAGGGACGCTCTTTTGGTTACGATGTGCTGGTTAAATCGAGGACATTGAACTTGTCACTGGTTAAGAAAAGATTTCTTGGTTTTGAACAGTTACATTTATTGAATATATCGCCCTGGTCAAATGAATGCTTTAATTGTGATGTTTAAGACAAATAAATGCTATGTGACACACTTGTTAAATGACGGCTTTAATTGAATGAGATGTTTAATACAAATACATTCAATGTGACACACTGGCTAAATGAAGGACAACTTGCAATCCGACTCTTGGATTAAATAACGGACATGAATGTCGATATGATCCAATACTTAAAATGGGAACACATTTTATTATAGTGTATTGGTTATATAAGGTATATTACATTTTTCAAATCGGAGAGGTGGTTGCATGTCCGAGAATTGAGCTTGAACTACTGAGATCCTGTATTCAAATCCAGGTTTCAGCAGCCCATCATTAAACTGGATCTTTAAGTGTGGAGAAGTTATGGTCTCAATGGGTGCACACAAACACCTTAAGTTTTAGGAATCCCTTTGATCAATTGTTCAGTTTTTTCTATAGAGCAACACAGTTTTATACAAAAAAGCAATTATATTTTTTCATCTTTTCTAGAATTAACATGACCCTATTTTACTGGCAGGAGATGGACTCGACAAAGCTAATGGATTAATACTTTACATCTTTTTTGGAAAGCATTAATAAAAGTCACTGAACTGACTGCCTGGCAGAAGCTGGCCAAGGTTTTGCGGAACGCATCCATGCGGTCGATGCGCAGGAACCCCGGCAAGGACGTTGTTGCAACCCCCACAAAGACTCTGCTGACGAGCACACGAAGCAGCCCTACCGTGATGTCCACCGCCCCTTCGGCCACCTGCTCTTCAACTCCCATGTGCTCGAGCGCGAGAGGTGAGAAAAGCACCAACCCACACCAGGGGCCATGGATGGGGAAATTGTGGACGGGGTTTAGTGGTTGTCGTATGCACTCACTGCCCACGCCCTCTTGCTTATGAGCCTAATTCATTCCGGAGACCCATTCTTAAGTTGAACAGTTCGTAAATCAGAACACTAATGCACTGTATTTAAATGCCAATATGGTCAGTGTTATGAAATGTGTTACGGTTCAACAAAATGGGAAGTATTGTTAAACTTATGACATATTGTATATTTGCATGTAACACTAAAAAAATACTGTATAGTAAATAAAACGAAATTAACATAAATAGAAAAAAACTTTTATTTTCACTTAGCTTGAGTCCTGATACTGGCTTGCATGTCGGAAGTGGGGTCAATGAGACGCTACAATTGCACACACACAGAGCATGTGCACACCCACACAAAGACACACATGGGAGCATGCACACACACATCCCAACAATAACAATCCCCCTTATGGCCTTAACAGGCTTGTGGGGCAAGTACCCTTAGCGAGCAGCACCAATGAAGGCCCGCACGGCACACAAGGGGTGAGTGGCCAGCGCCACGCCCGGCTGCCTTTGTCTCCCCAGTGGTGATGTTTACACACTGCACCAGGTACTCATTTGCGGCCGAGTCGACCTAAGGGAGGCCCAGGTCCCATTCAGAAAATCATCGCTGGTATTAATCGTGAGCGGGCAGCACAGTGCGCCAACCATTGCACTACTGCTCCCCCCACACACCCGTGCTCACACAACGATAGAGACCCACCGTATGGCTTTAAGAGACTAAGAACAAGTGCTGTTAGCGAGTAGCACTTATGAAGGCCCGCACGGCACACAAGGGGTGGGTGGCCAGCACCACGCCCGACTGCCTTTGTCTCCCTGGTGATGATGTTTGCACACCGCACCAGGTACTCATTTGAGGCTGAGTCGACCGAGGTAGACTCAGGACCAGTTCATATAATCGTCACTGGTGTTGGTCCCGAGCAAAACGCAAACTCAGTCGCCGCTTTCGAAGCGCAGTGTGCTAAACACTACACTACCGCTCCCCAAACACTCACATTCACACACTCATTTGCACACGCAAACACTCCCAGTGCGAGACCAACTCGTTACATCTTCCGGAGGATCGCTCTTCTGAACAAAATAGTTCCACGGTTCAGTTTGCAAGTGCGAGTTCGCGTTTTAATTCAATGTTATTTTTTTATATTGCATGGATGTTGATTCGTAAGTACGGGTGTTAGTAAGTCGGGTGTTCATAAGTCGAGGATTGTCTTTATAATAATTGTGAATCACATGAATGTCGGTGTAACACAGTGAGCACGTCAAACTATCGTGGGGTTTTGTGTATGAAAGTTTTCATTTAAAGCAAAGCAATGTGTTTGTTACAGAGACTGGAAACGATGCAGATGCGATGCAAGTGATAAGGTGAGTTTCCTTGCCAGGCAAGTGTGAATTTCACATTTAAGGCTCCAGTTAAGAATCGGAACTAAAAACAAATAGCAGGTGGGTGCTCTACGTGGTTAACATTTTACTCCAACCAATGTACTTTGGTATTTTTTGTAATGAATGTTGTGATAATGGAAGTGGTGGTGATGTAGAAGGTCATTGTAACAAGGGCCAGGGTGTTGAGGATGGTGATAGCATTAAATAGTAATGTTGACAGTAACAATAAAAACGGTAATATATTCGTTTATTCACACGTAAGTAAGACAGAGCAGCGGGACACGCTGCGGCTTCATACATCAATTCAATAATAGAAAATAAAAAAATATATTGGGGGAAAGTGGTGAGGGTAGCAATGCAGTGTTATAGAGGGGAGAGGGAATGATTGTGATGGTGGTGATTAATGGTGATGTGGTCGGGGTGAAAATCTTGGGTGATTCTGGTAATGGTAAAGCTTGTGAGTGGTGATGATAGTGATGGTAATGTTTGTGATGACATTGATAGTGTTATTGGTGATGGTGGTAGTGATGGTATAATGAAGGTAGTAATGTTGCTGATGATATCCTCCCTATGATGCAGGAGACCCAGCCTCAAGCGACCCCTGCTCATCGGCTTCAACATCACCCCGATGAAATCACCGCCCAGGAAGAGACTTCAGACCATCCCAGCCAAGGTGCTCAAGGTATAGCTCCTGCGCTTGAGTGTGAAAGCACAGCAGTTGTCTTTGTATCGATTCAGTTATCACCATCACCAGCAATTATAAATCCTCTGCTGGATTCTTCAGGCCCCCACCCCCCAAGTCCACCGCCACATCCCACAGTCCTGCGATGCAACAGTCCACCCAGCACTTGATTTCATCACTCCATCTCTGCCGTGGATAACCTTTCGGGAGCGTTATCTACCTTCGCTGCCACGCCATAGTTATTTTCGACCACTGGTCATTATGCCTTCTAGAGACATTGTACCTAAGGCCACTTTTGTTAAGTCACTATATCTATGATTTTCATATGTGCTTTAAGCCACGTGTCCATCTTCAGGTCTTCTAATGTAAGATGATAAATTGCACATGCCCAAATGACCCTTGATGCTCCTTTTCTCGGATCTTGGAAACGTATTCGGTTTTTAAACCTGAGTAGTGTTGTACAATAGGAATAACAGGTGCTGTAAGCTTGGGCTGTGACATAGCCACGAGATGGCAAAGAACTTAAATTAAGGGGGTATGCTGCATGCTGTATCATTCTGCATACTGTATCCTACTGCTCAGCCGTGTAGCTCACGAAAGTAGCTTGTCGACCACTCAGAAACTGCGTGATAATGGGCGCGTTTCAAGTTGTACAAAAACTGTTCCCGAATAGAAGAACCATGTTATAGCAATAACGCGTTGTGCGAACACACATTAAGTGAGGACTTGCCATACTCCGGTTTCCTCCCACACAAAGTAAAACACGGATTGAAAAGGAATTGGTGAAACATACCAATGCAGCACCTACCTAAAACAAAAGCATCTTAAGACTCATTGAGGCTTTTTAAATCAATGTGAACATTATTGTGATGACATCCCCTCCCTACCCCCACACCGTGAAGCGTGCAGTGACTTTTGCAGAGACTGGGCCACGCAGCTTTGTGAGCCAGATTTGCAAGGTTTTTACACCAGGGAGGCCACTTCTGGTTGGGCATCCCACAACCCCTAAGGCCATTGTCAAGCCCGACGCCCTGCGCAAGGCTGACTCCAAGGTTTGAGGATGCCGGCCCCCTCCTGCGGGGGTGGTGAGGATAGGAGTTGTGGATTGGAATGAGGAAGCTGGCAGGATTTCCTGTTACAGATTGCTGTTGTTGAGCGTCTATAACCAGTTAATTACGATTGTGTCCAAGCTCGGGAACGAAGCAGGGTTGAGCCTTTGATAGGTGATCACCATGCATAAAACAGGTGTCATAGATGGTTACATTGACAGCAGAGGGGCATTGCAAAAAAATGCAATATTCAATATTTTACTTAATAATGCTCCAACGTCTACACTATCCGCCTTCACCAACCCACACTGACGAGTGGTGGTGCAGTATAGTCAAACAACCCTGACGATCCACATGGTGTGGGGGAGGTCCTCATCCAGCAGTGCAATGTCAAAAATAGCTGTTGAGCATGTGAAAAGAGTTTTAACAAACTGTAAGATAAAACAAACTCAAATGTAAAATTCATAATGAGTAGACCGCTATAACGACGAACAATTAGATTTTTGGGCAAAGTGGAACTCGCAATTGGAGAGTTGTGAGTTATGTCCTGGTGAGGGAAACTCGGTCTGTAATATTTAAGGTGCCAATAAAATGAGAACCATTTTTAACAAGAACCATTTTACCGAAAGAACCAGAGAGTAGAGAACCATTTTGTTAGAATTGAATAGTTATCCTATGGATAGACTGACCCACACCTTGCAAAGGTGGAATTCACATCACTAGCTCATGGCCATCAATGGAGACAATAACTACCTCGTTTCTCACATAAGCAGGGAGAGACACTGAGATGTTTCACTTGGCTTTCCAGTTTTTTGTTATGAACAGAACCAGGCAGCCCTTAATAAAATGAGAGACACTGAGATGTTTCACTTGGCTTTCCAGTTTTTTGTTATGAACAGAACCAGGCAGCCCTTAATCACTGTCATTCCACGTGTCTCTCCTTATCGTTTTTGGAGGAGTTTGTAAAAATGTTAATGAGTATTGTTGATAGATCTGAATGTAAATTATGGGTATTTTTGTAAGTCATTAATTAATACTCCTGGTATTCCATTTCTTGATAGAGGCCTTCCTACAGTCATTAATGGGGGTTATTTTGCCATGCTTCATCACGCTGGTCAGAAGAGGCTTGCCCAACAATGGTTCAGAAATCATTCACCACCGATGTTAGCCAATCTCGGGTTGCCAGGTTCATAGTGCAGTACATTAACAACTGCACTACCGTTCCAACCCACTCTGGCTTGTGTGGGTTGCTTTGTCAGTATATCCTGCTTTGCTGTACACAAACCCAGATCTCCCTTTTAAAAAAAGACTTCCCATCTCGGTGAGCATTACTTGGTTATTACTCCAGTATTGTTTTTTCACGAAGTTGCTATCCACGATTTTGGCTATCTGTGAATCGCATCTGGAACTCTACACAACTGCATCAAGAGAGATAAATAAAGTCATGAGATAATCTTGATTTGAAGCTTTCGTGACTGCAGGAATCCATACTCTTTGGTTCTTTCGGTAAAGTCACGTAGGTAGAAAAAATAATATTTCACGACGTTTCGATCTCAACACAAGCAATCGTCTTCAGGTGAAAAAGAGGGCAATCTCATAGTCATGAGATAGTGATGTGAGAATGTGATGTGAGAAAGTGATGAGATAAAGTCATCATGTGTTCTGATAATTTTAATGGATTTAATAGCTTTTTTAAGTGTTTAAGGTAATTCATTAATTATCCACAAATTTTCGATTCACGTGCATTTCTGGAACGTATCCCGCACGACAGGATACTGTAAACATCTGTTTTGGTGGTTGTGGCGCAGGAGAGTGAGCGGCAAGCGTTGGCTGACCAGCTGAAAAAGAAGCAGGAGATGGATGAAGAGCGCAAGCGCAAAGCCGAGGAGACCAAGAAACAGAAGCTCGAGGAGATGAGGAAGTGAGACCTCAAGTGCTACAGCATTAATCATCAAGTTGCTCAGTATTCAATGCAATGCACTTTGATTTGCACAAATCCTCAGCATTGCATTGTGATACTCGATCAGGAATTTCCCACATCCAAATCAGAACCCTCCTAAAAAGTCTCACCCTCAGGGTTGCTTTGCTTGAAACAATAAAAGGCATAGGTATTATTTTTCCAAGGTCCCCGTGGAAAAATGTAATGTGTATGCCGTGTTTTATTTCATGATTAAATTTACAGTATACATTTGTACCCTTTGGTTCTTTCGGTAAGTCACGTAGGTAGAAAAAATATAACGACGTTTCGATCGCAACACAAGCGGTCATGCTCAGGCGGAAGAAACAATCCAGCAGTGAAACTGCTGAATCAGGAAGAAACGTAGCGAGAGAGCTGTTACAACAAGACGCTGTATATGTGGTGAAGGGCAAGAAGGCCTTAATACAACTGACGTGCTTGCGTGCGGGGATGGAATTCCTTTCCAGCTCAGACCCCGCCTGCTTGCCCTTGGCCACATATATAGCCTCTTGTTGTAACAGCTCTCTCGCTGTGTTCTTCCTGGTTCAGCAGTTCCACTGCTGGATTATTTTTTCCACCTGAGGACGACCGCTTGTGTTGCGATCGAAACGTCGTGATTTTTTTTTTTGTTTCTACCTACGTGACTTTACCAAAAGAACCAAAGAGTATGGATTCCCGCAGTCACGAAAGCCTCGAATCAAATTATATATTTGTAATTCGGAAATATTGTCTTTTAGATGCTTTTTGCCACTCATTCCCACAAGGAAAGTTCATTTTTGTATGATTGAGTTAATACCAGGAGCCTGGTTCATTTAGAAAGTGGAGCAGTAAGATTCCACATTTTTGCCTGAATGACGAGGATTGAGAAATGGAGCAGTGTTTTGGTAATTTATCTGTCAAACGTCACTGGGAACTGTCTTGCCGTTAAAACCGTATCTATGTGGATCAATGTGGCTATGTATGTATGTTAAGCTTTCACAATGTGCGTAGCCAACCATGCAAATCGAAGGTGTGGGGAAGGACAAATTAAGCACAAAAGCAGTTGTAAAGAAATACTTTTCAATTTATATTTAGAAGTGCATAGCTCCAGCGGCTTCCTAATAACGGACAAGCGTTCTAGATGGCCGCAGAAGCGCATCTGAAAGTGCACAATGCGGTGACCATCTTTGTTCGATGGCTAGCGGCAAGAAAGATGCTATCATCATCATGAGGCGCAAACCGATCGACGAATCGGTCCCCATGAAACACCAAAGGGCGATCCTACCCTGCACTTGCCGCCACGATGAGTGGACGCGAAGGGCACGGTGGGGAAGATCGACCTCAATCGACAGTGCGGTATTGCGTGGCATTGCAGTGTATGGCAAGTTCGCCGCAGCAAGCGTGTTGCATAACGTGCCGGTGTCTGGGCGCGTGCAGGAAGCGTGAGGAGCGGCAGCAGAAGGCTCGTGAGAAGATGGAGCAGCAGGAGCTCAATAAAAAGAGGAAGGCTGAGGAAAAAACGGAAAAGGTTCTCAACGCCACGCACGGACGGCATCTGCATTATTTAGCCTCTTGGCCACCGTATCCTGAGAGTTCCAACTATTCATCTCTGCGTCTCGATCACATCATTGGAATGTTGAAATGCAATTGCAAAAACAATTTAAGGGGAATATATTAACTTTGGATGCTGCGCAAGTGAAAGTTGTGTTTTAGTGCCGTCGTGACTTTGCTTCCACATGCGCAGGAGGAGGAGGAGCGGCTGCGCAAGGCAAACGAGGCGAAGAAGCTCCTTAAGACTCCCGTGCCCCTGCTCAGGTAATGGTGATCACATTGTCAACAGCACTGCTCCTGTCTGTTTCCATCCTCTTGGTTTTGCCCTGGGAGAGTTTTCCTGTTCTATTGTTTTGTTTAGTGCCATACCATGCTAACCACTTATGTATCCGGTGACCCGAGTTTTATTCCCGGCCATGGCTAACATTAATTCCGAACGAGATCAGAACTGGTCCAGGGCAACCCTCTTTCACCGCACTGACTAAATTGGAGAAGTACGGTTAAACAACCCCCCTGACCAACACGGCGTGAGGAGGTCTTTAGCCAGCTAGTAGATTGACAGGAATGAAAATTGTTAACATAAAATTAGGCAGCCCAGGCATGGTGCTAAACCCACAGCACCCCATCATGGGGCATGAGTTTCTTAGTAGGTGCTTTCTGATTGTAATTACCCTTACTGTCTGCAAAGCTAAAAAAGGGCTGTTTGTCGTGTGTATGTGTGTTGCCCAATTGTGATGCTGGGTTTAACAGGGCTGTCAAGATCACCTTAAATCCTGCATCCAAGGTGCTTCTCAACCAATCGATAAAGGTGAATACATAAGCAACCTCGTGCCATTGCGTACAAGGCTGTGCCCTTGTGTGCACGCACGTGTATGCAAGTCCATGTTTGTGTTCGTGAGGAGATGGGGTGGAGTGTTTGATACAAAACACAAAAAGTAGTTCGGTTTGTTGTCCTTCCCCAGACCTCAGATTAGCACGGTTGGCTACATATTGTGCTAAAGAAGTTCTACATAAATACAAAAGCACGTACAGTAAACCCTTCATATTAGCAGGGGATACTTTTCTGGAGAACAGTGCAAATGTTACATCCGCAAATATTGATACTTGCAATTGTATGCATGTGTGTGCACATGTGTACCTGAACGGAGAGCGGTAGTGTGCGCTACGAACCCAGCAACCTGAGTTTGATTCCCGCTCATGGACAACACCAGTGACGATTGTTTGTCACTGGTACGGTGTGTAAACATTGCCACTGGGGGAGACAAAGGGGGCCGGGCGTGATGTTGGCAACCCACCCCCTTGTGTGCCGTACCGGCCTTCAGGTGCTCACTAACAGCACTTGCCCCAAAAGTCTTATGGCTATACAGGGGATCTTTGTCTTGTACCTGAATGTAAGTGTATATGTGTGACTGGGTTCATGTGTGTTCACGTGCATGTTGGTGTGTGAATGTATGTCTTGCGTGTATGCAATTGTATGCATGTGTACGAGTGCACTTTCATTAATGCACGTTTGTGTACCTCTGTGCATGTGCACTTGAGTGCATGCGTGTGTGTGCACTTAGACCTCTGGTTCTCCTTACCACCTCTGCTACCCTCAGTCTGAAATGTCCTTCCCCCTGCCATCTATGCTGTCTACTCCCTGCCCCTTATCAAGACCATCCTATGAGTAGCTCCCTCCACCTATAAAATATGCCCAGTTTCTCTACAGAATCTTGAGATTGGTCTTACACGCTATATAAATGTATTGCTTTGTATTGTTGATTGCATTTCCCTGTTTATTTCATTCATATATGTTGCCATGCAAGCTCATCGGCTAGCAAGGTCCTGCTTGTTAGGTTCTCGCTCACCCATGTTCCCCGGTCCGGTGGCAACAGCCGCAGATGGTGGACAGCCCACAGACGTACGAGATGACCCCACAGTCCGCCACGGTGCCCAAGCCGCCTCAGATAATAGGCGAAAACTACGGCATAGACCTGGAGAGCGGGGACTCGACAGATGACGAACACTCGCCCAAGAAGGACATCCCACTCTGGGCCACAGGTTGGTGGGGGTCGCAGGTCAGCCAGAGGGGATGGCAGGAATGCTCTGCCCTGGGCTAGCAACTGGGGCAGCACGAGGATGCTAGTGGGGGGTTACATTTTTTTGTACAAAGTGGCCATCATGCATGCAACAATGCATTGATGGATTAAAATCGATTACCATTTATATCCGTGCTCATGATACACAAAGAAAATGATGCTCATTAGAATTACTTGTTTTATGCAAATTATGAGCAATTTACATAATATTATTTTTCATTTAGGCTAATAAGGCAATGTAAACAAGACAAATTAAGGAATGAATACAAACTACATTAACAAGGACATAAATTACAGTATTCTAATAGCAACCCCGAAATTCATTGAATCACCAGGAGGGGGTAAATAGTTACCTAGTGCATGCGTGCATGCATGCATGCAAGTGTGCACGTACACCGCATGTGAAGTTATAAAGTAGAGAAGCGTGCACAACGAGCAATGCGCCGAGCGGATAAATTAGAGCAAGGCAGGACAGGTGGGTGCGTCAGCCGGTTATCTCAGCACTTGGCCAAAAACACTTGGGTCCTGTGACCTGCCGGCAAGCCTTGGACACTTCACATGGCTCTCAAAAGTGCACCTAGCTTTGACGATGCCACCATCACTTATGGCGGCGATAGTTATTGTTGTTGTGCATGTATGCGTGCTTTTGGCGCTCCACGCCGCCTACAGACAAGAACCTGGCGCACACCCTTCAGGAGCAATACGCCACCCCGCCCAACCTCGACGACCTGTTTGATGTGATCGAAGTACCTGACCTGGAGGTGATCTTCAACAAGCGCAAGAAGTGTTACGTTAGTCGTTCCAGTTCGGCCAACTGGAACTCACCCCCGCTCAAGAATACCAGGCTTGGAATCCTGGGACACTAGTGGGGAGCGTGGGCTGTGAAAGCCGAGCACTGGACGCGACACGGGACGGTTGGGCTTAGGGATAAGGTTAACAGTAGGGGCTGCTGATATCATGTCTGGTTGGCTAACAGGCGCAGGGGTAGGGTCTGGTTTCGGCATGTGACAATTCACCCGCCCACCCACCTAAGTGTAACACCGGCCTGTCAACTGCATATAATTTTAAAAATGCTTTTTAAAAATCCTAAGCTTCATTTGTGAGCATAATAACATTTTAATCGATAAATTGGTGCATTATTACTTGCATAGTCTGGATGGCCCTTTGGGTGTAGTTTATGACTCAGGATACTGCTAGGGTCTCGTTGACTATTATAACTGGGTTAAAAGGTTAGTGCTGTGGTTAGTGGTTATGGTTATGGCTCGTGTTGGAGTTTGAAGGTCTAGTTGGATAGGATCAGATCCGCTGGTATGCTCCATTCCCGTAATAGGTTTCCCTACCTTACCCCTCTTGTTGCCAAGCGTGCACTTTTAACTTGTGTTCTCAGCACCTGATAATTGTCCCATGTTACTGCTGCCCCCTTGGAGATCTCCTGATTTACACAATGAGACTCTCGTACATTCACGAACATTCGCCATTACACAGTCGCTACTTGGTGCTTAATATTCGGGGGTTGTGCTGTTAAAACAATATAAATGTGTGATAGAGTTAAAACAAAATCTATTTCTATGATGAATTTTGCTGAAGCGTCACGTGTGCACGTGCAATGCGTGAGCCGGGGACTCAATTGTGACGGTTTTTGTGATGATTTCCCTCGTTTTGTGACACCAGGCCAGCATCTGTCTTGCTTTAGAGCTGCAAATGAAACCTTGGACACTGTTGGCAGTTGCACAGGAGCCACTGTTTGAAAGTATACAGCACTATGATCCTGCTGTTACAGATTATTTTGGGAATGCATTTTGGGTGATGCTCGTTCTTGAGAGCGGATGGTCGGAAATTGTAATTTTGCCTGCCCTCTATACTTTGTTCAGAGGGGCCATTGTATGAGATGTTATCTGAATATAGATGTTTCACTTGTAAGCCAGTGTTAATAACAGTCATTTTAACAGCATCTTCAGTTAGAATGGAACTTAACACTTCTTGCCAGTTGATAGGCAAGCCTAAGGTTTGAGCAGTCACATGTAAGTTACTGCGTTACATCACTTGTGCACAGAAATTAGTCATGGTCATAAAGGATTTTTGTTTATTAATGCTTATGCCAAAGTTCAATCTAAAAGCTAGTCCGGTTTCCCAGCTATAAATATTCCAAAATTGACCGTTTCACAATCACCATTGAAAGAAATAGGGTTGTATTTTCATTGCATATTCAACCCTTACCATTCTGTGCTGCCAAAATGCTTTCAATAGGCGTAATTGGCCTGTAGACTTTTAGACGCAACAAAAACTGCAGTTCTTTAGAGCAGGAGGTGGCAGTTTGTGTGCCTTACGTTGACGCACAGTGCTGCCCCTCTACCCACAATGCACTGCTGTTGTTTGACGTCGTTTTAACTTCTGTGCTGGCATCTTAAGGTTAGTTTGGCAATGCATATTTAGATGTATTCCACCGTGACCGGGTGCCTTATACGCAAGGAATTGGCAAAATCTAAAAAAAACCCTTGCTCGCTCTGAGCTCGGGCTTAGGCCCTGTGCACACAATTGGACCGTTTATTGGCTAACTGTACCAGAAGCTGATGCGCATTAACAATAATGCCATTGCTGCATGTCAGAATTGGGCATGTAATGAATGTTCTCTTTTTTTCTTCATCTTTGGCAAAGTTCTTAAAACCCCTCCCCGCCCCCCCATCCCCACCCCCCATTGTTGCAGGAAGGGAATGCGATGTATTACTGTCGGTGTGCCTGTAAACGCTTGCTCAGGGCTTCCCAGACTGCACTGGTTGGTGCAAGATGAATTTTCAACAGTATTAAGGTCTGGAATGTGTAGGCTACATCGCAGTGAAGGTTGGAGGACATTAAAGGCGAAGTGAGAACTGGAGTTTGGGCAGCCCTGTCTTAATCACTGCCTCTTATGCAGGATCGTGGTGAATATTTAGTTTGACGTTTTGTACAGAAATGCATAATGAATGTGTTGGTTTAATGCTTTGCTGCAATGCCTTGCACGGTACTTTATTTACCCTTAACCATGGACACGTTGATGTGCCACTGGTCACTTGGAAAACATCCTGTCTGTAAAATTATGACTTTTAAAATATATATTCGCAATTATAAATTGCATTCATAGCAGCCTCGTTGACAGGTGGGGTCGAAGCAGTCTACAATTCTAGATTTTTGTTAACCCACTCGTGTTCATATATCACCTCGCCATTAGAATTGTCTGTCACAGAAACTGCTTAAGAATTTCCTTAACGCCATGTGCCACTATGCTCAACCTAGAATGCATCACCCTTAATCCTTCACCCCGCGAGCTGCTAAACTCGCCATTTGCCGGCCTTGCCGCCTCACAACAACTCAGTCTTTCAAGTCTCCTCCCAATCGATTAAAGTGATTAATGTGAGCGGCATTGTCAAAACGTTTAAAAAGGAACCAATGCCAAAGCAACAGAGGTGACGGCAACTGATTGGGCGTTGATCATCACAGTGGACTGAATTTGCATCCCTCCACAATGTGTGCCACGGTTTTTATTTAATTTAATTCCCCCACTTGCACCATTCACAATCTTCGTTTGTATTTGTTTTATGTATCATGCTATTTAAAATCTCGTCTACCATGTATAGCGAGTTTAATAAAGATATTGTGTTTTGCTTAAAGGAAAGCAATGTTTTTTTGGCCAAAAAGCCTTTTGAAAACTAATTTTTTTATAACTGCTTTTTGTGTTTAGTTTGGCCTTCCCCTGCACTTCCGATTAGCGTGGTTGGCTACGTACGGTGCGAAAGAAGTTCAACATATGTAATGAGGGAGCGCCATCCAGGGGGTAACGAGTACGGGCACGATGATGTCATCGGGATCCAATCCGAGAGGGGGGGGGATATGATGGGGCTGGTGAGGCGTTCGGGAACCCTCGAAGGTTCCCCGAGGGGGTGTGGCCAGAGGCGGGGCTTAGCTCTGCCAAGGGGGATATAAAGGAGAGCGGGGGGAAGGTTCGGGGTCGGTGTGGAAGCCTGGGTTCCGTACGGCGGAGCTGCCTTCTCGCCACGGGCACCGTGGCGGGTCTTCCCTCGGAGCTCGCCTCCGCTCCCAGCGTGCCGTCAGCCAGCGACGAGGCCAGAGAGTGGAGTGAGCCCCGCGGGAACGCGATGAGAGAGAGAGAGAGGCGCCTCGTCCACGGGTTGGGAGAGTGGAACCATCGGGAGGGAAGTGAAGCTGTGTGGTACCGTTTTGAATAAAGAAGCACTCGACAAGCTCCGTCGTGGATGGCTGGTTGGATGAAATCACCTGAAGTAAAAATGTAGCATAATTTAAAAGATTTAGATAGAGAATTCATGTAATGTTTTAATTCATGAATCGACACCAGTCCTATTAGAGCACTGCTCTACGTGATGTGTTGAGCGGACGTCACTTTAAAGAGTCGACATGTCCACGTGGCAGCTCCCATTGACCTGCCATGGGGTAGAGCAATGAAACGCACAGGGTTGTTAGATACGAGAACATTCTGTAACATATGGGTTGTATTGTGATCGCAGGGGTCAGTTCAACATACTTGCTATACTGCTAACTGGCCAACTTGTATCCCATAACGACCCCGAGTTCCGCAGATCAACGTGTCATCTGCCAGCGCACATAGCATTCATCTCATTTAGATCAACCCATTCTGTTATAATGCAGATTACATCATATAAATGATGGTGTGTGATCCACCAATCCTTGCCTCCATAGGCCTTGAACACGCATGTATCAACACTGTCCCACACCTGTGCGTCGTGCTTGCTTCGCTGCCCTGTGCCGAGCGGGGCGATGAGGCCATCGGAGTGGCTGACGGCACACCCGCAGCGGCGGCCCCTGGGTGGCGGCGGCGGCAGCGATGGCTGCGTGCGTCTCGGCACGGGCGTCTGTGGTGCGCTGCTCCAGCCGCGACGATCTGGCGCTGTCGGTGGCAGGGTGGCCGCAGCCAGCATGGTGAGCAGCGAGCGGGGGCGCGACGGGCCTCCCCTCCCCGCTGGTGGCACTGCCAGTGGCGACAGCAGCAGCGGCGGTGTGAGGCTGCCATCGCTGGTGCCATCAATGCTTGGAGACGAGCATCGCTCGGCTTCCTCCGAGATGTGATCCAGTCGCTGGAACTCCATCTCCTGTGCGGGAATGCTGGGGCAGACGGCGAGGGGGTTTGCTGTGTGATGGCACATCTGGTCATGATGTGGTTAGGGAGGGGGGTGTTCCCGATGGGGCGTATGTATGTATGTATGTTGAACTTATTTCGCACCGTACATAGCCGACCGTGCTAATTGGAAGTGCGGAAGGGAGGCTGTTGTGCAATAAGCAGCAATATTTTCTCAACATAATTTTCCAGGATTTAGTTGGGAGATGGTCATTTACAATGTGAGAAGGCAAGAAAATTCCCTAAGTGGCTCGTATGAAGTCAGTGTTTCTTTTCTCAAATAGACATTGAAGTGGTGCTCCTTTCCATTGACTTTCATAAGCCAATGGTGACAATTCCAAATTGCAATGTCAGAGATTACACTTGAATTTATAACCACGACTAGAGGTAATGTTGATGTCGAGCAATGCACAGTTTCAAGCCTGCCTCTGAATCCGTGAGTAAAATAAACGCGAGCGACCGATCCACGCTTTGCAGTCGAGTTGAACTATAAAATTCGCTATTTTTTATTTTACCAGGTAAGACCCACTGAACTATATAGGTCTTTTCATAAGCGATCTGGCTATCACAAATGATAGCTCAACGAAGCGGCTGATGTGGAAATGTATAGCAGCCAAATACTCTAAAACGCATGTTGGTTCTAAATGTGAAGGGAAAACCGGAGGACCCGGAGAAAATTCCACGTGACCAACCGGGAGAGAGAGAGATACATGCAAACTACAAATATACAAGTGTCAGGGATCGAACCCACGACTTCCTGCATACCAGGTGATGGAGATAACATCTCGCCACCATGGTGCTTTGGTTCTAGTTGCCAGTGCGAGCCCCTTGGGCACCTGACGTCGAAGGTGGAGCCCTGGAAGGAGGCTTTGTGGTGGACCAAGCTGGCGCCGGTGTAGGGCGGGCACGGTGAGATGTCGTCCCAGTACACGTCGTGCTCCAGGGGCGGCAGATCCCGGTACATCTCGTCCACGCCCATGAGCGAAACCTGCGGCCACCGCGTTGTGCCCGTTAGGAGGAATGCAGCCCACAACAAACTTTCAGGCCGGTCCAATAAGGGAGCCTCCGTTTTTTTTGGCTCGTGGGGAAACGTGCAAATGCGTGCGCCCACATGTGCTTGCATTATTAAAACGCACTCGCTCACATCCACCTGATAATCATGCTGGTGTGCAGCATAAGGTATTTACTTTATATAATAAAATATTTGATGTTTGCCAATCATGTCCAAAAAACTCCAGTGGTAAGTTGTGCAGAACATTACAGGGGTCGTGGCGAGCGCTACTCCTTACCTGCAGATTCCTGTCCACGCACCAGTTGGCTTCAAAATCATCATCGTCCTCACCAAATGGGTTTATAAGCTGCTCTGCGACCTGCAGACAGAGGCCGTGATGGAGGGGAAATCATCATCACCATGAACTTCACAGCCAAGAATAAACATGAAAATAACCTTGCATAAATACATTGCAAAAACTAAAGAACTCTAACATTCCAAGCCGTTGATATGGTTGGCTGTAAAATAACTTAATCACGTTGAGGGAAGCCTCCTCAATCCCACGTTCCATGGCAGTTGAACCTTCACATCCCATATTCTTCCCCACTCGATACTTCTTCTTTCTTATGGTTGATGTAGATGCAGAGCAACAACTATAATTTCACATTCAGGTGGTCAAACCAGACAACCACGTTAGAAGCAGCAGAGTGTATCGCTGTGATATGTCTGGATTTGGCATTGTTGTATGGTCTGTTCTGGATGACCACAGTAGCACACTGTAGAGTTTTAGTAGAAATGAATTATACACCAAGAGAGGAGCACCACACTATCGCATTGTAGGAATATGGAATTTCCACCACTGGCTTAGTGTCATAATTGTCAAGGAGTACCACACTATAGCTCGACTAAGCCAGGAGACCACCTTGATTCTTGACTCATTGGACAAGGACAACTCAGCTGAACAACACGGCTCATCAGCTGTGGGATCGAGGGTTCAAATTTCGGGCAGCGTGCACCTCCCGAACCTTGAGCCAGCCGGCGTAGAAGAAGAACTGCAGGAGGGTGAAGACGGGGATGTAGAGGTCCATGTCATGGCCCGGGTAGCCCTGCGCCGGGTCCAGGAACTGGCGGCCGATGAGGCAGGCAAGGAAGAAGCTGTACACTGCCACCGTGACCACCTGCAGCACCGCGCGCACCACACAGGCGAGTCAACTCGGCACCACACAGATGGTTCATTGGCGTGCCACCACACACATTGGCGGCACACACCGCACATGCCATGAGCACCATACAACTTAATGCACCATACTGCACAGGCTACATGCACGAGTCCACATGGTGTGGACCAGCATTGCACATGCTGCGCAAGGTATAGCATGACAGTATGACAGTACGACAGCACAGGGCAGCACGATCCGTCACAAGGACGATACGGGCATGCAAGTAATGATACACATGACCTATCAGCCACCAGGGTTGGAATGGACCGCTGAGCAAATGGGCACTTGCCCGTTAAGCAGGTCCTGGACTTGGGCCATCAAAGCCTGTAACCAAATGTTAAATGCATCCACAGTCAGCTGGTGGGGATATAAGTTGGGCTGAGTGTGTGGTGGTCCCACCTCCAGGACAACTTAAAGGGCGCATTTTTGGTTGATCTTTGTGAAAAATTGTAGTTGTTGCTCTGCATCTATATCAGCCATACGAAAACAGAAGCGCGATGCAACCAATGTGCCGTTAACACGTCGAGGTGTGCTGCAGTATTTTCTTTTGAATTGATCGGCAGAAACACGGACAATGAAATAAATGAATGAACAAGCACGTAGACACACAGGCATCAACAGTAAGCAATAAAATACACACACGGTCATTGAGACGAGCACAGTAGATCAGACGCAGAAATCCAAATGGACAAACAAAGGCCAGCGTATGACTTGAGAAAGCAGCGTGCACAGACAATCACCATCATCGTCATCAGCCACGATCAATCTACATCTACTGATGGACGAGGGGCCCACTGTGATGTCTGTGGTTGAGTTTGCCGCGTGAAGATCGAGCAAGCACGAGAGGTGTGTGCACGCTGTGGAATGTTGAACTTCTTTCGCACCGTACGCAGCTAACTGCTAATCGTAGGTGCGGGGGGAAAGACAACAAACTAAACACAAAAGCAGCCCTAAAGAAATTAGTTTTCAATCTAGATTTAAAAGTGCATAGCTCCAGTGGGCTTCCTAATATGGGAAGGAAGAGCATTCCAGACGGCCGCAGGAGCGCAATGGCTCGCCAAAAGCCGCTGCGAAAAGGTTGAGAAGTTTCGCCTTAAGTTAACCTTGGCCGTTGCGAATACTACCGGTATACTGCCATGGCCACACAGGTCGACGCAGACGGGGCAATATCGTTTGTGAATCTGAGTGAAGAGCAAGGCACGTGGCAGAATTTGCGTGGCTAAGAAGAGCACGGGGGGAAGGGTGCAGGTGAGAACGGTTTGCTGCAGGTGACATTACCTGCGTGTACACCAGGGGAATGCTGACCCAGTCGTAGCTGTACAGCATGCTGCAGCAGCTCCTGAAGTTGTTCAGATCCTGGAAATCAGCAAATACCCTAAACATAGGCTATTTTGTTCACTTTCATTGCAATCTTCAATTTGTTCGAACTGTTTGTTTTTTGGGATTATCTTGCACGGTAATGTACTTTAAGATGTAAATAAAATCGTGGCCAATGGCTATTTGCCACCACAACGCCCACACACTGACACCACAACAATCCCCCCATCACATGTCTTCCTTCTGCCGTATCCTGCCATTGTTGCAGAGTTTACAGAGTCGACACCCAATCTCCTGGGTCCGCTCTAACAGGCGTCCCCTTGGTTACCGACCTCTGGGTGACATTCCAACGCCAGTCTCCGCGAACTGTCATCCTAAAACAAGGATCCCCCGTGTAGCCTTTAACACACTTTTGGGGCGAGTGCCTTTAGCGAGACAGTGTCTATGAAGGCCGGAACGGCACGCCAGAGGATGGGTGGCCAGCACCACGTCCGGCCGCCTTTGTCTCCTTAGTGGCGATGTTTGCACACCACACTTAGTACTCATTTGAGACTGAGTCGACCAAGGGTTCAGATAATCGTCACTGGTGTTGGCCGTCAGCGTGAATTGAACTCGGGTCGCTGGGTTCGTAGTGTAGCGTGCTAACCGCTACACCACCGCTCCCCTTCACCCTCCTTCCACACGCACCTCGTTCACCACAACCCCCTCCACATTCTCTCCCTGATTACATTTACAGTATAAACACATTCCAGCCACGTTCTACTCTGAGCCTCCAGTTGCTTACCCTATCTTTCCATTGGTTTCCGTGTTTTAACCGTACGTAACTTATCATAAATAGCCCATAGTTTATTAACTTATTGCTTTGTTATCGTCCAGAATAGTAACATAGATATTGGTCCTGCCTCATTCATACATCTCTTAACACAAAAGTTGACCTCTCTGCTATTCCAAAGTGGTTAACGTCGACCATTAGAGGTGATCTTTATCAGAGCCTTACATTCTTTTCCGAGTTAGCGACCCGGAAAATATTCCCACACCCGGCAACCACTTCCAGTATACCATTCGGTATGGCCATTGCTGCTAGACACGTGCCTACTGCAGTCTTACCAGCGACCCGGAAAATATTAGTGAAAAAAATAAGACCCTGGTAGCAGCGGTTTTCATTCACTGTTTGGGGTTTCCGCGGTGGCGAGATGTTAACTCCCTTGCCTGGTATGCAGGAGGCCGTGGATTCAATCCCGACCTGATGCCTGTCTATTTAGAGTTTGCATGTCTCTCTACCTGTGGTCGCGTGTATTTGTATCTGGGTCCTCGGGTTTTCACCTCCACATTTAGAATCAAGACGCGTTTAGCTTAACTGGCTGCTATTAATGTCCACCGCTAGTGTGACCCCGAGTAAGGCCCACTGAGCTATATAGCTATTTTTGAGAAGCCGATCTGGCCACGAATTTGTGATAGCCAGGTCGCTTCTGAAAAATAGCGAATAACTCAGTGGGATTTACCTGGTCAAATAAAATAGTTTAGTTGAACACGGAGGCTTTCGCGACCAATATTATCCAAATGAGAGGTTTTTTGGGTTAGACTACGTAAATATAAATGTGTCGTTAAACCTGCCACCACCCGACACAGCCGATTAGTTCGGTTTTTCACGTAAATTAAACATTCAATTCTTTACTAGTTCAGCGCACTGGTGTGTTGGGCAGTAAACCCACTCGAATGTACTCAAATGGTAAATGTTGTGGGTTTACTCTCCAACCCACCGGTGTGTGCCGAACTAGTAACGAATTGGCACGTTTTATTTACGTGACAAACCTTGCTAATTGGCTGTGTCGGGTGGTGGCGGGTTTAACGGCACATTTATATTAACGTAGTCTAACCTAAAAACCTCTCATTTGGATAAAATAGTTTTTTTTAGTTTTTCTTAGTTTGTCGTTCCCGTCACTCACATTGAGGATGAGCTGCAGCGACACGTTGTCGAGAATGCGGCCCTCTGCCTTGGCCTGCGCCGCCAGGTTCGCGAACCACACGCACGGCACCCAGAACTTGTTGTGCGGAGAGCGGAGGCCGTCGAACTTGCGGCGCTCCGCGGGCGTCATGAAGCCTGCGGTTGGAGGCACCTCGTGCGCCTAAAGTCCGCGTCTCTCGCCCCCTTAACTCAGTTAGTTGGTCATTGCGGCTGCGTTGGCAGTGTTGCTTTATGAATAAGGCAACAAAAAAAGTACTGTGTGCATATATAATAATAAGATGAAGGGCCATTGCCTGAAACGTCGAATATATATTTTCCTTCGAAGGCCACCGTGAGATTGACGAGTGTGTCGAGTTTTTCGTGTCTTTAACTGGGATCTGTGTGACTCCGCCAACTAGGCCAGCACACTCCAGCCCACGCCAGCAGACTCACGGCATTTGACAACACAGTCCCAGTAAAAATAAACCCTTAACATTAAAACGATGAGGGTAAAACAACCCTATACAGATGCATATCCGCAAGAGAAAATTAATTTATTCTAAGACGAGCCCTTAAAACGTCGACTGACGGAGCAACCCTCACGGACTAAGGGGCAAGACGTTCCACAAACGAGGCGCCCGACTATTGAAACCTCTGTCACGCAGATTTCTCCTCGGTATAATCAGGTGCAGAGGAGAATAAGCGGTGTACATTTGCAAGCTTCAACTTTATTTTGTTTTACGAGATGAAAGCTCAAGAGACCAGGATGTTCCTCATTTGCAAGAGTAAGCTGGGTAATCACGATGACAACTAAAGTGCAGCAATTCACTAAATAGAAATCATAACATACACGAATCAACATTATTTCAAACATAAATAAATGAAAAATATGTATTTCCCTGCAGCACATGTCGGCTAAGGTGCATTACCTCCAGACTGATCACATCACAATTTACAAAAATAAGCTATAACATTCAACATTAAACAAATATATGATGATTATATACTGTCATACGGATGTGTAAACAGACGACGGTATTTGCCGAAATTCAGACAACTAAATGAGTTTCAGACGCAGGAACAGCAGAAGAGAAGAAGCAACCGCTCACGGGAAGAAAGCAGATGACCACCCTTTCGAGCAGAGGTGGACGCGTGGGTGTCCACTCAATGTGGGGAAGCAGAGGAGATGAAGCGGTCACTCATCGAGAGAGAAAGTGTAGTGATAGTGCGATGGAGAGACGATTGTAAGCTTTCGTTCAAGGACTTGACTGAAGCCAGAAATGCAGACAACCAAAGGAGTTCTAGACCCGGGACCAGCATAAGACGAGAAGCAACCGACCAGCCTCTCGAGCAGAGGTGTACGCGAGGGAGTCCACCCACCGGCCTCAACGACGTGGTCCATGGTGGGGAACCGCTTGTAGACGGCCGTGCTGACGGAGCGCAGGATGAGCAGCGCCGACAGGTTGGCGTAGCGCATGAGCGTGCGGCGCAGCAGGCGGCCTCGCTCGTCCGCGCCGTGCACGTTGCACGCGACCAGGTGCATGAGACGGTCGGGCCACGGCAGGCTCTCGTACTGGCTCCACCAGCGCGACACCACCAGCGTCACGTAGAAGCCTGCACCAACAGTGAGACGCACGGGACCCTCGCATGTGGACAGTGAGCGGGCCACCGATCTGTTAAAACTATTCAACTAGATTTTTATTTTACCAGGTAAGGCCCACTTGAGCTATATAGCTCTTTTTCAGATGCCGACCTGGCCACAAATGATGGTTCAACGAAGTGGCTTATCATGTGGAAATGTATAGCAGCCAAATAATCTAAATGCATGTTTCTAATGTGGAGAGGAAAACCCCGGAGGACCTGGATAAAAAAATACACAGAGTGAACACGCAAACTCCAAATATACAGCAGGCGTCAGGGTCGGCATCGCACCCACGACCTTCTGCATACCAGGCGAGGGAGATAACATCTCGCCACCGCGGCCCCGCCAGCAGAGGTGTCGAGAGGGCATCTAACGATTCACCCACGTATCCCCCCCACCCCCCGCCGCCTCGATTCATCGTCGGCCACGATCTATCCGCTGCTGCTGTTCAGACTACACAATCCGTAAAGCTATCACCCCAACGAAAGAACCATCTGAGGACCCAATCAAAACCATCACCTTGCCATACATAGCAGGGGTCACCAGAAATATTTCCAAAATCATGAGCAAACACAAGATCCTTGTTCGATTTAACACAGTACATAAAATTCGTGATCTGATCCCATCTGTGAAGGATGCGATCCCTGACATACAATACCCCGGCGTCTACAAACTAAGCTGTGCCTGCGGCAGTAGTTACATTGTGGAAACTAAGCGACATGTCTCGGACCGTGATCGTGAACATAAGGCAGATCTGAAACACGGTAGGACTAATACCTCAGCCATGGCTGATCATTGTTTTAATGCTGTGGCTTCACACGAAAATGATTTCTCCCAGACGAAAGTACTCTGCAAACCCACTGACTATGAACAAAGATTCTTCATGAAGCCATCCAGATATATAGACAGACACAATTTCAACTAAGAAGATGGGCACAAAATGAGCAATCATTGGAAGGACGTTATTAACCAGTTTAAGTAATAACTGGCTGTGATGTTTTCATCCTACCTTCCGATATGAGCAGTTATTTTCGACTCTCTGATTTTACATTAACAGGTTCACATTAACTTAGTCGCCGTTTACATGGACATGCTAATCTCTTACATTGACATGCTAATCTCTCTCACTTTAACATCACTAGCCCCGCCCACTTCGTTTATGACCCTTGGGCTACACCCATTTCAAACCTTTAAAACAGCTTTCCTCAGCAGCTTTTCCCCCTCTTTTTTCACCTGATGACGATTGCTGGTGTTGCGATCGAAACGTCGTGATATTTTTTATTCATTTTAATTTCATTTTTATTATTTTATTGTTCTATCTACGTGACTTTACCGAAAGACCCAAATAATATAAATTCCTGCAGTCACGAAAGCTTTAAGTCAAGATGTATCCCTCAAGCTCCTGGACACGAGCCAATCGCATCGCTCCATATGCACGGTGGACATCCTCACTGGCACGTGTCCCTCCTGTGGCTGCCTCTACGTCGCTCGCCTCGACGACCAGCCATCAGCAGCCCTTCTTGCGACTTGAGCTATCCAATCCCACTTACTCTTCCTAACAGTCATTCCTCTCTCTCAGTGCAGTAGTGTAAACTATCGTGGGGGCAGGGGGTGCCTTGCTCCCATCCTGGTGCCTAAAGCTATTGTTTGGGGCCCCCTTGACAACCACCATGAGATATGTTTTCAGCGACAGTGTAAAAGAACACAAACTTACGTAATGATGTTATTAGGCAAGAGGAGTCGTGATATACAGCCTGGCTGCGAACGTGCGAGACAAATACAAATGTGAGGCCCCACCTGACCGATTTCCACACCCCCTGAGTTGATAACGTAGTTACTACGCCACTGTCTCAGTGTAATTCCAAGCGTGCATCCATCTCTCCGACACGTATTTGCACTCTCAACTTTGATAACAGACTCGGCACCGACAGCCGTGGTCACTGAGACACCTACCCAACACGAATGAGACGGGAATGAGCTCCGCGTATTTGTTGCAGTACATCGCGAGCTTCTCGAAATATCTTTTCTGATTTTCCTGAAGCATGTACCTAAAAAAATATTAAACCAAATATCAGCATCAACATTATCAAAACAGACATCATTCCTGCTCTTATGCTGCTCTCCCTAGCCCAGTTAAATCGGCAGGGAAGTCTCTGGATTATCTATTACGCACAATTCACTCCTCTTGGAATTACATTTGTTTTATAGCCACAAGTCACTGGCCTTAATGAAGTGATAGCTAAATAATACGATGTAGTGACCAGCTGGAATTGACTTGCATTTGATTTCTATTTTTGCTCTCAGGACAATACTGTATTTCTAACAGGCTTCAGACAAAATACTGATCTCTGATGAAGTCTTAACACCAGTCTCTGATGGGGTGTCTATACAATGCACAGACTTATCTCTGATGAGGTATTCAGACAACAGACTGATAAACCAGTTTCTAATTGTGTCTCTAAAGCATACAATTTGATAGACCAGTCTCTGATGAGGTCTACTGGATAACAATACACTGACAAATCTATGTTTGGTGAGATCGTCAGACTATATACACACACACAGCATAGCATAGCCACCAATGGTATCTAAACCCAATACTATACTGACAGGCTAACCCGCAAAACAATCATGAAGTAACATGCTGCCCAGTCTTTGAATGATTTTTAAACAAGAAAAAGCCAAACCAGTGTCTGATACGGCCGTTTTTTCAATACATAGATTGGTCTCTGTTGGGAGTCTTTACACAGACTGACAGATCACTATGTGATGGTCCGCAGTGAATACACCAACACCCCATTCTCCGAACGATTCACAGCATCTATCCCCCATCTTCGGACCGCATCACCCGAGCACCTGTAGACGCTGCTGAGCGTGAAGAACAAGACGAGGAAGATGCAGAACTCCTTGTAGAGAAGCTTGTAGATGGACCCCTTCCATCTCAGGAGCAGCTGTGAGAAGCCCCCGAGTCGTGCATTGGCCACCTTGTTGGAGTAGGTAACCGTCATGCCGTGATCTTACCTAACCCTCACCTGACTCCGACGTGGCCTTTGCTTAACCTGACACCTGGATCAAACCTGGTCAAGGTCTGACCTGACCTTGATCTGGAACAACAAAAAATGACCTGACTCTGACCCAGATGAGCTTTACTGGACACAATGGGATTTGGCCCGGACCTCACCCTCACCTGACCCGCTTACACCTGACAACACGTGACCTTCACGTCGAAATGGAATTGCAAAAGCAATCAGACAATTTCAATTTGGATTCCTTTTTTAACGCTTCTGGAAGAATCTGCACATGATCCCAAGCTTTACCAACAAATATACTCACCTTTGGATATTTTAATTGTATGTTTTTACACTTGACTACCTCAGGGAAATTTAGTTAACTTACTTTACAACGTATAAGATACAAAAAAAAGCAATTGTCTCTAGAAAGAAATATCCTACAACGATACAACAAAAGCTGGCTTTTCGTGCAATGTCAGTCGAACAAAAATAATAATAACACGAGCTATGGTCAAATGGCTTACGCACAAAAAAATTCACCACTTTATCACGCACAATTCACTCCTCTTTACTGAGCGGAGACGACAAATAGCAATTGCTAATTGTGTTCATTAGAAATACGCTGATGGTATCCCTGACTGCCGCCAGTAAAACGATTGCCCTCGTCTGCCTGTGGTCAGTTTTGTCGTTTCTTCTACTTGCGAATGTTTGGGTGGTGGGATAAGGCCATGAGGGCACAATGGGTGGCATTGTGTCGCCCACACAACGGGCGCGTGGCGTGGATTTTTGGAGAGTAAATCCGGAATTATGTTGAGCGCGAGAGCTCCGCGCAATTGTGAAGGTGGTGGCGATGACGATTTGAGGTTTGGTGATGTTGGGAAAATGGCACGATTGAAAAGTACATCTTAATTGCAATGTTACATTGAACTACGGTTAAAAAAGTGCTCAGTGCTGCTGTGCGTAATTGCTCTTGCAAAAGCCGAGTTGTTTTAAATAAAATATAAAAAACAAATACTTCTTTACGTATAAAAAAACAATTTTATTACAAAAGCAACACAAACTACGTACATTGTTGCGGTTTAGCGGTCCGCATTGCTAGATGACGCCCAAAAGATCACGTCACCACTCCTTCAGCAGTTTTTTTTTCTCGGCATGCAAAGTCTCCCTGCGTATAATTTAGCAATCACGTGTAAATATAAAGTACGGAAATCGATATACAGGAATGTATTATTAATGCGTAATATTCTGAATAGGCATCTTATTTGGAGACCAAGCTAGACCCGACATTTACAGAAGTTGTCTGTGAGTTATGAATTAACATTACAAATCACGTTGCCCCAAATATAAATTGAAGGCGGTGTATCTGCAATCCACCAACTCTCAAAGCAAAAGCAATGTAATCGCTATACCACTGATAAAACAGGTCCCTGCAGGGTGGGCTGGTAGGAACATTGGAATTTTGTTTACACCCAACAGCACGAGATTTCACTTCGTTAAAGTATTGAAAGGGGACGGACGGACGGACGCATTAATCTATTGCAGGCTGGTACACTCAGTTTACAACTTCGTTCCTACCAGTATAATAGTTGCTAGTATTGGTTACCATTATTGGCCATACACAATCACCGTCAATGTCGTGATAATTATAGATTGTAGTGAACAATGGATAATATGCACATCTAGCCCTTTTGTAATTCCAATTCTGGATGAGGGCCTCCCTACGCCGTGTGAATCTCAGTGGTCCTTTGACCATATTTTACCACCATGGCTAAGTGAACTCGTAAAATAAAGCATCGTAAAAAAGTAACTATTATGGGATATTATTTTACACAATTTTCTGGGTACAGGCCCGTGAATTGTGCAAGTTTATAAGAGCTTGTGGAAAAACAGACGAGGGGAGGGAATTACAAAGTGGAATCAAAGCAGAAAAACACGTTGCGATCTGCAGTGTTTGTGGTGTAACGCAGCAAGGATGGCACACACGTCTGGTAGACCGAGTCCTCGACATGGGCGGACGAATCAATGAGTGAAGTTGACAGGAACCGTAACCGCGATTGTAGCGAAGGGAGAGTGAACGAGTGAGTGCAGTGAATCAGTGAGTGCTGGATCTTCCATGAACCTGATTTACGTAGAATTCTATAAGTGCAGTGAGGAAGAAACTAGACAAAGTGGAGGTGCTCCACTTTGTCGAATTTGTGCTTTGTGTACAGAAAAAAGACAAGCTTCCTTCCAAGTACTGGCTGGCAATTGCAACCAGATATAAGCAGGGTGGAGCCCGTTCATAATACCTATAGTATGCTCTGGTGGGACAGCACTTCCCCGGGGATGTATTAACACACCGATGTTTCAAGACACATACCACTTAATCTGAAGAAAACGTGTCGAGTGACTGACTGTCTGTGGAGTGATTCTGTGTGGAGTGAATCTGCGAGGAGCGAATCAGAAGTGACCGTGATGACCGACTGCTGAGCTGTGCCTCTGCGGCGTTAACCGAGTGAATATTACAAGAAGTGAAACTGACGTGAATGTCCCGAGTGAATCTCCGCAGATTGCATTCGAACGGCATACGTGACGAGTGATTCTGTACACAGTCAATCCCGTCAATCTGCCCAGAACAAATATTCGTTGGTGCGAGCAGGGCCGGATTAAGGCACGGGGGGGCTTTAGAGGCTGCAGCCCAGGGGCCTCCGCCAGCTGGAGGGCCTCCAGAGATTAAGCGAAAAGTTGTTTCATTTGTGAATGCTGAATTTTATTTGTTGTTAGCCTTGTAAAAAAAAAAATCTATTTTATATTTTTTTAACTTTGTTTTCCTTTTGAAAATATTACTAGGGGACCTCACGGTACCTGTAGCCCATGGGGCCCACAAAATCTTAATCCGGCCCTGGGTGCGAGGTGCTGCGGGGACCGGTCGGGGGTGGCGCAGGTGTAGGAGGGAGGACGAAGTGGGGGTTCACAGGAGGAGGAGAATGGCGACGGCGGTGGTAACGATGATTTCCCACCCGCACCACAGCCACGGGTCCAGGCGGCCAACGCGACCCACGCTGCCCGTTGCCGGCAGCCGTGCGGTCTCATACACCCACGTGCCGGTGGTCAACAGGTATTGCCTCACGTCGTAGTCTGCGCTCCGCAGGAGCCGGGAGTACTCCTCGACGCGCTCCTCGCTCCACTCGTACTCGGCCATCACCGACTCCAGGGGCCTCCCCTCGTACTTCTTCGGCGCCGAGACCACGTATCTGTACTTGTCGCTCGCCGTCACCTCGCAGCCGAGCAGATTGCGAGCGAGCGCCGGCACGTGGACGGTGCTGCGGCAGCGCGCGAGGCCGACGCGCGGGTAGTGGTGCAGGTACGCCAGGCACATCTCCTGCCGCATTTCAAAGCCTCCCGTGGTGATATCACTCCTCCCCTCCGTGCCGTAGGTGCACTCCACCACCAGCATGTCGCCCGCCATCACCTCTACGCTCTGCGGGAAGTGTATGTATTTGTGAGAGTTGACATCGTAGACGTCGTCTTGACCGAGATGTCCGATTTCCTTGCCATCTCGGAATTGGCGGACGTGGATCTGTCGCCCGGCCACGTGCGCGTGCAGCAGCGCGTCGAACACCCGAACACTCGACACGGGGCCCTTCCGCAGCACCTCCGTGCTGCACAGGCCGTAGGTGACGAAGCCGGACACGTTCGGAGGGATGATGTGGTAGGGGCTCGGGTCCGTTCCCACTTCCAAGATACCCGCGTCGTACCTCCGGAGCTTATCGGTGCAGAAGAGCCGGAAGCCAGAGTTATCCACGACGCCCTTATCCATTTTAGGGTTGTTATAATGGATCTGCAGCAGGACATACTTGGGGTCGTCCTTCATCCCCAGCGAGTAGCCGACGTCCTCGGGGTACACGAACGGCTCGCCACCGATGGCCCAGGCCGCCACGATGCCCTGACAGTGCCCGAAAGCCAGCGGCGCGTTGGCTTGGTAGCACTGGCTCTGCTGGTTGTGCGCCCCCTCGATGTCGCCCGTGCAGCTGTAGAGCATCATGTGCTGCACGTACGACTTACTGACATCCGCCAGCACTGCCTCCACCTTGATGAGATGATGCTTCTCCGGCAGCTCGGGCAACTTGAACATCGTGCACGAGTAAAAGGTGTCTCGATCGGACGGGATTGTGAAGTTGCTGGTGAGAAGCTCGGCGGTCGTGCTTGGCCCCGGTGGCACGACGTTCTCGGGAGAGTCGGGTGGCGGCGGCAGCAGCACAATCGCACTCGTGCCGCGTTTATCGCCGTGGTACGAGATCACCTTGTCAATCCCGAACGCAAACGCCACGTTCACCGTGCCGCGCGTGATGTCCACGTCACGTGCGTCTCCGGTGCGGAGCTGCCGTCCAAACCTGACGACACGGGAGTCGTCGACGACGTCGATCGCGAAGACGTCGACGTCCTGAGAGTCGTCCTTCACGGGGGTCGTGTTGTTCACCGAGTAGCGGTCCGTGCACAAAAAAGGGTCACCGGCACGGTCGGCCCCGCACACCAGCATGTCCGTGTCCTGCATGCCGCCGTGCCTCGACACGCCGAACCCCACGTAGCCGGGGGTCTGCACTTCCAGCTTGAACACGATGTAGGAGCTGTTGGCGTTCCACGACACCGATAACATATCGTGCAGCTTGGCCCACTGCTGGAATTCCTCCAAAGACAGCTCCGTGGCCCCGCTGGGGTCCGTCAGGGCCACCACTACCACCGCCGCTATTTGGACCACGAGGCACAGCCGAGCAAGAGGGCTCATCATGATGCACCTTCACTCCGTCCGGTCCACGGGAATCTGGATACCTCTGGCTCCGGAGAATGGTCAGCAGTTTAATTTTACTGAACGATTGCGGCTATGGTTGCGTGGAAAATCACCGATGGTTAACCACCAAATACCAAAAACCTGACGATGATGAGACCTATTTAACGAGCCTGAATGAAAACGCAGCCTAAGATAAGCGAGTAACGTGACTAGAGACTGCAGTGCACTGCGAAATACAATGCTAAGTCATATGTATTTTCTATTTACTGAGTGCAGTGATTAGCTGACCTGAAATTTGGCGAGTAACACATCGCGCGCGTCCTCTCACTCCAACTTGTATTCACTCCGAGGGTATTTGGCTCAACTTGTTGACGGCTTTAGTCGGCTAGACTAAGCGAATGACCACGCGAAAAGCCACAGACCGAGACTCGCCTCACAAGCCGCGGGTTTTCGTCCACCCCACTGAGACTGTATGTAGCTGGAGACAATTAATTGTGCCTGAACTGACGGAACAAGCCCGGCTCCTCGTCCGCTAAATCCCGGGTGCACAGGGCACAGAGCGGCGGGGCTGGCGCTATTCTAAACAGCATTCCCGACAACATCCGCTTACAAAGTGAAACTGGGCCCGGTCAAGTTCGCAAAAAAGGGGGCTTGGTCCAATTACCAAGGGAGCCTCCAGATAAGAGTCAGGCAGCAGCGTACGAGCGGTGCGCACAGAATTGGGGTGCAGCGGAGAGGCGGGCTGCTGGCAGTCACTCAAGGGAGCGGTGGCGCAGTGGTTAGCACGCTGAGCTACGAGACCCGGCGACCCAAGTTCGATTCTCGCTCACGGCCAACACCAGCGACGAATATCCGAACCGGTCCTGGGCCTCGGGGAACAATGTGTAAAACATCATCACGGGGGGAGATAAAGGCGGCCGGGCATAGTGTTGGCCACCCACCCCCTCGTGTGCCGTTCCGGCCTTCAAGGGTCCTACTCGCTAACAGCACTTGCCCCAACAGTCTGTGAAGGCTATACGGGGGTTCTTTGTTATTTTGCTCAAACACGGGGGTGGCATTGTGACGCAGGGTGACGGATCTGACCGTTTACAATGCGTCGTTCTGGGTTAAGGCCAAGATATCTCAGCCTTAATCACGCATTCACTCGGAACAAAGCGACACGCAGTTGGTTTGCAATACATTTGAGCGTTTGGGCTCCGCTTGAATTTCCTGCAAAAAAAAACGAGTTTAGCTTCATAACGCGATGACGTCACGCATAATGCGTTCACTCCGTCGCATAATGACTACACGTCACGCATAATGAGGTGACCCTAAGCGTAACGCGATGACGTAATGCACAATTAAATGACGCCACCCATAACACGAAGACCGGACATGCTAAGGAAAACGTCATGTCACGCGTATCGTGACGTTCGCCGGGAATGAGGGTTCAGCGACGTCATTTGATTTGACGCCCGGAAAAACGGATGCAAATTTATGCGTTGACGTCACGCAGCACCAAAAAAAGGGGGAGGGGGCACGTCACGTTTTTTGCGCAGTGACGTCCAAGCGACCGTAATGACGTCCGCAAGGGCAGTGACGTCAAGACGTCGGCAAAGGCGGCTGATGCCGCTCGTTGGGAATGAGCGGCTGGCTTGGTTTAACAGCGCGGGATTAATCACCCCCGGTGAGACGCGTCACTCGCAACTTCATAGCTGCTCTGCTTTAAAATGTCGCAAGCGCGGACGGGAAGAGGCCCGTGTGCCGATTAACATACATTTAAAAATAAAAATTAAAGACCGACCCGTCGAGGCCTAGTCGCCCAACTGGGTGAGGTGCGCCCTTCCCGGTGAAAAAAACTATCCGAGCAGTGGTCAGTGCGTAAGGACCCCGAACTCCGTCGCTCGGGTTCAGAATCAGAATATTTATCCTGGAGCATTCCGACTAGCTACGAAGCTCGTTTTCACAGACGTCCAGGGAGGGTTTTAAACACCGGGCTCTGCTTTGAGTGTCGATTGTTGGTGCGGTCTTTTTTTCCCCTAAGCGACAGACGCCTCGGCGGTTTGGTCATTGACGGTACAGTTTAAGTCTCAGACGAGAGTGAATGAACGTAGGGCTACCCCAACAGTTGTCAATGATGTGTCGGTGTGGTTGAAGTGAAGGGAGGGTGCCGGTTGTACAGGGAGCAGGGGTTGCTGGTGTGAGGGAGGGTTTTGTTAAGTTCGCGTCGGATGGTTGCATTTTTGTGAGTGATCATTGATCGTTGGTGTACGTGTGAGTTGTTCGGTGAGCTTGTGTGATGTGGGACGGTTTATGTGCCTCTGCCATGAGCTGGGGTTGCTGGTGTGCTTGTCATGAGTAGCAGCGGTTGTTGGTGTGCCTTTTGAGACGGTTAAATATTTCTTCATCATCATCATTGTCCCTCCGAAGTCTCAACACCACTTACTACACTGTGGAGATATCAGATGTTGAATTACGGTTGAGAGACTGGTTCACGCCACATAAATGAAAACATTCCATTTGTGGTTGAGTCAACAGTCGCCACTTATTTAGGTGTGTACGGGATCTTTAAAAAAAAATAAGTGGAATTTCCACAATATCAAATTTATAACTGCATTGAAGATAGAAATTGCCCATTGAAAGGCATTGCCACGCCTTGAATTGTACATTAATGTTATTTAGAGTTGGCAGAGTGACATTATATGTGCCTCTATATATAGCATATGCATTTGTAGGGTTGTGAGTGTTTTTTTACTGTGCATGAATGTTTTTTACTTGGTAGGTTTCGGTATACAGTATATGGATAACAGTTGCTTCGGGGCACTTTATAATTCTATTTTAGTGTACGTTACTGTCTATACTTGTACATTGTCTGTTGCTGTGCTGATGTATGGTTTTATGCTTTTTTTACTGTGCAAGAGGGTGGTGGCAAGTATGTGTTACTCAATACATAGCTGATGCTGTGCCTAAGAGCATGTGGCCCTGTGAATGTATGACTGGTTTTTCAACGCATTGTGATATATCTTGTTTATGAATATAAGCTGCAGTGTTGAGCATGTCACTCTTAATTGTATAGTGCTCTGCGCATAACCGGAGGAATATATGGTGTTCTTTGTTGCGTATGAACATCGATGTATGTTTTTACAGAACAACTATACATGCTGATGAAACAAAATGCGAGTAGTATAAATGCACACGCAAATCGCGTGTGCATTTCTCACACTGTTAATGCGCATCGTTGAGAGCTTATCGCTCTACATGACCTTGACTAGTGAGCGTAGCCACGTCTGTCATTGGTGTTGTGCAGTGTGCAGCCCATTCAATATCCACACCCTTGCAAACGAGTTGGCCAGCCACTGGCCTGTGTTCTACCAACTCGGAGGAAATTAAAACTAATGTTCTTCAGAAAAGGAAATCACGTTAGTAACGACTTGTAATAACGTTCACATCTAGGGCATTCGCTTTTAAATTGTTTGGTTGCAATTTGACTAGAAGTTTGTTGTTGTTTGAATTCTTGTTCTTGAATAGCACAGTTGCTTTATGAAATATATATATTTTTTAACATCTTGTTCTTTAGCACCTGTTATGTACATGTTAAGAAAGTAGCCTGATTGCCAATGACCAATACCCTGTATGTACCCGATCTCACTACATCTCGAAATTAGTGGTTTAGCGCTTGGATTGGAAACTGCCAGGGAGTACCAGGTGTTGTAGGCTTGGAGTGTAAGGTCGCCAGTATATGGGAGTACAGGAATGGATTTGGGATATTTATATGTAAGATTTGAGTGTTTTTTCCTACAGGTACTCCAGTGTACATCCATGTGCCAATCAATCAAATGGAATTGACCAAGCAGGACCCTTCTAAAAAAAAGACCTGCGACTATTAAGCTTTCCTGAGTAAAGGTTATTATTTAAAACCGATTACCAATTATTATTAAAGATATACCTACGGAGGTAACATATCTTGCCTAAAATAAGCATAAGATGAATGTAACAGTTGGGGGCCATTACAACATAATATAGAAATAGTAACTACAGTATTAATGATTCTTAACCTTGATCAATCAGCTATTTGTTATGACCAATGGTATTGCAGACCACAAGCCACCACGGTGCAGTTGCGTATACTTAGCTTCATGTCTTAGCAGTGCGTTCTTTATTACAGCGATATGAATGCTATATGTTGGTGTTGTTATTTATGCACAATTGGAAGGAAATTAGTCGAAGCATAATGCGTTGCCATGAATTATCATGATTTGGGGTGGTGATTTTCACTTCTAAATATGCCTGTTGTAATAGTGCAGTGGATGGTAGCACAGCCAGTGGTCTAAGGGGTCGTGTATATGTGACATCTAAAAATTGAAAAACATCGAATTTTACACCCGCAAATATATGGATGCATATTGATCTTGACAATCAATGTTAATTAACAGATGCATCATTCTACCACAATTAAAGATGATATAATCATCCCATCATCATTCCTCTGAGATCAATTAAATGAGGAGCACTTTGCGGAACGTCAACTGCATTTTCTGTTGAACACCTAGTCTCTGCCATAAGAATGTGTAATTGTCATAATTGGTTTGTGACCTGCAGAGAAAATAATCGCTGACCCATGCTTGTCTAAGTAGGGAGACACTGTTGATTTTCAATTGGTATTTAAGGTCCACATCTGTTTTTCTGTAGCAAGCATTATGCATTTATAAGGTAACCACTTTACAGATAAACAAAGCCCTGAGGGCTTTATGAATGATACTACTTTGAAGCGTTAGACTTTAACAGATTTTTCAGGTTAAACTTTAATAAAGGAGCGCTATAACAAACACACTGTAATGATTGCTAAGCAAAATGACATCTGGGCGATAAAGGTTAAGATTCCTTTTTTATAACAAAACTTGTGTTGACTTTGCACATTAGTCCCTTAGCGATTTTCAGAGAAGGATTCTGTTTTGAAGACGAAATGCATCAAAAGTATTAACGAATGAGCCTTCCAAACCAATGCTTTTCAGCAGCATTTGTTTAAATACACACCTGAGAATTGGCACTTTCGAGGCAAGGGTTGGTGGATCACGCAGACTTGTGAAGCTCCAAAACTTCAGGGCCTGAGATAATAGTACAGCAAATAGGTTGTACATGCTGGTGAAAACGCACATTATCATGTACAGCAAGTTCTGTCGGAACTCTGACCTGCATCTATGTTTCTCTGAGGTTAACTATAACTAAAATGATTACCCACGGTGCTTTTGGAGTCATGAATATCGTATCTTTCTCGTGTGTCATGCCAGCTTTCGTAGGTGTGTGCTCACCAACAACTTTACTCCATAGTTTACAAAAATTAGATGGATGTTCCTTGTCTCTGTGTGCATGTGAAAGCAAGCTGTTCTGAGTTCATTCAGAAGCCAAGGATTTAATTCCACATTCAGTGTGCGTAGCCTCTTTATCTTCTTTCAGACTTCAGCCTTGGAGAGAAAAAAAACACCTGACCGAGTTGTAATTTCACCTACTCTTCTCATTGCCTGGGTTGGGTTTGCTTGGTTTCATTCCTGATTTTCCCACTGACTTTTTTTTTTATCTCAGTTGATCTCCTCACTCCGAGCTCTCAAAATAAATTTTGACTTGGGTTTGGGTGGGAAGGGCGGTTGAGGGTTCTCTGTGCCTTGGCGGTTATTTGTCAAACATTTACCTTTGCATTGTGCCCTTGGGAGCATTTAATGCTCTGGTGGTTTTTGTTCACCCGGTACAGCCCGTCAATGGAGAACTGTGTGGCCGGCATCATAGGATTAAGCCCTCCTTGTTTGTGGAATGTGGCTTGCGTGTATGGATGCTTTGTGTCTGGTCACATGAGTGCCATGCTCACCATGCTCGCTGTGGTGGAAACCTCGTTTCGTTGCCATTGACCTGTGTCACACGGTATGTCAAAAGTGAAGTCGTTTTGTATTTTTGTTGTCATCGGTTGTTTTTTTTTTCCCACCAAACCAGTTGTTTTTGGGTTAAACGTTTTGATAGACGTTGTTGTCCATCAGTACAGAATTGTTCTTGGTGGCCACGAATACAAACGGGCGCATTTGTGCTCATTAAGAGGTTTTATTTTGGCAGTCGCGAGGTTTTTTCGGATTATTTGCCTTCCACTTGCGGGATGCAATTGTTTCCATGAAGAAAAGCAACGTGTACCTGTTTAGATATTGGGCACATCACGTCGAATCGATTGATCGATTTAAAGTAGATTATTCGACTCGCATAGATTGAATCATATGTGTGGGAATGTATTAATGCGGTGTTGGTAAAATATTTGCTAATTATTTGCTTTTGTTATATTGAGGCTAATGATTAGAACAAAGATGTACAAACGAGACATTTTCAAGTAAAAACGTAAAAAATGTATATCCTTTCTGGATTGATTCGAGGCTCAAAATTGTGACAATTCATTAGATCGCCCGGGAGGTTTTTTTCGTATATCCCTACATACAGTACAATACAGTTTGGGTATATTTAGCCTAAAATATGAATGCATCTCAAGACGCTGTTCATATGGTTGCATATAAAGGCTGTGTTTACACCGATAGCATTAAACATGATGAGCCCTTGATAGTGCTCCCCACTTGGTACAGCTATTCTGCTGTGACTATTCCACCTGAAGACGGAAGCTTGTGTTGCCTCTGAAACGTCGTGATTTAATTTAGTTATTTTATTTTACCTACGTGACTTTACCGAAAAAAACAAAGAATATGAATCCTTGCAGTCACGAAAGCTTCACATCTAGAAGTGTTCATATTGATGGTTGATAGTGTTCATATCGATGGTTCAGCAGTTCCACTGCTGGATTATATTTTTTCCGCCTGAGGACGACCGCTTGTGTTGCGATCGAAACGTCATGATTTATTTTATTTTCTACCTACGTGACTTTACCGAAAGCTTCAAATCAAGATTGATGGTTATGATTTTAGTTATATTAGCGGGGATACAAATACGTTCATAGCAGTGATAATCACGAATAATAACACAGTACTGAAGCTGATAGATAAGCCAATAATGCCATTTTGATTTTAAAATGTTAGTTCACTCGAATTATTTTCATCTAGTCTGTGTACAGCGAGAACGTTTGTGTCGTAAACAACAGCCTCTGCCTTCTCTATCTCTAACCCTCCTCTTCCTCCCCCTCTCTCCCCGCGCCACCCATGTGCCCCCATCAGGTGTGGCGCATGGCGAGGAACGCCCTGGAGGGCTTCCACGAGGTCAACCTCTCCTCGCCCACCACCCCGGAGGAGGCGGTGGACGAGGCGGAGGGGGGTGGCCCGCGCCGGGCGGCACAGCTGACCCGGCGTAACGCCGCCGGCATCGCCGTCTACGTGCCGACCATCGCACACGTCCGCCGTGCGCCCCCGCGCACCTCGTCAGGCCCTGGCTCTGGCCCGGCCAACACCACCGCTACCGCCGCTAACACCTACGTCGTCTCGTCTGCGTCGCCCCGTCCCGCGAGCCTCGCCACCACCACCGCTGCTGCTGTGCCGGGCACGTGGCACACGGGCGCAGGGCTCAGTCCAAAGCCGGCGTACAGAGCCCTCAAGTCGACCCCAAACGGGGTCGCTCGGCCCGCGAGGTGAGGGGGAGACTGATGGACATGATTTGTGTAGCTATGCAAATGCAGATCAATGCAATCTGGATTGCACAGATAAGAGGAGACTGACGAAGAGGACAGTGCAAACTAACTTATGTTGGCTTTATTTGCCCGGCAAGCTTTTAGTACTGGGGTTCTGGGTTAGGTATGAACTGGAGGTGAAACAGAATGCTTGTTACACTGTGCACTGTTTATTTGTAATGTATTAGCACCGTATTCTTTGAGCCAAGAGCTTCGGGGAAGCCACTCTTCGCGCAGTCCCTCTGCGTGCACAAGCAGGATACGCGCCCGAGAGGGGGTCCCCAAACTCAAACTTGTGAGACCCGCGGTCCAAGGATTGAGCCAATCAGGGCTTAATTTCTGCAGTCTACGCAGGACCTCAGTCTTGAGGAAGTTTTGGTCACCGTGAGCACTAATAAGCATGCGTTGCCTCCCTGTGACGGCGGTGTGAAAGTCACAGTCGGTGTCCTGTGTCCAGATACAGGTGGAGCAGCTTCTGGAGTAAGTCGGAGAGCACATGTGCCGTCGTTGCCTCGGCGAGATGTCGAGTTTTGCCAACGTTTGGATGGCTCGGGGATGTGCTTTTGAGCGGGGTGTCGTGACAAGTGTGTGATCCAACACTTTTGAGGCAAGGGTTGATGGATTGCATTTAGATTGGTGAAATTCCAACGCGAGGATTTCCTTTCTAATCATGTGCAAAGCTTTTCCACTGTCAATGATTGTGGCACATTGATCATCATCTATTCTTATGTTCATTTATCTATCATGATAACGATGATATATATTTTTACTATCATCATCCATCATTGCATCAAAATAATGTTAATTTGTTGTTTTTTAAACAACATCAGCATCAACGGTAGTGTCGTGTTTTTCGTGCCACGAGGTATCCCAAAGCTTTGTGTTGTTTGTTTTGTGATCGAAGAAGGCAAGATCCGCAAGCGAAGCAAACAAATTATCACACAGACGAATGGCCTACGGAGCAAAGCTCCTTTGGCACTCGAAGGAAATCGTTACTGAATCGCTAACGACGACTGTGTTCCTACCCGATGGTACTGGTGTTCATGAAAAAGTGCGTTGTCCAAGGATATTGCCGAGCTGAGGAGGCATCTGCCGCTAATTAATCAGTCGAAGCACACGGGGGATAGCAGCACACAACAACCCGCCAGCTCTCTCCCGTTCTCTCACTCTCAGTGGACCACCTTGGCTGATGAATGCTTCTTGTGTGAAGCAGTGCCTGCGTTGATTTATTTCTCCAGCCGCAGCGCTCACGCTTCTTCACCATCTGCTTTGCAATCGCTCCCATCAGCATCCGGTGCCGTATTTCTTGGAACTGGAGCTGGAGGAGTTGAGCGGGGAGAGGCGAGTGTTGGCCACGAAGGAGGGGAGCGCTGTCCTTCGGGAGCGCATACATGCGTAGTGTGCGTGAACTTTTAATCTGTAACACGTGAGAGCACGGGAGACCTGGGTCATGAACAGACCTGGGTCATGAACAGACATGGCTGGAACTCTCTCAGTGCAGAAAAAAAACAAAAAATGCAGCTTTCAATATCTCAAAAAAATTGAAACCTCCCCCAGCCCAATGTGTCTTGGCATGATACATGTAAAAATAATATGCAGTATAAATAATTGGCAATAAGAAGTGCAGTGGTTCACCATCATGGCGATTCAGGGTCTCGATTCTGTCTAGGAATCGATTATTTTTTCATTGGGATGAATGTAGCAGCAACTTGTGACTGCAGACATTCATAACAGAAAAGAGTTCAAAATATAAATTCTTACACATGCCATTCAATGGTCATGTTTCATGAACATCCAATGGCTTAGGGGGAGGCCTTCATTCAGCACTGGATTGAACAAGGTAGATGATGATGTAGTAGTAGAGAGTTGTCGCACGTCTATTAAGAAGTGAATCGTCGCTTGTGGCATAGGAAGTGAATTGTCACATGGGCAGTAGAGAGTGACTAGTCACAAGGCTCGTTATCGTGAATGGTTGCTGCCGTCGCCACTTTCCCTGGCCGTGTGCCTGCACTGGCTGCGCACGTTGCGGTGGCTCGCGTGGTTGCGGTGGCGCGCGTGGTTGCGGTGGCTCGCGTGGTTGCGGTGGCGCGCGTGGTTGCGGTGGCTCGCGTGGTTGCGGTGGCTCGCGTGGTTGCGGTGGCGCGCGTGGTTGCGGTGGCTCGCGTGGTTGCGGTGGCTCGCGTGGTTGCGGTGGCTCGCGTGGTTGCGGTGGCGCGCGTGGTTGCGGTGGCTCGCGTGGTTGCGGTGGCGCGCGTGGTTGCGGTGGCTCGCGTGGTTGCGGTGGCTCGCGTGGTTGCGGTGGCGCGCGTGGTTGCGGTGGCTCGCGTGGTTGCGGTGGCTCGAGTGGTTGCGGTGGCGCGCGTGGTTGCGGTGGCTCGAGTGGTTGCGGTGGCGCGCGTGGTTGCGGTGGCTCGAGTGGTTGCGGTGGCGCGCGTGGTTGCGGTGGCTCGCGTGGTTGCGGTGGCGCGCGTGGTTGCGGTGGCTCGCGTGGTTGCGGTGGCGCGCGTGGTTGCGGTGGCGCGCGTGGTTGCGGTGGCTCGCGTGGTTGCGGTGGCGCGCGTGGTTGCGGTGGCGCGCGTGGTTGCGGTGGCTCGAGTGGTTGCGGTGGCGCGCGTGGTTGCGGTGGCTCGCGTGGTTGCGGTGGCTCGCGTGGTTGCGGTGGCTCGCGTGGTTGCGGTGGCGCGCGTGGTTGCGGTGGCTCGCGTGGTTGCGGTGGCTCGCGTGGTTGCGGTGGCTCGCGTGGTTGCGGTGGCGCGCGTGGTTGCGGTGGCGCGCGTGGTTGCGGTGGCTCGCGTGGTTGCGGTACCGTTTCTTGAAGCTCGTGCGTTATGCTCAGCTGCATGGGTCAGCCGTGGAGAAAAGCATCTCAAGAGATCTGCACCCCCCACCTCCGAGTTTAATGAAAACACAGAGAGAGCGAGCATTCCAGATGTCGAGAATGTGTTTTAAATAACAATAACACATTTTTTTAAAAGAAAAATATATAAAACAATAAAAGCCAAATAGGGCGATTGACCATAGAACGTTCACGTTTTTGTGTTTTTTTGCAATTGATTTTTGTGCTGTTGACTTTTACAAATTGTATTTGTACGTCAGTGCCAAGTCACATAAAACATTTGAAAGGTTTTTCTTTCGTTTGACCTTTACTGCTTCACGTGACGAAGAGGAAATTATACAAAAGGTATTTTTATGCAAGTGGCCACACGTTGCGAAAAAGGCCTTTAGCTCAATGGGATATTACCTAGTTCTAAATTAAGATCATTGATTTGCATAACCTGTGAGATAGAGAGGAATGTGGACAGAGCAAACAGAGCCAAATACACAGTGGAGAGCGAGAGAGATTATGTGGAAATGAGAGGCAGAGAAACGGCACCAGCAGGACAGTGAGATCGCCAGAAACAGTGGGGAAAAGTGAGCAAGGCAGAGTGACAGAATCAGAGACAGTGACAGAGCAAGAGAGAGGGCGATATGGAGAGGGGGGAGGGTTGGAGAAAGGCGCAGAGACGCGGAGAGGAGGGATATGGTGGGCAACACGAGACACTTGGCCCCGTTGTCTGGACCCGAAGAGAGAGGAAGTGTCGACGCCGTTATTGCCGTGTGCTGACGGCCTCGGCCCTTGCTTTGCACGTGGCAGCCTCCTCCTCCGCCCCCTCCTTCCTGTGAGGATGCGGGGCTGCGTGTCGTGTTTCTGCCCTGGTAGGGAAGTGGGGGGTGCAGGGGGAGAGCGGTAGAGTTGGGGGGGACCGACCAGCTGTGTTTTCTTCCGCGCCGAGATTCGTGGCACCCGCAACGTTTTCTTGGCTCGCTTAGTTTCCGAATCTTAAAGTTTGCCCAGCCTAGGAGGCAGAGTCGTTTATCGCCATCCCATTTCATTTCTCTACACCGACGTTTTGCCGGGGCGGCGGGTAGCATAATTTTGTCGTCTCGGCCTGGAGTGCCGACCAGCCAGAGAGGCGATCCGGGCCCCCGCGAGGTCGTGGTGAGTGGAGAATTGGGAGCAGCGTCGGTGAGTGGGACAGATCGCACGGCTGTGCCCGGTGCAGCGTTTCCATCGAACCGTGACGTAGCGATCGCTCGCTTGCTCATGGACGACCCCGATATCAGGTACGGTGGACGCACGACTGCCTTTGGCGGTGAAGCCGTGTGCAGTGCATCCAAGCAGCCAACAAATTATTATTATTGGTGTTGTAATATTACCAAGTTGTTATTAATAGGAGATAATAAGCCAAAGTTTTGGACAATGTGCCTTTCTCTGAACAGAGGGGGCACAGATTAACAGGCATGTCGATTGGCTGACGTATAGTTGGAAATTGTCAATGAGTCAGGCATTGGCTCCGAGTCGGTCGAACGTTCTCAGTAATGTTTGTCACTTCTCTGAATAAAGAAGGGCCATTTTCCGAAAGCTACATTTTGCATATCTCTTTCTCTTTTAATTTTCAGTTTCATTGATTAACGTGGTATGTTATTAAGTTGTGCCTGTTCGCCACTGAGCCAGAGTGATTTGGTTGGTTTGAGGGATACGCTTAGCCCGTTGTCTTAAATAAGGAAGTTATCAATAAGATGTGACCAACGCTCAAGACACTGTACACGCAGTGTTTTTAAAGGTGTAATGATGCATTGATTATAATCTGTTCTTAAGCTCGCGATACTAGCGTCGAATCACGTTTTAAAAATATCAAATATGGTGATTGAAATGCGCACATCTAACACCTGCATGCACGAGAGGCCGCTCTACACTCACCACAACAATGTTTTAGAGAGAGAATTGATGATTAGATCAAATCGTAACCTTGAATTGTGACGATTCAACGAATCGCCGGGGTGGTTGTGGAATCGGTGTGTAGGCGGGAACGTCACCCTGCAGGATGGGGAAATAAGACACCAGTTTGATGAAGGGAGAAGTCACTTCGTGAGAGGGAGAGGAAGTCGGTCATAGGCAGAGAAAGAAGAAGGTTTTCGGACTTTACTTGAACGCGACTCGGTACAAGGAAAGAATGTGCTCTGCGCAAAAAAACAAGCATGCATTATTATTAATCCCAGACGTCCCTCGGACATTTCTGGATGTGAACAACAATGCATTCCGTCCGTCTGGCCCGGGACAGTGTGAGAAAGATGCTGGAAAATTATGAGCATCTTCCACGAACTAATACTATGATGTTATATAAACATTTTTTATAAAAACAGACTGTTCGGAAGCAATGCTTTTTCCTGGTTCAGAAGTTCTACTGCTGGATTATTTTTTCCGCCTGAAGACGATCGCTTGTGTTGTGATCAAAACGTCGTCATATATATTTTTCTTTTTTTTCTACCTACGTGACTTTACTGAAAGAACCAAAGAGTATAGAAGCAATGGTTGTTTTCATAAAAAGCACTGTTTTATAAATCCTGTCATAATACTTGAAATAATTGTATGTAAATATTTTGAGCTTCTTTTGCACCGTACGTATCCAACTGTGCTTATTTGAAGTGCAGGGGAAGGACAACAAACTAAACACAAAAACAATTTCTAAAGAAATGAGTTTTCAATCTAGATTTAAAAGTGCATAGCTCCAGTGCCTTGCTAATATCGGAAGGAAGAGCGTTCCAGGCAGCCACAGAAACGCATCTGAAAGCACGCGATGCAATGACCATCTTTGTTCGATGGCTAGCCAAAAGCTGCTGCTGTGAGGATGACCGGAGTTTGCGTGATGGTTTATGCTCCTTCACAAGATCAGCAAGGTATTGGTGCTTCAATTGTAGCAAGCGCTCTTTGTGTGTAATGAGTGTGACTATATAATGAATTCGTTCTGCAATCGGAAGCCAATGCACTTCGGCAAACATTGGACGGACATGGTCAGATCTTGCAGTACGTTTCTATGTTGAACATTTCGCACCGTATGTAACCAACCGTGTTAATTGGAGGTGCGGGGACGACACGTATCACGACACGTGCCAAAGAATGTTGTATATGCTGCAGCTTGGTAATTTTAGAAAACCATTCCAGTAAAACGTTCAGATAGTGCAGTACTATTTTGTAAACAATATTACAAAACAGCACCATTTCATGGAATAGTTTTTATAAAATAGTACCGTACAAAGAACCCAAAAAACACAACAATCTTAAGTAGGAAACGAAGCCAAGGAATGGAATGCACTCGAGAGGCGTCCCTTGATGAGATGGAGCAATGGAATCGGCGTGCAGGTGCTTGACCATACATAGTTACATCACAGGATCGTGAGAGGTGGTGGCGGCTTGGGGGGGGAGCTTCATCCAGCAGTGGATTGACCACGGCTGATGATGACTGTGATGAACGAAAACAAATTTTCGCTCTCCTGTCAATGCAACTGAAATCTGGAAGCAATTTTGAAGACGTCAAAACAGTGGTTTCCCTGGACCCGCTCGTGAAATGTAACCCAGATGCGCTGGGCTTTAAACATGTATGTTGAGCTTCTTTCACACCGTACATAGCCAACCGTGCTAATCGGAGGTGCGGGGGAAGAGACCACAAACTAAACACGAAAAGCAGTTCTAAAGCAATTAGTTTTCAATCTAGATTTAGAAGTGTATAGCTCCAGTGGATTCCTAATATCGGAAGGAAGAGCGTTCCAGACGGCTGCAGAAGCGCATCTGAAAGCGCGCGATACAGTGACCATCTGTTCGATGGTTAGCCAGAAGCCGCTGCTCTGAGGATATTGCGTGATGGTTTATGCTCCTTAAGCCGAGAGCATAGGAGGTGGGAGCCCCCGGGACTTTGGATGGACCAGCAGCGGTGGCATGCGAGTATTTTCCTATGTTGCTCGTGGCCGTGAAGCCTGGGCGAGGAGACTCGCGGGTCGAAAGCCTTGGTTTCTGTGGCTCCCTCCATCTCCGATGTTGAGTGATCTTCCGTGACTGGCTTGCACGTATGTGAAGTAGAATTAAATTAGATTTTACACGACCGATTGGACAATAGTGCCCCTGCGAAATTAGATTATTGTGATTCTCTTATCAAAATGGTTGTTGATTGTAACCTGCCCCACGGAGGACGATGATTTTATTTTGTTAATGGGTTAGGTTTACAGTGGCTGCACTCGGGCAGTATTTTCTAAATCTGTTCATGATGAGAAAACCTCACCACAATAGAAAGATTAGCGGAAGCTGGAAATAAAATTGGCTTAACAACGCATGAAGATGTGCAATGCATGCACAGATGCCTTGTGCAGACCCCCAGCTCCAAGCGACTGCATGTTTGGCCATTTTGTCGTTATAGACCAACGTGGGGTACCTCACAGGCTAACACTGGGCCCATAGACTACCTTAGAGATTCCAGGGGTATAATTGCTCTAGTAGATATCGGCTCCCTTTGACCAACATTCAACTCACAGTTAACATTAAACCCATAGGCAAACACTGGGATTATAGGCTTATTTAATCTCCAAATGCTAATGCTGGGTCCATATATTAGGATATATAATGCACAGACTGTGCACACAACCGCATACAATGGACCACATTGTACAACGTTCCCACTTCAATCATGTTCTCGCAGCATTCTATTTACACCAAGCCACTTGCAAAGCTGTTGATAATGAGCCATGATTCCTCCACTGCTGAATCTAGGGATTCTCAAGCCTCTGCCATAGCCACGCGTGGAATACTATCTTGGGCTTGTGAAGAAAACATTTATGTAGCTCCTGAACAGGAGCTGATTTCATTGATCCACCTCCAAGGTAGACGTCCTCTCGGTATTATTATTATTCTGTTAAGTATTCCACGCGTGGCTATTTTAATATTGACGATCACCTCTCGCTATACGAGAGAATAATAACAAGGTCTATCGATTAACACTGGGCTCTGAGACTACCATAGAGATCATAGATTAACATGGGACCTAGTGACTTGCACAAGACCCATAGATTTACGTTGGCCCCAAAAACGTACGTATCATTCGTCGACTTTCATAGAGCACATTGACTTGCATGTAGGGCCCACAGATTCGCATATGGCCCATAGTCTCGTATAGAGAGCATAAACTATAACAGATGTCACATAGTTTCACATGAGTCCAATAAGGGGATCTCTGTGTTAGTCGGCGATGTTTTTTTATTTGCGTGAGTGAGACGTTTAAAACAAACACACGGAGCATGTGTGTGTGTGTCTCTGTCGTTTCGCGTTGCGGGCACTTTTACCAGCAGCCGTGCGTCAGCTGTTGTCAGCGGCCACTGTCAGCTGCGTTCTCCTCCGCGAGGCACGCGATCTCGCACTTGTGCTGAGCGTGCGTATTTCATTGTTGCGATGTCGCAGCAGAATGTTTTTTTCCCCGTTTTCCAATTTTTACTGAAAGTAATTTTGTCACGCTTTAAGAGCGCTCGGTCGGCAATTGCTTAGCAATGTCGGCAGCACAAGTAAGCGTTTGCGCCAATGTAATGAGGCCTCTTGTGATGAAAGTATTGGTTATAATCCACACATGTGATTCAACCATGAAGTAGTAACATGTACTGAAATAAATGTGCATGTGATGGTTTTGAACGATCCCAGTAATTCTGTTGATTATTGTTGGTGATTGTTATAATGATGACGATAATGATAAGGGCTAGTGTAGTTTTTCACGGTTATGCATTTTACATGTCAATTCTGATTATATCGATATTAGAACGCCACTCAAGCTGTACACTTTTAAATCTAGATTAAAAACCCATTTCTTAATAACTGTTTTGTGTGTTTCATTTGTGGTCCTTCCCTCGCACCTCCGATTTAGCACGGCTCATTATGTACTGTGTGAAAGAAGTTCAACATACATATCGATGATGATCATTGTGTAATAATATTACGCTGATGATGATTGCAGTGACAATGATGATGACGACGATGATGCGTATTCCGGTGCAGTGATATACAGTCAAGTCATTATACTTATCACCAAGTGGATGAGCATTCTACTAACATCCGACATCCGCGTGCACGTCCTCCCCTCCCCCCCAACAGCGCCCCGGCCTCCACCGGCGCAGCTCAGGGCCTCATGAGGGCACGCGTCCCCGGGCAGCGCGGAGCGGCCGACGGGGCGAGGGGACCGGCGCGAAGCCCCCCGCTGCGGCGCTGTGCCGGCGGTGGTGACCGGGCATCGGGGTCGCCCTCCCCCCACCGCTCGTCCCCCAACCGCTCGTCCCCAGACTCGGCCGACGACAGCGACGACTGCAAGCCCGTGCGGCCGTGCAACCCTGTGAGGGTGAATGACGGCGACGATGATGACGACGATGAGGATGATGGGGACGACGAGGGGGGCGATGACGATGAGAGGGGCGGGGTCGGCGACGGCCATGGTGGCGGTGGCGATCGCCCGGCGGCGGGGGCAAGGGCTGCACCGGCTCCGGGCAGGGCGGGCGGGAACGAGGATGCTGGCGAGAGCTTCACGTCGGGAATCTCACGACTGCGGAGCCCGTCCGTCATGGAGGTGAAGGAGAAGGGCTACGAGAGGCTCAAGGAGGAGCTCGCGAAGGCACAGGAGGTGGGGGAAGCGCACACACCGCTCGCAAATCAAAATCTTTATTAATCCTGGAGAAATCCGATGAGCTATGAAGCTCTTTTGCACAGATGTCCAATCGGACGAACGCCGAGATGCTCTGTGAGAGGTTTTGGGGCAATGGTTGCCGCACGACCAGGTTCCTCTCAATGCACCAGCTCAAGTTGGATCTCGGAGGCTAAGCTGGAGCTGGAACTGGTTAGTGCTCGGATAGAAGATCGCCGGGGCATAATAGGCGTTGTGTCTGTCCCCCTTTGCTTCTCCGTCTCGCTCCGGCTTTGTGTCCCCCCCCCATGTCGCTCGCTCTCACCCTCCCGCTGAGCAGGACCTGAAGCTGAAGGACGAGGAGTGCGAGCGCCTGTCCAAGGTGCGCGATCAGCTGGGCCAGGAGCTGGAGGAGCTCACAGCCAGCCTCTTTGAGGTGCGATTGCAGAGACTGCATGCATGCCTGCACCAACGCACGCGACCGTGATTAATTAGTGACGTCTAAGGGAGGGGGGGGGAGGAAGCCTTCATCCAGCAGTGGATAGAGCACTGCTGTTGGTGATGATGTGGAATATTCACGAGTTACATGCCAGCTCAGGTCTGCCAACAATGATGAGGGCCCTCCCCAGTGCTCATTTCAGTGTGATGCCACTAGACATTGGCACAAATCCTCTGGGTCACATTCACATCTCAATGAAAACAGGTGAAACACAGCGCCTTGGCGTTTTGCATCACTGTTGGTCACAGAGGCACCGGGCACTTCTTCACCAAAAGATGGAGTGAAGGAGCATTCGCCAGCAATGCGTGAATTGGGCACTGTTTGTTATCCACTTAATGCAGGTGGTCAGCAAATACAAAACCTAAATAGCGGCTCAAAGTCCTTGCGACGCTCCATTGCTCATCACTCGTGCCCGCCCGCATGTGTCAAATCCAGCTCGGCTCACTGTGTTGACTCGAGGTTGCTTAGTAGCCCGTACTAGTGGATATACGTTGCGTTGTATTAATATGACGTGCGGGAGAGATATAGGAGTACCCGGAAAATACTTACACAGAACACTCACAGTTCCACATAGATGGATTCATGAGTTGGCTGAAGGCACCGCACTTGTTCATGCTGCCACAAGCTGAACCACATGTTTGGGCCAACACACGCTGAACAACTTTGTTCAGGCCGACACGCTGAACCACTTGCTCAGGCTGGCATATGGTGAACCACGGGCCTGTGCTCCGCAACTCCGATTTCACTATCACACAGTTAATTGTCTGTTGTGTAAATATTGTACAACTTACAAATAGTTTTTACACCTTACAAATAGTTTTTACTTATTTTAATTATTATTAACTGGAGGTGCAGGGGAAGCACATCAAACTAAATGCAAAAAGTATAAACCAGGTTCAAGCACGCTTCTAAGCTTCCAAGACGTGATGATACCAACGCATCCAGGGTGATGTGTTAGTAGGCAATGCACGGTGATTGGCCATCACTCTCTGAACATCGCTGAGACATAGAAGAGCACCATCTCTACTACCTTGTGACAAAGGTGGCGGGGAGGTGAAGCACAACAACTGATACCAGTTGGGAGAAGCGAGCGTGAGGCCAGCCTGTGTTGGCGACTGCACCTAGATTTCTTTTCACACATTGTATGCAAGTGTGGGGCGCGTCCGGTATGTGTACACGCAGCGGGCCCCAAACATTATTTTACCGAGACCGATGTTAAAGTACGAAGTGACACTTTGTCTTGGTAAATTCGCGCTCGGGCCTCCACCCATGTCTGGGGCCGACCGGAAGTGTGGGGGGCGCGACCTTATAACAGAATGCCAAGGGTCACCAGGTCGGCCAGCCCCACACGGTGATGATGTCAATGGTGGCAGCTGTTGTTTTGACGCCCGTCGTTTTGGCCCATGTGTGCAGGAAGCACACAAGATGGTGCGGGAAGCAAACGTGAAGCAGGCAACAGCGGAGAAGCAGCTGAACGAGGCGCAGGGCAAAGTACGTCGTGGGGTGGGGGGTGGGGGAAAAGTGGGTGGGAGGGGTGGTGGCATATGAACCAGAGAATTGGGGACTCATAATGTTTGTAATCATTATGATAACGATATTGATTACATTATCGTCGTCATCATCATCTGTAATGACGGTAATCTTTGTAATCATGATTGTCGTTCGGAATCATTTTCATTATCTTCCTCACAAACATTGCAATATTGTAAATCCCATCATCATGTTTGTAATAATCATTATCGTTGTCTGCATCGTCATCAGAATCTTTGTCATCCTGGTCGTTTTTGTACTAATAATTTTAACAGCTGTTTATTTTGTAATAATCCTTGCATTTAGTCGTCATCTTTATTGATGAAATGCACTCAAATTTAGACATTGTCAAAAAAACCTAATCGTATTGTATCTACACCGCCGCATTTGCGACCGTCACAATCGCCCTCCTATTTGTAATCATTAGTATCGCTGTCATCTCTGCGACCTGTGTGTGTGTGATGCGCACGCGCGTGTGCCCCTCGCCGCACAAAATGGGGCCTTCGCGTTCCTCACCGGCGTCTGCGTGGCCCCCAGATCGACGTGCTTCAGGCCGAAGTGACGGCGCTCAAGACGCTGGTCATCACCTCCACGCCCAGCTCTCCCAACAAGGAGCTGCACCCTCAGCTGCAGCCGTCCGGCAAGGCGGCGCCCTTCAAGAAGGGACACATCCGAAACAAGAGCACGAGCAGCGCCATACTGGCACCCAACAGCTTCGCCGAGGCCCCCGACGTGCTCTACGCCTTCGCTCGCGAGTGCAGAGAGGTCAGGGGTCGGGAGGGGGTTGGGGTTGGGGTGGGTGGTGATGGGCGGCTCGTGGTGTTTCTTGAGTCCTTTCGCTCGCCTGTTTGCTATGAAACGCGCGCTTGCTCGTTTATTCGCTCGCTCACTCGCTCGCTCATTTGTTGTGTGTTTTGTCGTGTCGAGCTTTTAAAATTACCTCAGACAAATAACCACTTGTAGATATGTGTATGTCAGCTGTGACCTAGGCTGAATGGCAAGAGTTCGTGTTGTCGTTATTGAGGAAAAAAGGCGACAAAGTTACGTTCAAGCACGTCGTTGTGGCACACCAGTCTTCTTTTTTCGTATGGCTGATGTAGATGCAGAGCAACAACGACAATTTCACATTCAGGTGGTCAAGCCAGGAGCAGTGGAGTTTATCGCTGTAATGTCACCTTCGTATTTGTGAATCGAGCATTGCATCATTATATGTGATATGGTCTTTTCTGGATGACTACAGTTGCACACTGCATCGGGTATCTGCAACTGCCATTGTGCGGATGCAGTTTAGGGTGGTCCATGAGCTTCATTGAAAATCAAAACCAGGGATCTTCTGTGTTAGGTCTTTCCCAATGTGTTTGTGAGTTATTTTGAACTCTATTTAGATTTCCAAGCTTCATCGGGGTTAAAGTCACATTGTTTTCGGTGAAGCACATGGATCCAAAGAGGCTTCTGTGACTTCAAACGATGACGAGGGACGTTATTGAGATCCTGATGAATCGGAAGGCGACCGTTATTCCTCGATTTGCAAGACTTCTTGGAGGGTTTCAGCTTCGTGGCAGATGGGTGGGGGGGGGGGAGATTTGTGACAGCACGGGGAGCCCCAGGGTGTTGGGGTCGACTTGAGGGTTCCGGTAATTCACCGCATTGCAGTGTTCAGTTGGACATAAACAAGTCGAGTGTCACTACTTCTGGTGGCACACCAGTGACAATGGTCCGAAGTCATTTCCGCACATTTACATCTTTGAGCCTGGTCTCACTCGAGTGCGATTGTGGCGAACTTGACTTAAATTTTAATTGTTTTTTTTATCATTCATCATAAGCAAAGCTTCAAACTTTTGTCGAACAGCCCAGGTCACAGCCTAGACATGAATCTCCAAAGTGCTGCTATTTTATTTCCCCGTTGTCGCGTAACATGATCGTGAGAGACGGCGGCAGCCTGTAAAGACCTTAATCCAGCAGTGAAATGATCATTGCTGATGATGACGACGGCTGCCCGTGTATCGCCCCAGGTGGATATGCTGGCATTTGCGGAGTTCAAGGCATGGAAGGACGCGCCGACGCTGGAGCACACGTGCCCCTTCCTGGAGAGGATCTACCGCGAGGATATCACGCCCTGCCTCTGCTTCCCCAAGGGCGAGGTTCGCTAACGAGCCGAAAGCCGGCAAATCCGCACGCTCGCGCATCGCATACGCCTCGTTCGCTCGCAATCGCTCACTCCCACGCACTCACAATCATAGGTGTGTCCGTGCACTCGCAACGTTGCCTCTTGTGTAACGGCAATATGGGTTACATCAAGTAAACTTGCATACACACGCAAAGACAAAGATCCCCCGTATAGCCTTAACAGACTGTTGATTTAATTAGCGAGCACCTATGAAGGCCGGCACAACACACGAGGGGGGGGTGGTGGGGGGCCAACACCACGCCCGGTCGCCTTTGTCTCCCCAGTGGCGATGTTTATACACATCATCATACACATTTGAGGCTGAGTCGACCTAGGCGAGGCCCAGGACTGGTTCAGATAATCGTCACTGGTGTTGACCGTGAGCGGGAATTGAACTCGGGTCGCTGGGTTCATAGTGCAGTGCGCTAACCGCTACACTACCACTCCCCACTACACACATGCGCGGTTTCACAGGCGCTCGCATGCACAGACAAGCTAGCATACAACATATATACAGCCATTGACGTGCACTCGCACTGAAATACGTCACCATATACTTATCCGTATATACATACTCGCATATGCGCACACACAGTGCGTGCTTGCTCATACGCACATGCTTACATACTAACATGTGCTCGCACGCGTACACATTTGTACCAACACTCACACGTGGTCTCAAACACTTACATGCATATGCGTGCACGCCACCACACATTAATTTACACAGATGCTCCCACCAACTTATGCACTCACGCACACTTTCACCCGCTCACAAACTTACATACACACACACATGCGCTTGTACCTTGCACACGGTAAAATCAGCTCCATGTTGCTTGTGTTCTTAACACATGAACGTTCGTTCTTAATGAGCTCCCCGGTGTAAACGCGGCTGATGGGGGGAGATCAAAACGCTGTGAAACTTGACACTGAGAGGACATACGAGACCAGCAATTACAGCTTCATTTCCCATTGCAGCCATCGCCGACACTGACACATTCACTTTATGCTTGGATTATCACGAGAGGATAGGAATTCAAAATAACCGTAACAGTACATGGTGAGAGCATGGTTTAATTTAAGATATCCATCTCATTCTCACAACCTTTTTGACCTCCTACTAGAACAATGTTTCCAGTGCCCCTCTGGGTTTGTGTAGTGTGTTGCAATATAGATTGCATGTAATACGGTGTGTGTATGTATGTGGGGAGCGGTAGTGTAGCGGTTAGCGTGCTGCACTACTAACCCGGAAACCCGAGTTCGATTCCCACTCACGGCCAACGCCAGAACGATGATCTGAACTGGTCCTAGGCCTCCCCTCGGTCAACTCAGCCTTAAATGAGTACCTGATGCAGTGTAAAAATTGCCGCGAGGGAGACAAAGGCCGCCGGGCATGGTGTTGGCCACGCACCCCCTCTTACGTGCTCGCTAATAGTACAGGTGCTCCCTGACAACACTTGCGCCAACAGTCTGCTAATGCTTTACAGGGAATCTTTGTTAGGTGAGTGGTGGCACAGTGGTTCGATTCCCGCTCACGGCCAACACCAGTGACAATTATATGAACGAGTCCTGGGCCTTCCCTAGGTCGACTCAGCCTAAAATAAGTACATGTGCGGCATGCAAATATTAATACTGGAGAAACAAATGTGACCGCACTTGGTGCCGGCCACCCACCCCCTCATGTGCTGTGTTGGCCTTAGGTGCTTGCAAACGACACTTGCCTAAACAGTTCATTAATGCCTAAAACAGTCCATTAAGGGGGGATGTTTGTGTGTATGTGTTCGCAAACACGATGTATAAGTCAGTGTCAACCTGCTAAAGTAACTTGGGGCCAAGTGGTGGAAATTCCATATTCTTATGGTGGGGGAGACAGTCTCTCTATACCATTTTCACTCGACTTATCACATCTTAGTGCTCGCATCAGAGAACCCAATCGGAATTTTAACTCGTAACCTTCCGACCGCGAGTTGAGTGGCCGAATATTCAACAATAAACTCATACAGCGAGCTCATCATTGGGATGACAACAAATGAATGTAAATGATATTATTAGAAATGACAGAATCAATCATATTATTTGAGTCACTATCCTGCACAACCTGCTTCTCACAGTTGTAACAGCTAAAGTAGTGGTTCTTAACCTACGATGCATGCACCCCCTGGGAGTGCGAGATGCCCTTTCTGAGAACCAAAGGGGTGCAGGCTACAGTAAAGATTAAGAACCACTGAGCTAAAGAAAGGTTCTTTGTTACGTGTGTATGGGGTTTGTTTGTGCCTTCTTAGGTGCTCGCCCCAAAAGTATGTTATGAATATGCGAGGGATCTTCGTCTTTTTTTGTGTGAATGTTGTGGTGTTGTATGCCTGTGTTGGGTGGTGTACATGTGTGTGTATGTGGCGAGAGGTGGTTTATGCTGTAAATCCAGTGTTAAACTGGATTCGATTCCCAACATCAGTGATCCCTCATGTCTGAACCTGTTTTGGGCTTCACCTTGGTCAATGCTGCCTTAAATGAGTAGCTGGTACAGTGTGTGCCCATCAGCTCTGCGGAGACGGAGCTTGCACGGTCCTGGCTTCACCAACCCCCCCTCGTATGTCACGTCAGCATTGACCCTTTTTCATTCTGAGACGTCTGCAATTTGTAGGGTGGTTCGTGTTCACTAATGAATCTCGGAATGGGCAAGCGGTTAGTTTCAATTTTATTTAGAGGCATAGCGCTGATAAAGTTATTTTGTGACGTATGTGTACGTCATTGGAACGGAACCGGAATAAAAGCTGATGACGTACACATATGTTGTCGGAATGGGAAAAGGTTTATAGGCGCTCACTAACATTGCTCGCCCCTAGCGTTTGTTAGGTGAATTGGGTGCCTTGTGTGTTTGTACATCCGTGCCTGCTGCACGCACAGCTGGGCCAGGCCATCCAGCTGGCGGTGGAGAACAACACTTTGAGCATGGAGCCGGTTGGGGTGCAGTCGCTGCCCGTGGTCAAGGCATCAGCGATCGAGTGCGGAGGCCCCAAGTGAGTGTCCGTTGATGGGCAGGCGGGATGGCAGTAACATTTGCTCGTTGCACTCACTTGAGCCTCAATGTGCACATGCGTGTGCACACCAGGGACGTGCGGTCAGGGGAGGCAGGGGAGGCAGAGCTTCACCTGTCATACTCCAATGAAAATAGCTGTTACGAAAAGTAAAAAATTATTATATAAAAATTTAGATTTTTCCACTCATCTGTGTTATGTCATTTCTGTAAGATTCCAATCATTTTTGTCGTCAAAATCGCTAAATTTGCAGAGCTCCGCTGCAAATACAGGAAGAGAGACGAGAGGTTAGGCAGCGACGAGCTCAGCCTTCCCTCTGATTGCACAACCCCTCAGAAACTGAATGGAGTGTGGGCAATAAGCACGTGCCTGTTACTATCTCTCTGTAATGATTGGAATCATACAGACATTACATTTATAACACATCAGTGGAAAAATCTAAATTTTTATTTTACTTTATTATTTGTTTTACTTTTCGGGAACAGCTATTTTCATTGGAGTATGACAGGTGAGGCTCTGCCTCCCCTGCCTTCCCTGACCGCACGTCCCTGGTGCACACACACACTTACATGCTGCTGTAAAAGTCGAGTCTCAAAGTAAACTATTTTATTTACCAGTTAAAGGCCACCGAGCTATTAGATATTTTTTAGAATCGACCTGGCCACAAATGATAGCTCAACAAAGTGGCTTATCTGGAAAATTATAGCAGCCAAATAATCTAAACGCGTGTTTCTAAATGTGGAGGGAAAAACCGGAGGACCCGGAGAAAAATCCACACGACCACTGGGAGAACATGCAAGCTCTATATATACGAATGTCAGGGTGGGGAACCAACCCAGGACCTCCTGCATACCAGGCAAGGGAGATAACATCCCGCCACAGCGAGATGTTATCACTGCTCAGTTGCTCTGCTCAGTGGTGTTACGGGGTGGCCGGGGGCCTCGGGTACAATAACCATGCCGGGCCACCACTGACATCCTGTATTTAAATCAGGGTTTTTTTACAGAACCCATGATTCGTGTCCATTCAGTGGTACTTAGCCTGATCACCAGAGACTGCACACAAAAAAAATAGCGCGTTAAATTGTAATTTATTTTGGCTTATTCCATCACTGACAATGAAAACTGTCGGCTCGAATGCCACTATGTGAAGGGTTTCTTCACTGAAGAGCAGAATTTTCTGTGCGGGATGGGTCCTTACAGACGTGTGTAGAGGCGTCGATTGATTTTGTGACATTTTGTCGACAAACGCCTACACACGTTCACAGTTGTCACGTTTCTCAGAAGTAGACACTAGACATCACATGCCTTCCAGGTTAAATGATTAATGCTGCACTCACAAACAATTTGCCTTTTCTTTTAAAGCTTCGTGGTCTTAAATGTCCTTGTCGTTTGCTTTTAAAAATATTTCTTCAAGTTACCTTAAAACACCTTTTTTTGTTATTTTAAGTGTTTTGTTATTGTTGCTGTTGGGAACTTGGTGGTGCTGCTGCTGCTGTTCTTTTTGGTTTGGGTGCTTGTTGTCTTTGTTTTGCTAATTTGTGTTCTTTTTTTTCATTAATTTCGGTGTCTATCCCTGTCGTAGCGGTTGGCGGGCTCAAATAGTTACGTAAGTGACTTCACTCTCGGTCCGTTTTCCTGAATTTCTCCACCCTGGATACCCACTAATCCCGCTCGCATTGCTGAAACCTGTCTCTCCCCGTCCCACTGCGAGGCATCATGTTGTGCAGAGCCGTTCCGGATAACCATGTCACGAGAGAGTGATCGCTTGGAGGTATCCAGGTAGGGTCAAGTGGACATCTGTGAAAAAGAGCTTTATAGCTCATCTGGATTCCTCCAGTATAAATACATTCAGATTTTAATATTCTGATTCTGGATCAGGATGTCAAATCCCGTGTCAGAGACGTTGAGCTGGCACTGCAGAGAATCCTGGCTTCCAATCCGAGTTTCAGCCATGAATGAGTAAACCCGGGTTCTCAGATGCAATGAGTTGCTAGTCCCAGCTCGGTGACCATAAATGACTGCACAAAAAAAGCAAATGGTTAAAAACTTGGGTTACTGCTTATTATATTTAATACCAGCTCTGAGAATGTAAATTTTCGTTTGATTGCGATATACAACACTGTTGCAGACATATAAAATGTGTTGTCCCGGTTGAAGAGAAAACAGAAGTAGTTCTGACATTTTTCAAAAATGTTAGTTACCAGAACTTATGAACAGAACTGGCCTCACAATCACAGCACCAGATAAGCAATCTCTTTTACTGGCTCAGCAATTATGGAACTCCAAGTCCAATCACTTCTCCGTAACCCCATTAGCCGGAATGGCTCCTCTTCTCGTGTGCCGTGACATGCGTGCATTTGTATACGTGCGTGCGATAACCTTCCCTTGACAGACAATGCTGATAACTTTCTGTGCATCGATCCACTTTCTAATTAACCCTCTAACACTGTCCCTGCGATCGACATCCCAAACGCTGCTCATGGACGTGTCCGTTGACATCGTCGCATTATCCTGGTGGAAATGCGGTGGTTGAGCGGCCGGGGGAGAGCTGGGACGAGGGGGGGCAAGGGTGGCGGCGGTGCCGCCGGTGGCTTGTGCTAAGATGCGTGACGCTGCATGTGGACGCAGGAAGTGCGCGTTGAGCGGGCAGTCGCGGTCCTGCCGTCACCGCGTGAAGCTGGGAGAGGCGAGCAGCCACTACTACTACGTGTCGCCATCGTGCCGCGCGCGGGTACACGCACGCACCTCGCCCACATTCTCCATCCGCGCAAGCGGCCTAGCCGATGAGTTGTGTTCACTCGCATGGCCAACAAAGCACTCACTCAACTACTTAACTATCCACTGCTAAAGGACCCCAGCCGATACATCCAGTCACTTGCAAACTCACTCGCCTAACCCCCCTGACCCGTGTGTTCATTTGCAGCTGACAAATCCACTCGTCCACATACTCACCCAAACACAACACACCCAGCCGACACATCCACTCACAAGCCTGCTCACCTACCCACTGGCCCATGTGTTCACACCCAGCCAATGCATCCACTCACTAATTTACCCACTATTAACACCCCGAGCTAACAACACCCCCAATCACGAACTCGCTTGACTACCTCTGACAAATGTAATAACACCAACAAATCAAATGGTCAACAAATCAAGCCTTCATGCTAATTCACACCCACCGACCTATTTGTTCACCCATTCACCCGTCTAGCCCCCCACCCATGAGCCACTCACTCTCCTACCTGTTCCTGCACCCATAATGCCTTCCACGTGTCACTGATACTAGCAGTAGACAGCATGCTGAATGTGTAACATTTTATTGTTTCAGATAACGGCCGTCTGCAATTTTTTCACCTACATCCGCTACATCCAGCAGGGGCTTGTCAAGCAGGATGGTGAGCGATTGTGCTCTATGAACTTTGAACTCAGTAACCGGATACTGTTGTTCTGTGTTGGTGCGCACACTCTGGTCAGTATCGAGCAGGAGTTGCACACGGAACACTTGCAGATGCACACCCTTAAAAGACCAACATGAAAAGCTGCCATTCACCACTAAGTGGCTGTGACATCACCGCAGAAATTTTACCAGGCTGTGAAGTGCCACGTGAAGTGGAAAACCTCACTGGCAGATCATAGGACAAAACCAAATGTTATTGGTTAACTGACTCGGGTGACTGGGAGATGAACCACCCATACAACACACAGCTCCATTTTACCTACATCCACACACAGTCACCTTCCCACATCTACAGAGACACACCCACATAGATGCACACGTTCCATACACAGCCGCACTTCCACACACACCTTCACAGTGACACGCCCAGAAAGATCTACATACATACCCGTACAAATACAGGTAAACATAACACGCACACACGAACAGGTTAGGCGACTCCCGGTGTAACCGGACCTCACCGATCAGGCCTAAATAAAACACATGCCTCCTTTTTTGTTTTGTCGGGGAAGCGGAGATGAATAGCTATGACGCGTCACCATGTTCTGTCGGTCAGCCTGATGCCAGGGCTCCGAGGTCAAACAGTGCCATTTCTCCTCTCAGCTAAATGAGGTGGGAGAGAGCACGCATCTGCGCGTCTCCCTGAATTTCTCATTCTAGGTCAACATCTCCCATATGACCATGCCTTCGTGTTTCCCTTGGTCTTCCAGCTTCTCTCCATGTTCCATGGTTTCTTCCTTTGCTCTGCTTCTCCCATGTTTTTCCCACCTTTCCTCGTATCTCCCCACGTTTCCCTTTAACTCTCTATTCCCACCCCCCCTCCCCATCCCTCGTATCTCCCCGAAACTTGTCCGTGTCTCCCGCACAGCCGAGCAGATGTTCTGGGAGGTGATGAAGCTGCGCAGGGAGATGTCGGTGGCCAAGCTAGGCTTCTTCAAGGACGAGCTGTGACAGCCACGAGGACTCCCTCCACCTCCTCCGCTCACCTTCCACACCCCTTCAGCCAGGCCCCAGGGAACAACCCCTTCTCCCTGCTAGCCATCCAGGGAAGCGAGGCTTACCAAAGGAGTAGCGCTCCAATGGGCGATTGCCGGTACTTAACGTGAATATAACAGCATTAAAATGTACGATTGGCCATTTAAAGGTTTTGTTTTTGAGAGGCGTGTAGAGTGAAAATGAATATATTTGAAATGTATTTCCAGTGAAGCAGGATGTTTGGTGGGTGTGGAGGGGTTTTGATTGGTGGAAAACTGACCAAAGTGTTGATTTTATTTCTAGCAGATTGAAACAACATAAAAACATAACTATTTAAAATACTCGTGTTCTGGGCTGTCCAACATGACTTTAAAGGTGCTTTTGGGAACGCTGTCATGGAAACATCTTATGAGCAGGTGATGCTGAAGCTACATCATTGAAGCACTTGTAAAAGTCACTTAAGTTTTTTTTGCACGAATGAAGATTGAAACTCATGTTGGAACAGCCCAATAAGCACACCTTGGCTGCACAGCTACCACTAAGAGAAATTGTGGTCAGGTGCTTCATTATAGCTCTCTACAGTGACATCCAACCTGACACACTTAACACGCTCAGAAGTGATTATCACTAGAGCACCATGTTGCACCTGACCATGATTTAAGATTCTTATTTGATTCATCACAACCGAAAACTCAAATCTGCAGTGAACCCAGGAGAAAGCCTTGGTGTGCAGCTCACCAACCCTCTGTGCTTGGGGCTGTCTTGTGTGAAGATGCCCAGATTATTGGTACATATTTTTTTCATGAAGAGCTGCTGTGTTGATAGCCACCCCCTCCCCCCACATACAGACCCATGGAGTCCTCAAGTGTGAGTGGTCATTCATTCACATGAAAGAAGTTTGCGAAGGGTGCAATCGTTTTTTATAATTGTTTTCTTTGGAAATTATATTTGATAGTGGTCAGCCAAGTAGAAAGCTGGAACGAGGCTCGTACAATCTTGATGAAAGCGTGTTATATATGAACGTGACAGGACAACCGTGTCCTTTGTACAGTATATAAAGGCCAATGGCAAAACGTAAATACTTTATACGATCAGCTCTGGAACGCTTAATACAATGATGCACTTTATTGCGGAGTGCAGTCATTAACAAAAGATAAACCTCTACACCTGGTGACACGCACAAGTGAGAGTTTCACTTCGGTGTCTCGGTTTACAACTACGTCCTACCAAGATCATATATACGGTATATATTTTTTAAGCATCGCCACTTTCTCTATGCAAAAAAATTATTAAACTTCAATAACGGCTTGGCAGATGCACCTTCGTTATTTTCACCACTGCGGGGGAAATGTTAAAACGCTTTCAAGGACCACAATTCACGCGTCGGCGAATATCTCGTTTTGTCTGTTTTTTTGCGAAGATGCCCAAAGTCTCCATCGTCAACAATGGAACCAAGTGCCATGGCGAAGGGTTTTGGTCACTTTGTTAAGACGTCAATCTGGCCCTTAATGAGCTGTTTAAAAACATGGTCAGCCACTGTGGGGGACGGGCATGGAGAGGTGATTGTACGACGTTTAACGCAGGTGCCACAGCCGATCCCTTTGTGAGCAGTGGCCTGCAGGAGTGGTGCCTTCTCTGGCAACCTCAAGGCCAATTCCCACCCCTGATTTGACTCCTATGTATTTACTGTAAAATAACAAAAATAAACAGCGTGTTGTATGTTCAACTGGCCAGGTGCGAGGTTGTAATTTGTGTTTGTGACGTCAACATCCACCACTGGGAATGTCACCATGATAGTTATGCCACGCAAGGTACGCAAGGTGCACATGGGGAGGTCTTCGTAAGACAGCAGACAGTGCAAGTTGCACAAGTCAAAGACATTTTTATATACAAATTTTATTCCTTGTGATGAAGTGACAAATTAATGGTTCAGTCGGTCCACAAAATCGCAGTGAAAACCCCTTTCCGTCTCCCCTCGACCCTGAAAGAAATAAAACAGCAGTGTGAACATAATTTATCGACCAAGAGCAGAGATCACCAAAGTACAGAACAGACAACTTTTACCCACTGCTTCTGCTGTAAAGAGGCATTGTCCAAAAATCACTTATTACATAGTTTTCCTTTTAAGGCAGTGTTATTGAATGCGTTGAGTTTTGTGCGTATGCACCGCCAACCCAGTATTGCCATATAATTAGTTCAAGAGGCAGCTATACAAATGAAATGATCAAATATAAAATGATCACAAGAAAAGTTTCTGGGAAGATTCAACAAAAGCAGTGCGATTCAACGTTCCGGCAGTATTACTGCACCGCGTACCAAGCGCCGCCGTCATCGTCCTCCCCGTAAACCCCAGCTACACGTAGATCCCGACCCAGAGTAGCAGGAAGAGGACCCCAAAGCCCATGAACAGCGACGCCACCAACGAGATGAGAAGCTCCTTGTAGATGTCGCGCGTGTACTTGGTGGCCGTCACCTCGTATCTGCACCATCGTTTCCACCACAAGCATCTTGAGTCAAGGCCCAAAGCAGCAACGAGACAGGGCACTTTCCTGGTGCATACCATCATTATCCATGATCAATCGACTGCCGGGTCAACGCCTTCCCGCACTGTTCTGAAACGTAACAATCCGTCTAGTGCCTGCACATAGCTGATTTCATCACTCCATCTCTATGGTGTATGTACTTAGGGCACGTTTTGTCCTTTGGCGACAGCTTCGTCGTTAATCTCATCGACCCTCTTTATAGCAAGCGGCGTGTTCTGCCCAAGCCAACTTTACTCCAGTGACAAGACCGGTACTTGTGATTTTAAGATTGAACCTGATTGTATACTCAATCTTGGCAGAGCGACTACAAAGAACAAAACTCCACCTTTCCTCGCTCAAAAAGCTGACAAAACAGCTCAAGCGGCATCAACATGACAGTGGTAGTGTTAGGGATACACGAAGAACCACGCGGTGAAGAAGACGCCGATGGCGAGCAGCACGACGGTGAGGTGCGGGAACACAGCCGGATTCACCGGGCTGCTGTAGCGGCTCATCGACTCCAGCTCCTGCGTCACAACACACACCACGGACACGCAGGGGTCACGGGCGGGGGTGGGGCACAAGGGGGCAGCCACCAACGGTATTGGGAGATGCGCATGAAACGTAACATTGCGCCAATGTAGTGAGATTATCAAAGGCTAATACTGGTAATCACTTAATATTACAGCGTTGTTATTGTGCAATCAGAATATTGGTAATTAGCATTTCACCAGAAATGTCACATTTCGAGGACACGATTTTAATGGCAAATAAATTAAGATTTCTACCCAATTGGAAACAATTAGCATGCACATGCTTCGATGAGCTTATCCTGCCGTCCAAATACAAGAATCATTACATCTCTAATGTACAAAATGGTGTAAGAATTGTTTTCATTATTTATATTGTAAACGTCCCAAATTCACTGTTTCATCGTCTTTAATAACATCAAGCCTGCCACCTTCACCAAAGATGTGCAACCTCGCATTTTCAATGACGCGTATACATACCCAGTTAAATATACTCTATTAGAACACCGATTAGGCGAGGCATTGAAAATTCACGTAGCTCCTTCAATACATTATTCGCTTTCCCAATTGCATCCCGAATTGTCTCATAGGCGTCATGTCATGGAATGAAGAACACAGATCTCTTGCAGCAGAGCAGTGTAACCTTTCGTGTCAGAGAATGACTCGCGGAACGAGATATTACAGAACTATGAGTGAGATTATTTCAAGGAACCTCTGGTCCACACAGTAGCGAGCAACACTTACCCACCTGCTCTGACAGCAAAACAGATATATTAATCGTCTACGGTAGTGTACCTAAAGTAAGAGCAAAACGACATTTAATTAAGGTGGGTTTTTTGTGCGGCCATTTGAGAACCCGGATTAGTCAGCGGCGGATGAAACCCGAATTCGGAACCCGGAATCTCAGCGGTGCCGGATCAGCGTCTCTTGACTCCTGGACTACCCGGCCACTTTGACCCCCAATCAAACACAAGAGTCGTCGATCCCAATCACTCCACAGGAAATTCCCTGATCCATAAAGTCATTTCAAATATTCCACGCTATTGTGCCGGGGCACGGTCACCCGTTGATGTAACGCAACGGTCGAATTCCATCACCAAATCCACGTTCATATGATCGAGGTCGTGTTTCCAATTAAAACTGTAACCACCGCCTCATTAAAAACAACGTCCTTGGCTGCAACAATGCACATTCAATGCCACGTAACTACAGCCAATTTCCAATCGATCCTAAACAAACACTTCAGTGTTTCCATTCAGTAAATACACGGTCACCTCCACGTTATCATGGCCGGATCAAGCAGGGCTTCGTAATGAGACGTACATATACACACACACATATCCCTGTAACCTATTTAAACACTGAAGCATCTCCATGCAACAAGGCATTCAAGCCTACGCTATGCGATGGCCCATGCCCGTTTCTCCTCGTGCAACTCGACTGCAACCCTGGCAAAAGGAGCGATCAACTTCCACGTTGCTGTGATGGGATCCCGTCCCCAACCTGAAATTCAACGACCACAATGCGTTCTAGATTTAAAGCTTTCGTGACTGCTAGGATCCATACTCTTTGGTTCTATTGGGTAAAGTCACGTAGGTGACTTTACCCAATAGAACCAAAGAGTATGGACCACAGTGCGGACGGCCAATGGACCCGGCGCTCGGACTCCCGTCAGCGGCGCCACTCATCCGCCATTTGGTGTCGGGGCAACGCGTGTGCAGTCATTTGGTCGTTATCTTTGCAGTATTGTCTACACAGTACTATTGCAAACGACGATAGCTAAGGCCCATTTGGTTGATAAAATCCGCATCCTCTCCACGCCTCTAGCGTTGTTAATGAATGGGGGGGGGGGGGGCCTTAGGCAGCCCTCAGCAAGGCAAACCCCCCGTGCTCGACCCATCGACCGCAAACCCGAAGCGTTGTGAACTACCCGACTGACGCAAGTTACTCGACCTGACACATAAAACAACGAACGAACGAGAGTAATTGTCGCCTCTGAGCGCGAACAGAAAGCGGGCTGTCACCTCCTCACCATTGCGAGTTGCTTGCTCGTGCTCGGGACACGTCGACCAGAGAGGAACTGAATTTCCCACACCGGATAACCGCCACCGCCGAGGCGGCGGGGAGGGGGGGGCGCGCGCGCATGCGCGCGCCGCGTCACGGGAGCCCCGCGCGGCCAATGAGCGACCCGCGTTCATTCACGTGCGGAGCGCCGCGCCGATGCGATGTGGTAAATACAATCGCGCGCCTCCACCAATCAGCGGCTTCGTTACTTCCAGCCCGTTGGGGGTCGGGTGAGGGGGAGGAAGGGGAAGTGGGGGAGGAGGGGTGGGGTCACGCGCAAGCGTTGGAGGGCTCTGATTGGTCGTTTGGTTTTCCTTCCGCGTTGCCATGGTAATGCCCAGCCCGCCCCTCGCGTGGTTACTTAAAAAAAAACATCTCTCTCGTTTTCAAGGCACCAAGCGGCCAGCAACAAACAGCACGCAACAGCACCAACGACCTTTCTTGTGGAGAAAGCAACCAACAAAACAATAAGAGAGAGAGACGATGCCGGGAGGGAATTTCATAGCGGAGTAGTGCGAGTGAAGAAGCATTCCGTGACAACTACTTTAGAGTACTGGACGTCTTCATAGCTCATCGGATTCCTCCAGTCTGAATACCGATTCTGATTCTGAAAGGGGAAGAGTTGTGGCCCGCGGTGCGGTGGTTGAACAGAGAGTGTGGTGGATGAGACGAGAGTCCAGACCGATGTAGAAGCGACGAGCCAGCGTTTCCTTCCCTTCCACAAAAGTTGTGTCAATATCACGTTTTCATGATGAGGCCCAGTGCTACACTAATCACGACGACGATCACTGCTCCGCTCCCACTGAGTAACGCAAATTCCCTAATCCCATGGCAAGACGTTGACGGGAAAAAGGTGCGACCCTGAAAGTGCTTACGCCAGTGCTTGGTGGAAGACGCTCCCCATTTGACGGAGCTCTAAAGTAGTGGTTTTAGAGCCAAACTTCCTTGTTCTCGTAGCCAAACTAATCTTGTTTGGCTACTAGAACAAGAAGCCAAACGAACCTTGTTTGGCTACTAGAACAAGTAGCCAGAACAAGTAGCTGAACAACTTTTTTGGCTACTAGAACAAGTAGCTGGAACAAGAAGCCAAACGAACCTTATTTGATTACTATAACAAGTAGCCAGAACAACTAGCTGAACAACTTTTTTTGGCTACTAGAACAAGTAGCTGGAACAAGAAGCCAAACGAACCTTATTTGGCTACTATAACAAGTAGCCAGAACAAGTAGCTGAACAACTTTTTTTGGTTACTAGAATAAGTAGCCAGAACAACTATCTGAACAACGTTTTTGGCTACTAGAATAAGTAGCCAGAACAAGTAGCCAAACAACTGTTTTGGCTACTAGAACAAGTAGCCAGAACAACTATATGAACAACTTTTTTGGCTACTAGAACAAGTAGCCAGAACAAGTAGCTGAACAACTTTTTGGCTACTAGAACAAGTAGCCAGAACAACTAGCTGAACAACTTTTTTGGCTACTAGAACAAGTAGCCAAACAACTGTTTTGGCTACTAGAACAAGTAGCCAGAACAACTATCTGAACAACGTTTTTGGCTACTAGAATAAGTAGCCAGAACAAGTAGCTGAACAACTTTTTTGGCTACTAGAA